AGTCTATACTAGGTCTAGCTTGCCTTCTGAACAGCCCCATCGTGAGCTGAGCCGCCAATTTTCTCCCTGCGGTCGTTTCATGTTTCGTGGCATTCCACACTGAGACACGGCCATGATTCACCAGCCTTGGCTTTCGCCCTGCCTATCCTTTCTGTAAAGTGCGCGATGGTCGCTAGATCGCGACAGAAGGAGTAAGTGTTCTGTAATGGCCCCCACTTTGACGATATGCGAAGCTGGGGAATGCCCGTTTTCTGCCTTGCCTGACTCGGCCATGTCCTTGAGGCTGCGGCCTGCAAGGAGGTGTACGTGGTCCAGCGAGAAAGCGAAGCTTACAGTACGGCATGTCTGTCAAGTGTTGCCTTCGCAGCAACCGCCCACGTCGCGCTGCAGCCTGTCGTCTGGGGAAGATGTGCCAAGGCCAATAATCGAGGTGCCTTGTGGAAGCTGGAATTGACTACTGCCTTGGAGAGGTCTTTGCTTTTTTTCGATATATTTCTCTTTTTACAGCCGCATTGGGGTCATGCGAATACGAATTACGAATAATGTGGTCCGTGAGCTCGCGATTACATATCAAAGGTCGACGGATGTACGGAGTACACATCTTGCTTATCGATAAAGTATGGAGGACAGCGTTTGTCAGAAGCAAATCGAAGTCTTCTATGGAGCTCGGGGATACGAGCGCGAACCGTTGAAAGAGGACCGTGGGAAGAAGCATTATTACAGACCCTCACGATATGCCATTTTCGATCAACGAATTAATGGTGATGAATCTGGACCGTCCCATGCGGAATGTGAGGGATAGCCAAATTGGGTAAGCGAAGACTTGCCATGAGATAAGAGTGGTCATAATGATGATGGAGCCAAAAGGTTATTACCGCGAGCCAGGTAGAGTTATGTAGTCATGAATAATTGTGGGGGAAGCTCTAACGCCGGTTACTCGTGACGCAGGATGATCCGAGTTGATGGATTGACGGATGAGGTGATTGAGTTGATTGATAATAGAGCCATCACCAACCATGATTGGAAATCATCATGCTGAGTCAAGGTAGATAACCTTGGGCGCTGACCTCCAACTAGCCAACCAGAGCGTGTAAACTCGGATCGTCTCGCTGGAAAGGGATTAGAGTTGATTCCCCGGACATAACGTAAGGCAGAGCTCAGCAGCGATGGTCATGTTGAATAATCGGCATCTGAATTCCGTAGTCCGGCCCTTGGGACCAGAAGGCCATGGTACGGCTGGTCGTATCCGGAGAAGGGCGTAACTACGAGCCGGTCGGTCATAACCGCCCTGATTCTCCAGGAAGACATTGGTCATCCACTAGTGGGGCTCAGGGTCTTGAACAACCGCAAAATTGGCGAAAAACGGACTTAACCGGGTGAGTCACCATACATCATCTTGAGACGAAGGCCGGACAAAACTTCGGAGGGTTTGTGATTATCGACAGGTAGAATGTGCGCAATGGCTACGAAGATGCAGAATTGGTAATTGACACAGAGTCAACGCATTGGCCGTATGTACTCCGGTATAGAGAGATGCGGTGTAGACGGTGCCGTACCGTAGGTAAGCCATCCCTGCTTACGTCCAAAAGGAAAAAAAAAATAATCCAGCATTAATCAGCGGACATTTCGGGCTCGGGGGATCCACCAAGTGCGATGCGCATAAACTCGGTGGGGATCTTCGCCCTCCGATCGGGTGCCGGACTTTAGCAAAACGGATACACGGGATAACGTGAAAAAAAAAATAAAGAATTAGAATTATCAGCATAATCATCAGGCTCCGAGGAATTTATTTTATAATCATCTTTCCCTCCCATCCCCATCCTCGGTTTTCTTGGTTTACCATTATATCAACACTCGAACATCCACAGCAGGACACTCTATAAACATCGTCCACTACATCTCTATGATACCTGTCGATTCGTCCATCTCCACAACGACCATTCTGGATCTACCGGATCGACCTGAGCTACCCCCCTGCCTTGAGGATCTTAAACTAGCCTCACCGCCCCGTGATTGAGTCACCCCCCAGCTTGGCAGAACGAGTCATCACCCACTCTCGACTCATAAGTACCTGAACTGCCACCAACGCCATGGAGGTTCCTCAAGTTGCCTCCTCCACTACCTCTTCTCCCCTCTCCAAGGAGTCCTCCTTCGCCGCCGCCGCCTCCCCCTACTTTGATTCTCTCCTCCGTCGCCGCCAACAAAAGAAGATGAGCATCACGCAAACATACTACCTGGCTCACACCGCCCGCAAGAAGCTCACTCGCGAGGCTTCACGGGCGGACCACGATCTCCGCCTGCTGGTCGGCCACGCCAACCTGCTGGACTCGTTGATGCTGGATCTGGCCGATGCTGAGCGTGAGCAAGAACGTTGGTTCAACCAGACCGTCAGTGGTGCCACCAAAACCTCCCCTCGCGAAGAAAAGTCCCGCCACGTCCAATGGGCATCGACCGTGGTCGAGGAGCCCGAGGAGGACGGGGATTCGGAAGATGCGTCCGATCTCGAGTCGGACCTCAGCGATAGCGATGATGAAGATGACTCCGACTTTGACGAGAATGACTTCGTCATCAACACTCCCGTTCGCCTGCGTTCTCCACCCCCGCCTCAACAGTACCTCGCCGCCATCCCCGAGACTACCTTGGTGGAAGACGAAGGGGACGATACCGATTCGGACTTTGAATACGATGATGCCGAGGACCTGGAGGAGCTGAGCTTGACACGATCTCCATCCCGGCAGTCACCACCCGAGCTGCTGGCTGACTTGGACGATTCGTCCGAGGACGAGAGCATGCCGCCCTCGCCGCCGCAGCCGGCCCTCGAGTCCTTCGACACCAAGGAGGCCGCGACCACGACCATCCCGTTGACGGCCGATCAAACACATTTGTTCGAATCGAGGTATTACGTTTCACAAGAACAGAGCACGATGATCGAGGCTTACTAGATTCTGCACTCGATCAACTCCTCTCTATACTTGTATACCACTCGCGATACCTTGACTCTTTTTGTGATACCCCACGCCCGTTACGAACAAATGGTCTGAACCGAACTACCTTTACTACAAGCGACATCTTATCAGCGCGCTTTTGCATTATTTTATTTGCCTCCATCTCCCGTATACCAGGCGTTCATGTTGTGTTTTGCCGCCATATTCGACTCTTATACCACCATCTCATCTCTCTGGCTACGGCCAACTTCACTATTTGGAACATTTTTTGGGAAATTATTTGCTTGGAAATTGGAAAGTGGCCTTGGAGTGCCACGGGCAGCTCTCCCCCCCTCACTCTGTGAGCGAGGTGCAGGTTGAGACTACCCAAAGTGGGGAAAAGAAAATTGGAATTCCGACCGGGAGATCGTGGAAATGACTTGACTCCCTTCATGTACATAGATATACATCATACCAACCAAGCCTTGCAAAAAATGCATACCAAAAACATTTCAAACATGATCCTTTTCTTTTCTCATCTAGATGGAGGGGCAATCCCAGACGGTGTCTGCTTCCAAGGTACTCAAAAAAGGTTTCACTATTGTACATCACCCTTGTATCCTATGAACTTGTATACATCACTTACCTCTTCCATAAAATTCCGAACCAACCAACATCAATCGTGGACTTGTCGTACTCGATAATTCTGTAGGTAATAGAGTACCTCCGCACAACATCCCATACTCCAAGTCCGCACGCAATCCGTAATTGATCAATTCACTACCAACCAGACCAGCACAGCAGTGCATGTGACCCGTCGATCGCACTGCAAATGGGTGCCCCGAGCGCTATCGCACTTGTACCGGTGTGTAATTCGTCCCTGAGCAATGTGGTCCTCACCGCTGGACCGCTGGTAGATAGATCCACGCCAAGTAGCGATAGTTTGCGATCTTCGCGGCTAAGTCGGCATAGTCGGTCCGCTATGGGAGGCTAGTGTGGTGAAGGGTTTTGCTAGGGAGGGAAGTGGGGTGGTCACGGGATGGATGTATACCACATTGTGGAGGATTAGAATGTCTTGGAAGGAAATAATTGAGGTACGGAGTCCCCTTTGGGATAATGAATAGACTAGAATTGGATTAGGGTGTTCTCGGAGGTTTAATGGGTGAAATTGTACAAAATAAGTGATATTGAGTGTAGATTTGGGGAAGGGTGCACGTTAGTAGGAGCGTGATTCGTTGAGAAAGTAGTGACTATGCGGGTGTTTACGGGTCATGTTCGTGGATTTGTAGTAGATTAAGATTTGTAGATTGTAGGTATAGAGTACTCCTTACTCCGCAATATGAATGTTAAGCATGAGCTGAACGCGATGATGTACGGGCTGACTCGGTCGGATATTATGTACTGTGAGATTATCTTCGTCTCCGCCCTTGGTAAACCTACGAAAGAGTCTCCGTAAACGCCAACGCAGAAAGGGGCACATTCAGTTATTGGCGCCATAGTCCGTGCTGCACACTAGTAAATACTCGACACGTAGATTCCCCATCGATCTACCTATATTTGCCCGTTAAAATTTGTCTTATTGCTGGCAAATGGCGAGCGACGGGGGATCTACAAACATAATTTCAAGCCTAAATGCATGTCATTAGATTAGGCCCATCGCGCTATCTCTTCTCCAAATGGAATGCTAGCATGATGAACCTGCTGACCCAAGCACGTCAGCTGTGATGACTCCCAACTTCACCCGAGTTTGCTTAGTTAACTACTGCAGTATGCAAGAGTGTGTCTGGATTACATTTCCCTATAAGGCATGCTAGCCCTTGATTATGTGTAGTATGTATGGAGGAGTTAAGCTTTGGCTGACAGACTGTGGAGTGCAGTGCCGTTCTGGGGTTCAGTCTGCTGAGGCAGTCCTGGTCCTCACTCATCCTCATCCTGATCAACCCATACAATCCTACAGCTTTTCACCCTTCTAATTTACTCTCCAGCAATATACCCCAACTCAAGAGTGTAATTTGCCCTTTAATGTACATACTCAACGGAGTATACATTCTCCGCCCCAAATTCAAAATCACATGAACCCCTATCGCTATCGATAACCTTACTCTCTCACCGCCTACGGCTTCGGGACAAGCCCCTCGCCGCAAGCGTCACTGCGCTCGCCTGTTGCAATTGCCCGTCATCATCAATCCCAGAGCTTCGGCCGAAAAAAGTTTCTCCCCAGCATTCCAAAACATGTTGTCATCTGTCCGGATTGATAGCTCTACTACCACATTGACCGTTATCGAACTGCGCATCTAAATCCCCGCATACTTGTCTCTACGCATCCGCATCCGCATCCGCATGGCCTGATTATTCCCAGCGGCATTCGCTATCGTCCCCGAGTGTCAACCTTCACTACGCTCAACACCCGAGACAAATATTCGATCCGAGTGACAGTCGAGTAAGGGAAGATCTAATCAGCAGTCGATACAGCGCCACTGTTGCTCCCACGGCTTAAGCGCTCACAACACCTAATCCCTTCTGCCGCCAACCCCGCTATTGCAACGATGTCCGTTCAAAGCTCCCCCAGACCCTCCTTCGAGTCCGATGAGAGACCGGAGTCGAGTCAGAGCTTGACTCCATCCGTAGTCTCTGGCCATCGACCAAGTATCTCCTTCGAAGCCAACCCGCGCAGCCAAAGCCCGCGCCGCCGATCCATCCAATTCAACGTCGGCAACACGGAAACGCAACTGCCCAGTCGCACCTACAATGTCAAGGAGAAGCGCCTTTCATATGCAGAAGCGCCGGTCAGAGATCTTGATATAGACAGAGAGCCGCGGGCTCTATCTACAAGTCGCGGGCCGTCTCCGCCGCCACCAAAGTATGTTGTCTGCTATTCTGGAGATAAGGGGGGAGGGGCTTGTATCCCGCGTGTACTAATTCACCAATAGGACTTACGAGCGCGGTGTTTCCTTCAACACCTTTGACAACCGCGACGCTGCAGACTTCTCGTTGACCCTCAATTACAAGCACAAGGGGTACCAGAGTACCCGTCGGAGCCGGACGTTTCTGTGCGGCACGGACCAGAATGATTACTCCGACTTTGCACTGAATTGGCTGATTGATGAGTTGGTTGTTGATGGGGATGAGATCGTTTGTCTACGTGCGGTGGAGAAGGACTCGCGCATGGCCAGCGATGCTGGAATCGAGGAGGGCAAGTATCGCCAGGAAGCCAAGCGGCTGTTTGAGCAGGTGATTCAGAAGAATAGCCAAAATGAGAAGGCTATCAGCGTGGTCTTGGAATTGGTGGTAGGAAAAGTGGAGGAAATCATTCAACGGATGGTGAGTTGTTTACTCTACGAGGCAATGTCTGATACTCATGAGCACTGGCTGACCGGCCTAGATTCGTATCCACGAGCCCGTCATGCTCATCGTCGGAACCCGAGGCCGAAATCTCAAGGGTGTTCACAGTCTCCTTCCGGGATCCGTCTCCAAATACTGCGTCCAGCATTCCCCAATCCCCGTCATCGTTGTCCGCCCCTCGCCCAAGCGCGAAAAGAAAAAGAAGAAGCGCCGCGCGGATCCGGGACGACGCAGCTACAACCATCTCCTCGAACTGAGCGAGAAGCGCGGCAGTCGTGTCTTCGACGGTAGCTCCAGCACTGAAGGCAGTGCCCTCAAACTGCCAGGTGAAGAAGCCGCCGTCGCCGAAGCGCTGGGTCTTCCTGCGACCTACTCTCGCAACAACTCGCGAAGCTCCATATCCGTATCTGACCGCAGCAGTCTGAGCATCGACGATTCGGATCCCACCTCTCCCGTTCCATACTCCCTAGACACGGTTCTCATGAGAAGCCCGTTGAGCGGTAGCTCTGCTAGTTCGGAGGAGAGTGTTGTGGTCAGCGAGCCACGGCGCTCTAAATCGCCAGAGCCACCGATCCGACCACACTCGCCCTCCCCCGACCAAGACTCATCGGATGAGTCGGAGCACCAAGTAAAAGAAGAGGATGCAACTAGCTCAATCTCTGAAACGTCCGATCCTCTCGCTAAGCGGGTGTCGATCCCCGTGATTGAGGTCTCAAATGAAAGTGAAGAGAAAGGTACCGCCCGTGCTGACTGAAAGTGAACGTTCACTCCGCCTGAACCATCGCACCTATCTTTCGTCTCATCCCCCATACCCTGCATTTTCTCGTTTCGTCGCATCTTCTATGCATTACGTCCCAGCGACAGAGCAACACGTTTGATTTCGCACAATACCGAGACCCCTCCCCGCATCATATCACATCATTTATTATCTGGGCTACTGATACCCCTTGCCCCTTTTCCCTAGCGCAAAATACCCTACGTTTTTCCTTGACTAGTCGCAACATGTTCTCCGCTCTACTCAATCCAATTACATGGACTCGCTGCTCATGTTAGCAAGGCATCTTCACCTCTTTAAATTTCTAAAGAACAAGGTCCTGCGTAGCCAAAGGCTAATACAAATTGACTGTAGTAATCATGGTCCGTAGCACATGCCATAGACATGTGAAATCAATCAGAAGTATTCCAGTTCATCGCACATCACACCCTTCCATGGTAGTCTCGACCATACAAGGGAGTACCAGACTTATATCTTCCTTATAGATCGACTTCCTTGCATAGATCAACCTTCCTTCTGTAGCTCTCCTGTCCTTCACAAAATTTACTTTGTAATATCCAACAGAATGGACAGAGTAAAAAGAGATTTCCGCTTTTTTAGATACTGAACGGATTTCGGGTATTGAGTAGATAGAGAGCAGGAGGGGAGAAAATAAGAGACTAGAAAAGATAAAAGGAAGAAAGAACACGTTCGAATCCCATTCAAAACAACACCAACTGGGCATCGACCTCATGCATTTAAACTGAGCAGAATATCCATGGCTTTACCTAGTCACCTCCGCCTACGAGTGACCCCTCTCCATATCGCTCCGAACTACCACCAGCCGATTTCTACCACACTCTCTTCCCCCTTCACATCGGAATTAAGAAAGAATAGGGAAGAAGGGAAATATGAAGTAAAAGGTGTGAAGATTGTACACTATGAAGGTCCCGATAAAAAAAAGAGGAGGAAGAGAACAGGGACAAAGGCGAGAAAAGGAAACCGACCAGTCGGGGAATGCAAGTCAGGACGGCCATTAGAAAAAAAAGAGCAGATACGCAATGGGGGAGCAACATGAACAGTGAGAGGGAGGAAAAAGAATAGGGGGCAGAAGATAAGAAATGGGAAATCTTTTGGGTGGGAAAAACAATGAAAAAAACGTTGATCATTAACACCTAGGGAATCAAATCTATGCTGCGTCCTCCCCGTCCTTTGAGGGGGTTTTTGAAGGTCGGCGCTCTGCAGTGGCAGGCTGCGACTTGGTAAGCATGGGGGAAGTCGGGTTCGATGGAGGCGAAGTAGCCATGTTGTCCCGGTCTTCCAGGGCGGCGAGGGCGCTATACAAGAAAAAAACGGGGTAAGTCAATGGGTTCAAATGGGATGAAGGTGGGGTTTGGTTCATATCAAAAGAGACATGGAAGTGATGACTTACCTGAAAGCATTCATCGATGACGCAGCCTCCTTGTCCTCCTTCTTGCCAGCAGGGGGAGTACCAGTTCGGCTGCTTGCAGCGCTGTCATCGCTGCCCCGAACGAGGTTGCCACCAGGGCCAAGGCCCTTCCGACCACTGCTGCTGCGAGATCCGAGCAGACTAGACGGGCCGAAGGACATCGGCTGGTTGGTGTTGCGGGTGGCCCGCAGACGGCGCAAGTCATCACTGCCGACCTTGCTGGAGGCGTAGTCGGGGGGAGGAGCCTGGTTACCATAGCCGAAGCCACGAGCATCACCACGACCCATAGCCGGGCGACCACCGCCACCACCGCGGTTGGCCTGCTGACGCTGGCGCTCCGCCTCTGCCTCGGCTTGAGCATGAGCAGCCTGTTTTTTGGACCACGTTAGTTATTGAAGCAAATCTGCAAAGTGAATGATAGAAACGTACCTCCTCACGGATCTGTTGGATAGTCTTGGGACCCTTGTCGGCGTCCTTGGACTTCCAGCGTTTGGCACGCAGATCGGCGATATCCTAATCAAGATAAAACATGTCAGTTTCAAATGCACACCTCAAAGAACGGATTGAAAGCGATGAACGCAGTGAACGCACCATCAGCATGAACTTGAGACGGCTAGGCAAGTCGGGCATTTCGATCATGTGGTTGATGCGAGCGAAGTAAGCGTCCATCATAGCGGGACCCTTCTCAGAAGCATCCAGACTGGCACCAATAGTACGCAGCAGGTTGCACAGAGACTCAACCTCAGCCTCCTCAGGAACACCCTCAAAGTCGAGAAGGCGCTTGGTACATTCGTGCATGATACGTTCCGTCAACATGCCGAGCTTATACAGCTCACCAATGAACTTGACGAGACCAAGACCACGACGCTTGGCAGCAGCGGCAATGTAGTACTCGTCGGAGAGCATGGCAATCTCGTCGTTGACACCCTCAGGCTTGGGTGGAAGGTTGACCTTCCAACCACGCTCGAACTCCTCCTGACAGCGGTTAAGTAGGTACTTGCGGAACAGAGAACCGCCAGTGACTATTGAGAGAGAGAAATTAGTATCTTGAATGCATTGAATGAGTAGCCGTGAATTTTCGACTTACCAATGTTGCCGTTCCTGTCACGAATATTCTCATCCTTAATCTCGGCGCTCATACTCTCCAGCATGCTCTTGCAGAACTTGGCATACATGGGAGCCCAGTGAGCTTCGTCAGTAGCCTTCTCAAAAGTGAGCTGGATGACCTGGCGGAGAGTGCGGCCATCGGACTCGTCCTTAGACTGAGACACAATTTCCAAAATCTGAGAGGAGATACGGTCGAACTTTTCGGGGGTCATCTTGTTCAGGGCAGCCTTAACCTTGCGCTGCACAACGTCGGGAGGCATGTGTCCATCGCCACCTGGTGCGGGACCGGCGGTAGCGCTGGCACCGATGCTGCGAGGTTTCCAGCCAGTGGAACTCTGCTGCAGAGCCTTGAGCTCCATACCGGCAGTAAGAGGCATGGCCTTGTTGGTGTCTTCCTCCCTCTTGCCGCCGTGCTTACCACGCTTGCTACCAGCACCACCCTTGCTAGATGCCACACGAGGAGACATGGGCATGTTAGAAGAGTTGTTGCGAGATCCAATAGGGGCACCCATGCCAGGCATGCCAGGACGGCCAAAGCTGCCGAAGGCATTACGGCCACCCAGAGACGGGTTGACGGCAGGCATGCTTTGACGAGTGGTCTGGCCGAAGTTACCCATGGACGAGGCACCAGGGAAGCCACCAAGGCCTTTGTGAGAGGGGTTGCGACCGCCCATGCTGGGGGTGCGGGCAGACTGGGGCCGAGAAGAGGCGTCGCTGTCACCGACAGTCTCACGCACACGGGCATCCCAGTCGATGGAGATCTTGTCCTTGAAGGCAGCCTGGAACTGGAGCAGGAAGTCGCGGTCGTAGTGGAATCGGCGATCGGCGGGAGAGTTGGCATTGAGAGAGGCGTCCGGGGCGTTGACGGAAGAAGGGTAGGTGATCTTGCTGAGGTCCTCCAGGAACTTGGCGTTCTGAAGAGACTTCATGGCAGCACTCGGCTGAGGAGGCTCGGTGGGCTTGGGGGTGTCGAGCTTCAGGCCAGCGGGCTTCTTGGCAGCAGCAGCACTGGCGGGCTTCGCAGGGGGTCCCATATCGGATGAAACAGGAGTGGCAGCACCGCTGTCGGCGGGGGTGGAAGCCTCCGTGGCATTGAAGCCTCCCTTCTTGAGGGAAGCAAAGAGATCTTCACGCTCCCTGCGGCTGACCTCATCCTCGGTGGTGTCGCCCTTGGCACGAGCGGCCTCACGAGCGAGCTCGCGCTCTTCAGCCTCCTGCTCAGCCTTCTTCATGTTGATCTCGTACTGTTCCCGTTCTTCACGCTCCTTGCGCTCGGCTTCCTCCTTCTTAGCCTGCTTCTTGCGCTTGTAGTCCTCTTCGGCGGCACGCTCCTTGGCTTCGATCTCGGCCATCTCACGCTCGATAGCATCGTAGTCGATCTCGTCCTCCTCGACGGGAGGAGCGGGGGCAGGGGCGGGGGCAGAAGTGGGAGCGGGAGCGGGAGCCTTCTTGGGCTCTTCGGCAGGGGCAGCCTTCTCCTTCAAGCTCAAGTCCTCCAGGGCGGCACGAGCAGACTCGGTGGCATCCTCTTTCTTAGCCTCAGCGGGCTTGGTCTCAACAGGCTTGGTCTCAACAGGCTTGGTCTCAACAGGCTTGGTCTCAGCGGGCTTGGTCTCGGCGGGCTTGGTTTCAACGGGCTTGACCTCAGCGGGCTTCACCTCAGCGGGCTTAGCCTCCTCGGCGCTCTTGCGGGCAGCCTCCTCAGCTTTACGCTTCTGGGCGGCCTCGTCATCCTGGATCTTCTGGCGCACAGCATCCTTCAGCTCCTGCTTCTTCTCCTCATCAGTCTTGGTGCTGTTGGCCTTGCTATCGGTGCGCGAGTGGTCGGTAGCGCTGGAGGTGCGGGGAGGTGGAGTCGCGGTAGGAGTGGCAATCTTCACCGGGGAGGGAGTAGCACGAGCAGGAGAGGCGGGGTTCTTGTCGAAAGTCTTCACGCTGCCGCTGTTGGGGTCCTTGATGATAATAGGACTCTTCTTGGCAGAGGGAATCACAAAGTGAGGCTTCGCGGGAACGGGACTGTTCGAGGATCTGCTACCAGTGTGAGTGTGGCCAGCGCCAGGGGCACCAGCAGGGGCGGGTTGACCAAGGCTCGAGCCAGGACGGTCAGTCGAGACTTGCGACGGGGTGCGAGAGAGCGGGGTCGACTGCGGGGGAGGCTGAACGGGGTATTGCTGTTGGATGTAGGGGGCCTGCGGGTTGTAGGGCATGCCGGGACGGGGTTGCGGCGAAGGAGGGGTCATGTACTGCATGTTCTGCATGTTATAACCACCTGGATAGAAGCCGTAGTTGGGATCGTAACTCGGAGGGTAGCCCTGATCATTTTTAATCCATGTTAGATACTGTTCAAACTGACCGCTCTCCGGAGCGAAATCTGGTAAGGGCATTGGGGCTGTAGGGGGAACCGCAGGGGGGCGGCTGTTTCCACGGGGTGTGCCATAGCTTCCATAGTCACCACGATTGCCATGGTGGCTGAGTTGGCTATAGTTATTGCCATGGCCGCGCGGGTTGCGATAGTTGCCACGCCGGGCGGGTTTGTTTTGATGGGGGTAGGGTGGGTTTCTCACAGTTTGGGGACCCATGTGCTGTCCGTAGCCGGGGTAGGGCTGAGGAGGCATCTGGGGGTGGGCCATGGGAACTTGGTTCATTTGAGGTGTGGTGGGATGCGCGTTGGCGAGGGCCGGGCTTCGGTTCGCTTGGTGTGGCGAGTTCGGGAAGGGAGGCATCGGCCGGCCCTGGTTAGGGCCGTGGAACTGAGGGCCCATGTTGGGACCACCGCGAGGCTGATTAGGTGTCTGGCGGAAGTTCGGGCCTGGTGAGTAGGGCATCTGTCCACCTTGGTATCCAGACTGGGAGTATCCGCGACCGCGGCCACCCTGGTGAGGGTATCCGCCACGGCCAGGACCACCACCCATGTGGTTGCTCATATCACTGTGAGTCGACTGGGAGGACTCGCGACGAACGTGCTGCTGGCCGGGACCGAGAGGGGCCTGTAATGATAGGCGCATCTGTGTAAGCATGCAGTTGAAGAAAAAAGTGGGGAGGGGGAGGGTCCCCAAAAAGGTTGAGAAAATCAAAGAAAAAAAAGATAGGAGGGATGATGCGCGGTCGCGTTTGCCGTTCCCGTTTCCGCGCGCTTCACATGCGCCACGGCACATCATCACACAACTCCAGTTGTGACCCAATAAAAAAAAAGTAAAAACCCCGGATGCACCAACAAGCGCAACGGATATATACAACAAAAAAAATTTCACTTACGTTGTTATCACCAGTATTCTCTCCAAAGCTGCCAAAGTTAGGAACGTTGCCCTGGGCCTGATAGGTCGAAGGTGGGGGACGACCACCGCTGGAGGCGGGTTGTGGGATGGGCGACGGGGAGGTCTGAGGCGAAGTCACTCGTGGGTTGGTCGAAGGGGCACCCAGGCCAGGCTGGGCCTGGTTGGAAGCAAGCACGGCTGGGTTACCCATGTTGGGGGAGCTCTGCTGGTTGGCAAAGCCGAACTGAAGAGAGTTGGGCCGGCTGGCAGGGCCACCGTTGGGCATGTATCCCGAGGCACCGGCAGAGGTGATGGTCACAGAGGGCTTGCGGGAGTGGTCATTTTGAGCAGCAGCAGGGGCTGTAGGAGCACCATTGACAATGGTAACCCCAGACTGAGCCTGCGGCTGGGAGTTTTGAGATTGCATGGGTTTGCCGTTCACTGGAGATGCGGAAGTCGACTTCCCATGTTGCGCCGAGCCACCCACGGTGACGGGAGCAGCGGAGGAGTCCGTGGTGGACTTCTTCGTGGCGCTGGCGTAGGACTTGGCCGTCGCAGCCAAGGGGGTAGATGAAGTGACGGACGGGTTTGAGGCGGAGGTAGCGGTGCTCTGTCCTGGTTGAACGCCCGACTGAGGAGGGTTCGAGGTCATTAGACAGGTGGTATCCACGTCAAACGCGCAGAGGAGAGGACTCGAAGGAAGCTTTTCTGGGTGGACGAGGGGAGTGTCGCCGAGGTTTTCTTGATGGAGGGTGGGACGTTGAGATGTCAAGTTGCGGACGGGGCTTGACGAGGCCACATCCAAAACCTGAGGATCTGCGGAGAAAGGAAAATCCCAAAGTTAGAGGGGAGAGTCAAATCAAATGAATGAGATGACAAGACCGGGGGCGCAGCAGGGGAGATGCAGCGCGTGTACCGGAGAGAAGGGTGAGTGAGGGTGGTGGGTGGGTGGAATAATCCAAGTTTGGGGTGTGTGGGAAGGGAAAAAATCCACTGCAAGTGGAAAAAAGTTGTTTCGGTGGGAGAAGGAAAAAAAAGTCTTCGGGAAGGAAAGAAGAAGCAACGTTTCTCGCCCAGGCGGCGAACTCACCAACGAAGAAAGGTTTCCGAGAAGACAAGTCCGTTTCTCAAGAGATTGGACTTGAAAAGGAATAATCGGGAGAGAGAGAGACAAGCGAAGGTCGATTGATGGTCGGGAAGAAAGACGATTGTGGTTGTACTTGTATCGACAAACAGCGCCGCCACAATGACATCGGCGAAGTTCCCCGGGTTGATCAAAGACGCCTGATGAAGGCGAAATAGGGTGCACAAAAATTGGTTGGTTTAGATGATGAGTTGAGGAGAATTTTCCCTCTCGAAGCTATCTATCTCTACGGTGTTGGACGACGCCTGGACATTTCCCCCTTGGGACTCGGAGGACTCCATACTGGACTGACAATCCGGAGAGAGAACAATGAAGTGGATCTGTGGTTGTCCCCCTCCCAATGTGGCTCCGTTTTGCCACGGCAAGTACGATAAACTAGGCCAGTGCTAACCGTGTCCCTCATAGTGTAGTGTGTAGTCAGTTTACAAAGTTACACTCTCTTGTCCTAGGTATCCTATGGTTGTGGATGGAGCCGTCCTAGTCAGCGCGCTACTATACTATCTCCGACTCAGCAACTAATCCTCCTTGGTCTTCGTTTCATACTTTCTATTCGTGTTCGGTGCATTTTTAAGCCGGTATGACTCAAAATATCCTGCTTCAACGGGATTAGGAGTTACTCCCTTAGTGCATGATTCATGAGCGTAATGCCGTAGGGGACGATTCGGCCATTCTAGGACTAGTTCCTAGCCGTGGACTATAAGGAGTTCCAGTGTCCTAAGGGATACGGGCCCTCTCTTCTCCTCCCCTTGGCAAGTATTCCATCGAAAGGGATGACTGATACACTCCATTATGTATCAGTTAGTGGTACCTGAAGTACGGCGAGTCAACTGAATGATATCACTTCCGCACATTCCTAGGATCGACAATTCGATTCTTCCCGGATCCCACCTTGCAGCAGCGCGAACTTTCTCGACGTGCAGCAGGCGAGATTCTTCCGACCGGTTTGATTCGGTTGATAACTCCACCATTTGGGGCCCCCACGGCTGACAGATCGATCAAGTAATGCAAGACGTGAGGTATATGATTTGCCCAGTCACTAGTCTCTCGAGTCCACCCGGTCGCCAGTCGCTAGTCCCGAGGTAGAAGGCGATAATAAGCAAGTATGGTGGGACGAGGCGAGAGGGCCTTTGCGCCCCTCGATAGCAGATGGCGTGATCTTATAAACTCCGTACGTTCAACTCGTCCTATCCGGGGAGCAATGAGGCTCGTTCTATGTATGTTGAAGGCTAGGTGCATGTCTCTGGTTTCTTCTTTCTCATTCTCAAGCTTCGCGTTTGGTATCTGGGTAAAACCGAAATGTGCATTCATCTTTTGGAAATCGTAATCATATCATCCTCTACCCAGCGACACACCCAAAAAAAAAAAAAAAAAAAAAAAAAATACAAGGTTAGTAACGATCATATCCAGATGTCCGAGCAGCGTGGTCGGTGCCTGATGAGCCCGACGAGTCATGTTCGTTACCCAGCCAGGCCGATGTCCATCGACTGCTCGTCCGCCGGGCACCACTGCGGCTCCCCAAATCCTCATCGTCAACGACATCGAATGAGGTTTCGCTGAGATCCTTTCGTAGCGGAGCACCGTATGCAAGGTCATCGTTCTCTGCATCGTTCTGACCCATCGCTTGTTCCTCACGACTCAAAGTCGAGCGCAGGAAATCCAGCACCTCGCGCTGTCGGGAGATATAACTGGCTTTCTCGGCACCGGACATGGTATCCAGCTGGCGCTGGAGAAGGGTGCCGCTGGCTGAGAGCTCCTCCTCGTGTACTCCACGAGGCTTGCCGGCCGAAGCGACGGACCCCAGGGCAGAGCCGAGAATCGAGTACCAATCGTTGGTAGCTGCCGGTGCTCCAGCTGGGGCTCCGGGCGCTGCCGTAGCGCCAGCAGTCGGGATATTGAATCGCGAGAGCAAGGATTGAGCATAAGCGGCGGGCCCGGATGGCGGTGGTGGCGCTGGTTGTTGCGGGGGAAGACCCATAACTTTCTCCCTGATCAAGTCGATAGCTTTGTAGAAGTATTGCAACCCCAATGCCTTGGCCTGCTCGTGCGACCGACCGATGAACTCCTCAATCTCGCGTTCGTGGTGGGTTAAGAATGGATCAACGTAGTCCTGGTAGAGCAGGCGAGCTCCCTGGGTCTGGGGTAGAACGAGATAGCACATAAAAAAGAGGCGGATCCAGCTATAGAAGGGGAACCTAGGATGAGAGAATTGCCGTTAGCTTCCGAAGCAGGCTGTCACAACTAGAGAGTCGGCAAAGCTATACCATCCAATGATGAACACTGTCCAAGATTCCACCAGCAGCACGACGGACAACACCACCCAGTACATCAGCCATGGTGCGAGTTGGGAGGGATCGGCGGAGCGGAGAGCCTTGTAGGAAGCGAAGATGGGGAAGAGAATAGTGATCACGGAGCTATAGAGATGGCGGTCAGTAGCTGGACAACGTTGCGAACAGCCAGTTCAATGAATGTGCTCCAGAAAGATACTCACGACAGCAAGTCCGCAAAGATGCCGAACATGATGGCGGAGGAGTATAGGGAGGGCGAATCTGGGATAGCGAAGATCAAGAGGGGTCGACAATTAGTGGTGGGAGATCAGGCAGCTCTCTCCAGGCTTCAACGCGGTGGTCGGAGGGCTGCACAGTTTTAAATAAGGTGGGGCCGAGTGTTCTGAAACATCGGCATAGATTTGCTTGCGAACCCCAAGGAGGCTAGAGAAAGAAGAGCCTAGGAAAAAGGAACAGAAGATGAGAGAATGGTAGGTGAGCTGTGGAGATCTGCGATCAGCCCCGTCCCTCTCTCGGGGCGGTCATGCTTCCTCTCCGATCAACGGCTCGTCTTGACGTCACGCGAGGAGTCGGTCCTGTTCGTCTCCTTATACTATAGAGCTCAGTAGCTGTCCCGCGCAGCCATCTTTAAGGAACGAACCATACATCTCAAGCACTCGCAAGGCTTATCATTGTCAACCCATCATCACTCTTGACTTTGGCTTCCGTGCGATCAATTTCAAGATCGACGTGCCACTTCCTACTGGCTTACTGGCTGCGGCTCTCGAATCCGCCTAATCACCCGATGCCCGAGGCGCTTGCATGATCGGTGCCGTTTTCTTTTCTTCCATTTTCTACGCTCAATTACAATTTTCAATCCCCTGGATCGTGGCAAACTGTACTACGTTCCTCCAGATTTTGTTCTGCGCATCTCCGCCTAGTTTACCCTTCCCCGCTTCTGTTGAGGTCTCCCCGAGAACCTCGGAACTAAACAATGTGTATCGCTCTGATCTCGACCGCCCACCCTGCCTATTCTTTGATCATCATTAACAATAGAGATGTGAGTGATATATCATGATTTGTTTCGGCCCTTGTCGACTGATTGCGGATAGGAATTCCTTCGACGACCGACCTCGTCGCCGGACTGGTGGCCAGAGCCAGCGTCGCATGTCCTCGGCTCACGCGACTTGGCACGAGCCACGCATGGCACCTGGATGGGAGTCACCAAGCATGGCAAAGTAGCCGTACTCACGAACTATCGTGAAGATAAATGCGCCCAAGCAGTTGGGGTCCATAGCCGAGGCCGGATTGTCAACAGCTGGCTCACCAGTTCTCCGAGCGAGGGTCAGACCACCCACGATTTTGTGCGTGAGATGGTCGCCAGCCCCGAAGCCAAGCAAGTCGGAGGATTTAGTCTCGTGTGTGGCCACGTCAACGAACCGCTAGCCATTGTCTCCAACCGTTCGTCCGACATGGACCATATCACCTGGGTAGCCGCGGAGAAGAACCAAACCCGTGGGCTGAGCAACACCAGTGTCGATGACCGAACGTGGCCGAAGATTCTGGATGGAGAGAACCTCATGCAGCGTGCTATCGGGGACCATGCACAAGCCCAAGAAGATGAAGATACTCTCCTGCAGCGACTCCTTGGGGTGCTCAGCACCGACACCTTACCGCGACTACCCGAAGGAACCAGCGTCGAGACTTATATCCAACATCTACGGAATAGTATTTTCGTACCAGTCATAGGGGCCGAAGACGACGTCAATAAAGAGGTCGAAGATACCGCAGCCGCCAGGATCGAGGATGAACCGAACCAGCCTCGGGTCAACGGGCCCCTGGACCAGAACTATTCCTCGGGGCCGTACGGGACTCAGAAGCAAACGATTCTTTTGGCTCGGCCCGATGGTCGAGTTCGGTATTTTGAGCGGACCCTTTATGATAATGATGCCAGGGCCGTACCCATCGGACAGGGCGATCGGTCTTTTGAGTTCCACGTTGAACAATAGCAATTAGCCGGCCACGACCGATCACCCCTGCAGCGACCGTGGCTCAACTGTAGACTCTGACCGCTTATGACCATGATAAAACGGACATCGCATAGGAGGATTCGAGGGATGCGAATGGGGGAAAGCCATGAGGGATCTTGTCGGTTTCCTGCTGCCTGCTTTGTTATCTAGACTTGGGAGGCTTGCTTCCAAGCGGTGTAATTGATACCAACTCCACTTATCCCGATTGTCCACACGGATTATATATGCTTACCCTGTCATCCACATAGTATATGAGGTGTAGGATCCGTACTCGTTGCAAAGGAGCCTCCGAACCCATTCGGGCTAAGCGCGATTGAACTATTGACCGACCGTCATGCTAAACGGTCCGCCGTGTTTCAGCTTAACAGATTGTTCATCTACCCGGTACCTTTTCACTTTCCTTGTGTCTCGGCCTCTTCCCTAAGAAGAGAAACGCCGAGAACCCACTGCCCCTGGACCGGAATAATTTCCTGGCATTCTTCCACTTATGACTTGAAGCCAGGGGTTCTACAGGGCGCTTCGTGCAATCATCCTGAGCCTCTGTGGACCGGACCCTGCGTCAAAACAAGTCGACTCCACACTTTCGGACGCCGCCATCACCATAGTCATAACGGCCTGCCCATGATGGTCCTGATCCAGTGATCCCCGGGCTAGCCTAATTTTTTTTTTCTGGCTAAGCTATTCATTTACCAACCCCGCCGGGTGACAACGGATAGGAAATTAGATTAACCTATGGCCCGATTAGGATCGTTCCAGCCCGTTCATGCCAGATGCGGTGGTCCTGAAGCCATCGCCAATATTCACCCAGATCCACCCGACTCCTGGAGGAACTATCCGTTTCTTAATTGCTTGCAGTCTTAGCCTCCGCCAGTCCTTCGTCCAGGACAAGTCGGATAACGGTAATTTTCATTCTGTCAGAGGGGCCTGAAGCGACGAACCCACTCCATGTATCAGATGTTCCCTAGCTTTACCGAACCCAATAGTCAACCCTGTTTGACGCCCACCCCCTCTCTCTCTCGATATGTCGAGCTATATAATAAGCGAGACCTTGGGGTCTCTTGTCTTCTCCTTCTTCTACGACGTTGTATTTTGTTAACATTCCTTTCCTTAAGCATCGAGACTGGTTTCTCGATCTTTTCCTTCTTTTTTAAACACCCCATTGGGCTTCACATTCTTTCGTTCGACAAACTCGACAGTCATTCTCTCTTTTAAAATCTTTAAAAATGAAGTTCACCAACATGGTTCTGGCCGCTAGCGCTGCTGGCATGGCCGTTGCTTACCCTCGTGGCCGTGACGTTGTTCCCGAGAAGCGCAGCGTTGAGAAGAAGCGTGCTACTGGATTCACCTGTGAGATTCGACCATGCATATTCAGCAATTGCTACATCGAATGAGCTTGATGCTAATGGCACGTAGGGGTCGGTGTCAGCGAGTCTGGTGCCGAGTTTGGTTCTGCCATCCCCGGTACTCTGGGAACTGACTACACCTGGCCAGTAACCTCTCAGATCCAGGTTCTCCGCGATGCTGGCATGAACATCTTCCGTGTTCCCTTCTTGATGGAGCGTCTGGTGCCCAGCAGCATCACCGGCACTCTGGACGCCACCTATCTGGCCGCTCTGAAGTCGGTACGTGATGGATTCATGATGAATACCCACAGGAAACCTGAAGCATGTACTGACCTCTGTGCTTTTGCCCTTTCAAGACAGTCAACTATATTACCGAGAGCGGTGCCTATGCCGTACTTGACCCCCACAACTATGGCCGATAGTACGAGATGCCGTCCTTCCTTTTATACTCGGACCTTGAAAATAACCTTTACCACAGCTCTGGAAGTATCATCAGCTCTACCGACAACTTCAAGGCCTGGTGGAAGACCGTGGCTACCGAGTTCGCCTCCAACGACAAGGTCATTTTCGATACTAGTAAGCCTTCAATCAGTCTGGACCGACTGACTAGTAAACTAACCACAATATCCTTAGACAACGAGTATCACGACATGGATCAGACCCTAGTTCTCAACTTGAACCAGGCCGCCATCGACGGTATTCGTGCCGCCGGCGCCACCAGCCAGTACATCTTCGTCGAGGGTAACGCTTGGACCGGCGCCTGGTCCTGGACCAGCAACAATGACAACATGAAGGATCTGACCGATACTGAGGACAAGATCGTCTACGAGATGCACCAGTACCTCGACTCTGACAGCTCCGGTACCTCCGAGACCTGTGTGAGCAGCACTATCGGCAAGGAGCGCCTCGAGGCCGCCACTACCTGGCTGAAGGACAACGCCAAGAAGGGTTTCATCGGCGAGTTCGCCGGTGGTGTCAACTCCGTTTGTGAGACCGCCGTCGAGGGCATGCTTTCCTACATGTCCGACAACTCCGACGTCTGGATGGGCGCCGAGTGGTGGTCCGCCGGTCCCTGGTGGGGATCTTACATGTACTCGCTCGAGCCTACCGACGGTCCTGCGTACTCGACCTACCTGTCCATCCTGGAGAAGTACTTTGTGAGCGGCTCTTCGTCCTCTTCCTCCTCCTCTTCTTCTACCACCACCGCCAAGGCCACCACCAGCACCACCACCGCCGCTGCCCAGCACACGACTACCTCTACTTCTACCTCTACCACTGCCGCCGTTAAGGTCACCACCACTCCCAACAACCAGGTCGAAGTCTCCAGCTCTGCTAGCTCCACCACTACCACCGCCCCCGCCGTCGTCCAGACCACCCTCGTCAGCAAGCCCTCGACTACCAAGTCTGCCTCCACCACTACCACTGCCGCTTCTTCCTCCTCCACCGGCGGTACTGTCGCTCACTGGTACCAGTGCGGTGGTATCAATTGGACCGGCGCTACTGCCTGTGAGAGCGGTTACACCTGCGTTGTGCAGAACCCCTACTACTCTCAGTGCCTGTAAAGAGCGAGTTCTTGTGTGAAAACGAGAGGCTTGACTAAAAGGTGATTTGCATATAGCTTGACAGATTCGGTTTGGTGATTGTTTTCTTCTTTCTGAAAGGCTTCGGTCTTCGCTTGTATACTTCTTACTTTGGTTCTACCACTTCTACTTCTTCTTCACCTTTCATATATTTTTCAAACAACTTTCAACCAACCGAGGAGCTCACTACACCACATAACCAATAAAGTAGGAAAGCTATTTACCAGGACACTACGCTTATGCAAATAGTCTAAGCCCCGAAAAATCGAATGTAGATAATTTACAGGCAACAGGACCTGCATCGACACCGGTAATGAGGACTAGATACGATGTCTATTCCAAATATATATAACTAGATCAAGCAAGATGTATGTAAGACTTCATAATGCTCATGGGAGGTTGACCAAAGTCCAAACATAACAGGAAATAGAGTAAGATTTTATGCAGAGTCACCCAAAGGAGTGAGAAACATGAACAAAGAAAGGAAGGAAGCAATTGAGAGAGCAGGTAACAAGGTTACCTACCAGTTCAATGCCTCACATATCGGGCACCAACATCCCGAGGCTCCATGCCCACCCAAGCGGTTGTCTCTGTCTTTGAATATACGTGTTTCACTCTGTACCGAGAGATAGAAGAACCTTCTTTTGTTTGAATGGAATGAGCCTTGTCCAAAGAAGGTCCCGCTCGTAATCGAACTGGGAAGGATTCTGGCAAACCGGGCACGGGGCTTTTGCTTTTCCACTTTCTACGTCCCGGACAGAGAGCTGCTTTAGAAGCATCAAAACTAAAATTTCAGCTTTTCTTCCTTGAAAAACAAACTAGGCATCCTTGAGACCCTGCTAACTCGGAATCCATATGGACCTCCTTCATATGAATCACTTTATTTCCTTTTGGATCATAGTTTTAAATCCAAACTCACTCTTCAACACATCAGGTTGTGTAGTGTAATGGTCATCACTCCAGATTCTGATTCTGGCAATCCCGGTTCGATCCCGGGCACGACCTCATTTCTTTTTCCTTTTTTGTGCCCCATTTTGTGCCCCATAACATCCAGAATTCTCTCTATACATTGGAGCCTCTTGTTTTTTGACAGTCACTAACTCCTACAATCCGGCAGATCGGAAGCCCCGAATCACGATGCCGACCGAAAATCTGATGTGTGGCGGCAGATTCGCCCTGAGCCTGCGTTGATGCTATACGCCCCAGCCGAATTAGGGAAGTATTTTGCATGTCATCTTGAATCCATTCATCGTTCAGACACGACAACATCTAGCATCTTCATTTACCTCGACTCTAACATTCGAAATCTTATTCAATTGCTTCCAAAAAGACTCTCCATCAAGGACCACGTCCAAGAACTTGTCATGACCACTCCCAAACATCCCGTGAGTCGACCTAAATACGTACTGATAATTACATCAGTCTAATAAGACTCATAGGTTCCCCACCACCGGGATCAATAGACTAAGATGAAAACCACTACTGTACGATCGTAGTGGGATTTTTCCTACCAGAAGGGTATGGTGGGACCTCAAAAGTCTGGGATAGAGTATGTCTGGCTATGCCTTTTCTTCCAGCACTACTGTAAAACATTCATCAATGTATAGCAAATCGTAATCGTCGTATCAGAGGCTAAGTATAGTTACTGAATAGCCAATAAAAGAAGCTGTCGCGGAGATGCCAACATAAGGCCAATGCAAATGGCTATACCCCCCGAGTCAAGAATGCAACGGGGTAATCAAAAAGCCGCCAAAAATGTCCAGAAAGAAAGTATCCACAAAAGAATCCCACCCTATTAACCACCCTATTAAACAAAGTCTGCCCTTGATATCCGGATCAATATTTTTACGCATCATCTGCCTGGTGCATACGGACAGTCAAGAGATCCGCAGGGCAGCTGGTCAAAGTCAGACCCCAGCGAACCTTCTGGTCGGCATTGATATCCTCGATCTGATCGAAGCGCTGCAGCAGACGAACGAGTACGTATCCAGCCTCGGTGAGGGCGAACTGCTGTCCAATACAGATACGTGGCCCACCGTTGAATGGAATATACTCCCAGCCAGCCTTGCGGTTCAACCAGCGATCGGGCTTGAACTCATCCGCGTCCGGACCCCAGAAATCCTTGCGACGGTGCATAACATGGGTGCTGTACACGACGGACTGGCCCTTCTTGATATATACTGGGGACTGGCCGTCAGGGCCACCGCCACGCGGGATAGTAGTATCGCGGGTGGCGGCGCGGCGGTTGAAGGGGACAACGGGGAACAGGCGGAGGGACTCATTCATGCAGTACTGCAGGTACTGGCAGGATTTGAGGGTGGCGAAGGTGATGTTCTGCGGGTTGGAATAGGTGCCGAAGTTCTCGATGATGGTCTCGCGCAGCTTCTTGAAGGTATCTGGGTTCCGTGCGAGCATCATGACGGTCCAGCTGAGCAAGGAGGCAGTAGTGTCACGGCCAGCGAGGAGGATGTTGAGGAGCTGCGAGCGCAGTTCGATCGGGTCACGGGTAACGGAGAGAAGGGCTTCCAGGAATACGTAGTGCTGATTTTTCTCCTCGTCGATGGGACGCTTGCCGCCGTCTACGGCTTTGAGAGCATTGCTCACGACGCGGTCCACAAAGTCGTGCACCTGTTTATCCGAGTGTCGAGTTTCCTTGTTGTTCACGACGAAGGCGAGCTTCTCGAAGCGGCTACGTTGGGCACAGACCCACTGTGCCTTGTCAAAGTAGTATGCGAAAGAGTCTTCGGGACGCTGCAGCCCCTTGAGCGCACCCAATTGGCTTTCCACGCTTTCGCCAAACAGGAACTCGGTAGCGGAATCGATGGTCAAACGGAAGAAGATGGTCTGGAGATCGGTCGGAGCCGTCCAACCATTCGCAGCAACGGGTAGGGCCTGCATCGCTTTCTGTACATGTTCTTCCTCCAGCTCGAGCTGACTGATTTGCTCCCGAGTAAACTGCGGGCGTAACAATCCACGCGATCGTGACCATTCCTCTCCATCGGCGGTAAACTATGAGACTCGTGGGTTAGGGATCGGCTCCACTGATCGTCGCAAGGAAGCCAAAAAAAGATTTGAAAAAAGTAGATTGCATGTGACTCACGATTCCAGTTCCGAGCAAAGGGTGCATGCTATGACGGCGCACCTCACCCAGCTCAAAGTCCTTGAATTGAGTGGCCAGAACGGCCTGGATGTTTTTGGGATCAATGGTAAATACCAAGTTGCGACCTAGGTTGCGCAACACGTAGGTAGTGACGTAGCGGCCCTCCTGTTCACTCACGATCTCAACGCGGCGTGCCGACAGCTCCGGCAGGAGGTTCTCCTTGTCGGCAGCTAGCGACTGCTTGAGAGTATCGATGCCGATAGGGTCCTTGCATGGGAATAATGGCAAGCTGCCGCAACCGAGCTCGCGGGCCTTGCGCGAGTGCTGCCATGATGCCAGTACCATGCGAATGATCTGGAGGACCACGGCCGCGGCCGCGAAGCCCAGGACGAAGGTGTAGGTCATGGTCGCGGAGCGGCGAAAGTTGAGAGGCGGGGAATGCTCATGCTGCGGAGCGAGAGATGGACGAAGGTCATTATATACAAGAAATAATGACTAGTTGCTTTCAGGATCGGGGCCTCGGTTGCAGGAAGCTTTACCACAGGCACAAGGACTAGGACCGGGTGGGGTGGGGAGAAAGGAAAGGCGAGTCCGAGCCTGGATGATCCCATGAGGGCAATGGCCAATGAGCAACTCGGAGTGGTCAGAAGCGGACTTGGAATGCGGGTTTGGAAGTCCACCTCCGATCTGATCGGCTCCCGGTCTTGCTCGGTGGGGGAATCGTGTCCGTTGACTTCGTTGCTTTGACGCTTTGACGGAGGCGTTTCATAAGTTTGGGCTAACTTGTTCGGTCGTGTCCGATCGGTGAGCCCGTTCAGCTGCATCTTCTTTCTCTTTGTCCGTCACTAGTGCGACCGGGAAGATACTGTTGAGCTCCATCGCGGCCCACCACTGTGGCTAAAAAACAAAGCAACCTTCAAGGTGTATCTTCAAGGTTGCAGCCTGGACTCATGGAGATCGGAGATTATGTCCCCGACGGAATATGTACACTCACGGACTCCGCAAGCTGGTCATAAGCAGGGACTTGGTCGTGTTCTGTCGTCACCTCGCATGGGGCTTTGAAGGCTTCGTCACCTCGGATTCTCGGCATGAAGGACTGCCAAATCAAAATTAAGCTTGATGGCAGCTCAAGCTAGACTCTGCTGAGTAAAGGCTGTGCAGCTGACCCTGGATTAGTTAATAATAATCCCTGATACGTTGCGAGGCGAGATGGGGGGGTGTGCAGACATGCAGCCTTGGCGGGTCATGCCTGCCGAGGCCGGGATTATCTGATTACTGATCCACCAGAGCTCAACGAGCATTCAAGAAGTTAAACCCTCAGTCATCTTTATGTTTTTGTCTATCAATCATTCTCTTGAAGACATCCCGTAAACTACACCCAAATTCGCTTCTCAACTAGACTGATGCCTGGATCCAGCCATCCACATTCCGACGTCCCGCTCTCGGACACATTGTCTGCCCGATCCTATCTCGAACTTGGCCATGATGCGTTCCAGGCCCAACTCCAGCCCCAATTTCGACCTGCCGAATATATTCCGGCGAGCATCTTCAATCCCCTGGCATCGGGAGATCTGATCCAAGCTTCAAGCACGTCAGGCCCGCACCTGCGTCCGCGCCAACGACGACCGATCCACAAAGAAGCGGAGAGGACCGAAACAGCCGCAGGTACTAAGGACCCGCATCGTGAAAAGGATCGACCGGTACGAAAAAGAGGTCGACCAAGAATTGAGACCGCAAAGGACGCAGCGGCAATTGAAGTATGTAGTCATCCAGAACTTTTATGATGGACGGGAAGGTGACCTACCGCATGTGGGAGGAGCACCGTAGTGGAGCACGAGGCTGAACCTACCAAGGCTTATGTTGCTGACCCCCGGATATAGGAACGTCGTTTGCAAATCAGGCGGGCTCAACGCACCTACCGCCAGAAGAAGGAGACGACCATTCAGGCTCTCAAGACCCGCGTGGAACAACTCGAACAGACCCTCCAGCAGGTTTCAGATCTGCTGACGGCTGCCCCGGAAGAGCTTGACGCCCTCACCAGCCCGAGCGACCTCTCCCGTGCGCGGCAATTGGCGCTAGCGGAGATAAACAAGGCTCGTGAATTCCCAGCCGAAGTCAGCGATCCAGTGGGACGGACGACAGAGTCGCTACGCGATATATTCGGGTACGAAGTTTTGCATGGGCGAAGAAACGCCAACGAGGATGATTCAAAGTCATCGTCCTCTAGGAATGCGCAACGACAAAGAAAAGTCGCCACGGACCCGGGATACCCCCATCCACGATCCCCATCCCCATTGCTCAACCGCCTCTTCCCATCCACAACCATCTACACCTATAGTTACCAAGAATCCTGCTTGTCCAGACGCCTCCAACGGTTCTGTCTAGAACACACCTACCGATGGCTCTCGGACGCAAGTTCCGAACCCCAGCTGATGAGCCGTGTCTTCGGGCTATTTCCCTGTATCCAAGACATGCCCGGCGTTCGACGTACCTCCCGGCGCATCCTTCAATCCGAAATTGGCGGGCCACTGGAAATAACCAAAGTACCCTTCTACACGCTCGGTGGTGCGGGTATGCATTATCCGCGCTCCAATGAAGATGGAGAACCCATATATCCGGTAAACAGGCGCCGGCCTGGGAAGATCCTGCGGAGACTAGCGGGCATTCTGCGGAGGGGCGGGATCTCCGATTGGGACGAGGATTGGAGTGGCGATTTGGAGCCCGATGCTGGTGATAAGCAGGGTGAGGATATCCGGTCTCTGAGCGAGGAGGAGCGTCTGCGCTTTCTGGATCTTGAGGGGGATTGGTTCGATTGCCACGATGTCCAGGGGTATCTTGAAGACCGGGGTTTCGTGCTAGAGGGCTCATCGGTGTGGTTGGAAGTACCGGCAGCGACGGTTGGAGCCTTATATGGCTTTTACCCGGACAGCGGTTCTGATTACTGTGCATCGCAGTTGTATGTCTCCCCCGGGGAGATTTCTTCCAGTGATGTGAGTGAATTACAAGACCTGGGGACGTCGACATCGAAGTATACCCTGAACGTTGAATGCTTCTTTGATTGTAAGTGACGATTACATTCGGAGTTATCATCATTCTGAACACTGCCTGGAGCTACATCCAAATGCTAACGCCATCATCAGTGCTCCTTTCCAACATCAGGCTGCTCGGCCGAGCGCCTGGCTTCCGCCTCTGGGACGTGGATGCTGCACTCCGCTCGGCAATCCACCGGCGATCCTTCTGAGCCGATGTCGACACATCGCCAGTATCGATATTCTATATGACTTGACGAAAATAACGAGCCGACATGAAATACGATGATACGAGAGCATAGAATAAGCAAAAACTCCAATAGAGAATGAAACTCTGTTATTGCATGATTGTCATTGGGTATATCGCATAGACGTCTGATATGACATAAAAAACACCATCACCGTCACCATCGTCGCCACTCTAGGATGAGCAACAAGCCTTTCTCATTCAGCAACCGCCGCCTCGTTGGGCGATCTCATTGGCATACTGTGCCCATTGCATGCATCCTCCATCTCGATTCGTAGAGGGGTTGGTCATCTAGCAGCAAATCTCGCAGCACTCGAAGCAGGCAAGGCCGGCGCAGCTGTGAATCAGGTTAGTGACTCGTCACGCATAGCAAGGCTTTCGAGGTTGCCCCTCGGGGTCAAAGAGAAATACTCACATTCCGCAGCAAAGGCCACCGCCACCACCACCGCGCAGCTGCATGGACATCTCCTCCTGGCTAGCCTAAATTGCGCATATATTAGTTTCCATTTCTATCTGATTGCGGTTCCGGGGCCAGGTAGTCGGGGTTAGGGGATAGACGTACGGGCTGCTCAGCGACAACGTTCTGGTTGGTGGAGGGAGCGGCAGGGCTGGAAGGCTGCTGCATAGCAACGGTGTTGGGGTTCCAGGAGTTCTCCTGGGCCTGGGCCTCGGCGGGAGCAGACTTGAAGAAGTTGAAGTTGAACATGGTGATGAGCTTGGGTTGGGATGAACGACTGGTGTGTTCCGAGTGATGTATTCTGTGGTAGAGATAAAGGAGGGGGAGAAAGAAGGAATGGACCAGGTGACGGGGGTTGGGGGGGTAGTAATTTAAATAAAATTTAGTTGAGGCGGGATCAGCAGGGCTGAGCTGAAAAAGGGGACCGCTAGAAAAAGGACGATGGAGATCCACCATTACACGACGACGACTAACGTCAATAATGACAGTAGGATGTGGAGGATCGGCCGCCTCTTTGGGCTAGCGTTTACTATTATCGTTGTTTCCGCCCCTCGTCGAGGGTCCTGTAGTCGGTTGCTGACGCATTCCAGTCAGGGAAATTCCCGGGTTTCCCTCTGTACGCTCTGGCTACAACACCGCTAGTACTGCATAACTCAAGAATGACCGTACGTCGATGACCCTGCGCCTACAGACGCGGTCCTAAACATAGTGCCGGACTAATCAGAATCAGAATGGTGCTGCCTGGGATATCCGCCAGGAAACTCCGCCATACAAAACGACGAGGAAGTTCTGGAACACAAAGTACACCGCCACAGAACCGAGGCTTAGATCGAAACAAGCCTCAAACACGTACGTGTAACGATTTCTATTTCTATTTCTTCTTGCATCATCAGCCACCATGAATGGAAAGTCGGGTAAATATTTGTTCTATTCTAATGACGGAATCCGCTCCTCTGCCGTGGTTAGTGGCAGCAACCCATGGTACAGTCAAGTGAAACTGTGCGAGGGGAATCCCCGTCAGCCCTAACCGTGTGGACCACCGCGAGCGAGGTGCCAAGACTCTTGGCAGTCCACCTGATCGGATGTTCGGATCACGGGGCTGACGGGTTGAACTGTTGACTCGTTAAGGAGAGGACAAGGCCGGGCTTCTATGTACAATGTGTGCTCAAAAAACAATGATATACGCTTGATGCATCATTAATTTACAACTTGGCCAGAATGCCATCAGGCTGTAGGACCGATAGATAGCTCTTCTGGATGTCCTTGATCGTGCGGCATCTATGTCAGGGGTTAGTCATGGGCCAAAACACGTGCGGTTACAATTGTGGAACTTGGACTCACCCTGCCAACGCCATGGTAATCCGCAATTCTTGGCGCAGAATCTTGATCGCCAATTCAACACCTTCTTGTCCATCATACTGTATTTGATCAGCTTGCATTCCCACGCAAATTGGTAACAGAGGCAGGAAACATACGGCTAAACCCCAGATAGGGACCCGACCCAGGAAACAATAGCTGGCTCCCAGCGCGATCGCCTTGAAGATATCCGAACCCCGACGAATACCACCGTCAATGGTGATCGGGATCCGTCCTCGAGCAACTGGCGCACATACTCGGAGAGCATCGAGAGTTGACGGCATACCGTCAAGCTGACGACCACCGTGGTTGGAGATTACAATTCCGTCAACACCGTGCTTGATGGCCAATTCCACGTCCTCGGGGGAGCAAACTATCAAAGCAATCTGTTAGAAAGGAAAAATTACAAAAAAATTCAAGGTTCCGATAGTATGACATACCTCCTTTGAGCCAAATCGGCAGCCGGGTATGCTTTCGCAGCCAGGGAATCGCCGTTTCCCAATCCAGGCTCGGATCTATCACACGTTAGTTCTAACGATCCCAATAGAGTATAATTCCAGCAGAAACGTACCATAATCGGTTCGGTCAGAGGTATCGCCTCCACTGCTGAGAATGTTGGGGTACTCCATATCCTCCGGGATACGGAACTCATTGCGATACTCGTTCAATCGTTTTCCAAGCACGGGCACATCCACAGACAGGAACAGTGCCTTGTAACCAGCCTCTGCACGTTTGGTTAGCTCTCTCCCATCATTGCAATTGCTAAGTACCAGGTACGTACTCTCTGCACGGTCCAGCAACTGAATCGTAATCGATCGATCCTTCAACACACACATCTGCATCGCGTAGGGGTTCTCCAGACCCTGGGCGATAACGTCTTCCAATGAACACGTCGCATATGAAGACAAACCCATGAAAATACCGAACTTTGCGGCGGCGCGCGAGGTCGCGAGCTCGCCATCTGGGTGCGCGAGCTTGTGCGAGGCAGCAGGACTGAAACCGAAGGGGAGGGACACCTTGCTTCCGAGGATCTCGGTGGTAGTGTCGATATTGTCGACGTCGACGAGGATCCGGGGACGGATTTTGTAGCGGTCAAAGGCAGACTCGTTTTCTCGCAGGCTACGAGACGGAATACAAGGTTAGATTGGTAATTACCAAAGTCGATGAGATCGTAAGCACGTACGTGATCATGTCCATGGCACCCTCGTTATAATAATCTGCTTGCGTGAGTTACTTGGATATGTGACATACGAACGATTTCACAAAAAATTTACCTCGCACCATTCTGGTGAGCTTCATAGAAGCCAATTTCTTGAGATCATCAATACAGCAGACATCTCGATGGAGGGTTTCGCCGCGATGTGACATTGTGACGATTGTGTACTCGAATGCTGGCTCTCAAGGGTGAGAAGGACGAGATTGAAAAAAAAAAAGGCATTGTCGATCAATGGCAATCCAGTAAAATAAGTAAGCTACCCCGGGGTCACGCGTCGAGCTACCAGGCTTGCATTTGCTATCCGAATCAAGAAGAGTGGTTGCATGACCTTCCATCTGTATATATTGTCTTTGACTTCCTATCGTGGAGTCCCCGCTAACCGGATCGGAATGACTTGCCCCATCCGAGATGACCCCACGATCGACTTGGTTTAAAGGACAGACGGAGGAGGGGTCGACAGGTTGACCGGTATCTAGTCTTGCACTATCCTTCAATTGAAACTACAGCGTACTTTCGACAATCAGACAATTATGGCTCGAATCTTCCTGTAGGTGGCGTGTTTCCATTGGCCAACACTATAGCATGCTGACCTCCACTCTACTATAGGACTGGTGCCACTGGGCTCGTTGGCGGGGACGTGCTCCACGTTCTCAAGACAGCTCATCCAGACTACCATATCAGTGCTCTCGTGAGAGATAGTGCCAAAGCCGCTACTGTCTCGAAGGCATACCCCGATGTGCGCATTGTGCTCGGCGATCTCGACTCTGCGTCCCTGATCGAAGAGGAGGCTAGCCAAGCCGATGTCGTTGTCCGTTAGTATTTCCATGTACCTTTTGTTGACATCAGCTCCCTCTGACTCTACCCAGATGCCGCTGCCAACAAACATATCAGCAGTGTTGAAGCCATTGTCCGTGGTCTGAAAAAGCACACTGGACCCAAGCTTGGTGGGTGAACACGCACGTTTTGCGCTGGGACAAATTTGTTGACTATTTTCCTAGGGTGCTTGATCCAAATATCCGGTGCAAGCCTGCTATCAATCCCAGATATCGTGAATAAGACCTTCGGCGAGGGATCCCAAAAGATCTACGGGGATATTGACGATGCCGACGAGATCCGGGACATCATCCAGAAGAACGCCGACAAGCGTGTCGTTGACAGCTTCTTGCTCAACGTGACTGGCGTCAAGACTGCGATTGTCTTCCCGCCCATCATTTACGGACAAGGTCGAGGACCCAGTAACCAGCGCAGTATTCAGATCCCGGAAATCTCCAGAGTGGCCATCGAAAAGAGACAAACCTTCCAAGTGGGCAAGGGAGAAAGCACTTGGAGCAATATTCACGTCTCGGATCTCAGTAACATCTTCGTCAAGTTGGTGGAGAAGGCTGTCGCAGGTGCCGAGGGCGACCTGTGGAATCAGAACGGTCTCTACTTTGTCGGTGGTGGGCCACAGCTGGTAAGTTTGCCGCAAATTTGAATATGACAAAAGCTAGTAGAGAGCAATGCTGACCGGAACAGTCCTTTGGAAAAATCTCCGAGTTGGTCGCCGAATCCGCGCATAAGTTGGGTCTCACCGATTCGGTGACTGTCCAGAGCATTCACCCAAGTGAGGCAGACGCGTTGTCCCCAGCAGCCAGCGTATTCTGGGGAACCAATGCTCGCCAGACCCCCCAGCGAGCCATCCAACTTCTGGGATGGACCCCGCAAGCGCACTCGTTGGAGCAAGAGATTCCGACGACCGTGCGATTGGAAGCCACTCGCCTGGGCAAACTGTAAATTTTGAAAAAGGAAAGTGGGATCGTCAAAAAGGGAAGGAGGGGGGCCCCGATAAACAGATAAGATAGCGTTAACTAACTAACTTAGAAAAATCTTTGATGACGTAATACAAAGTACCGGGGAAGACTTCTTAAAGGAAGGCAACTCCGGTTCGTCTTTGCGGGGGTTCCCAACGACCCCAGACTTCGGATGTCCATACTTTATTCGAAGAATTGTCCTAGATTAATCTATCCATTTCTATTCCTGTTGCTGCAACTAGTACAGACTTCGGATGTTCATGCTTTGTTCGAAGAACCAAGACCAATCTATCCAGTGCTGTCGTTGAGACTAGCGCCCTCTTGCTCTCGATGGTTAGCTCGAAGAACACACGCGTCCGTCGATCTCACAGATTGGGGGGATGTTCTACATGCCGAAAAAGACGTATGTTGTGGCCTGAGGCATCTCGGCAGATCTATGACGATCATCCATGCTAAAACACGCCTATAGATGTCAAATGCGACCAGAAGCGACCTGCTTGTCGCACCTGTCGAGCGCTGGGGGTCCCATGTGAAGGCTTCTCCGATCAGGTGCTATGGATGCGGGGCAACGATGATGAACCTGACAAGGGAAATACCCGTCGTGGAACGCGTCGCCACTTGTATTCCGGTAAGACTTCATCATCTCACGATTACCGAATTGGATGAACATCCCAGCTGATTGTGTCCTAGAGCAATCACGTCTGTCTATGAGCGCAAGTCTTGGCACAGACCTGGTATCAGGATCAGTTGATGCCTCACTAGCAGAAGTTGATATCCGATCGCGAGACCCTGACCGCCCTGTGGAGAGTGATATCGTCATTGGACCATTCGCCGTTCTCGATTTCTCTGGTTCTGCACCATCAAAGGCGACAGCATCGCCCACCCCAGATGAAATAGCTCAAACTCAAAAGCCCGCCTCACTTGTACAACCAGACGATTTTGTTCAGCCGACGGAGATACCGGCTACGCACTCAGATGATGTTCTTCATCATGAGGATATGCCTGCCGAGATACCAGATCCCAGCCCGGTGTCTATCATCGATTCTCTCTCCAATATGGATGACTTCCTCCATTGGTCGGATATCTTGAGCTTTAGCCCTGATCAATCGGGCTTTGCAACACACCCAACCCTGAGCGCGCCGTTTGACTTTTCATTCGACGTGAATAATGATGCTATCTCAATCCCCACAGCACTGAATTCATTAGAAGATCCTTTACGGTTGTTGGCACCGCAGCAGACTTCCACAGAATTGAGAACATTGAACCCGGATCTCCTCAAAGATGGACAGCTTTTGCTAAAGCATTTCCAAGATGTTGTCATTCCACGAATCATGGCCATACCTTTTGGACAAAAGTCGCCATGGAAGATTCTCAATCTACCTGCTGCAGTAGTTGCGTATGGAGACACAACATACCTGGGTACGGAGGGCGTCAGCCACGCCCGCCTTGCAAACCTTTACGCTCTATTTGCTTGTGCTGCTATTGATCTCGCACTCCAACCGTCTGCACAAATGATTCACTCCTCCGAATATTGGCACCAATTAGCAAACCAGACCTATCAGCAGGCCAAGGATCATATGCAAATATCTTTGCAACACGAAACGGCTGGACCGAAAAAGGCCAAATATAAGGATCAATTGATGGCTGCTAATATCCTCATACAATACGCGGTAAGCACTATTCGAATTATTTCTATTGAGCTTGCTCTTATGTACAATAGATTCTCTCGGGACAACAGCAGCTCGCTCGATGTTTCCTGATAGATGCAGAGCGACTTCTTCGTCTCCGTGGTTTATCAAAACGACGGATTTCAAAGAAAGCCCGCCTTTTACACCATGTATATACGTGGCTGCGAATCGTCGGCGAAAGCACATTTGTACTTCACAATTACAACCTCTCATATTCATGTCTTGAAAACCTTGGCACCTCATCACGCTCTCACCCTTCTTCTTCCTCCGCCGTCAGCAATACCACTGCCGTTGTATCAAGCGAACCCAACCCTCATCTTGACGATTTCCTTCGTCTCGAAAACCAAAATTCAGATAGCGACTTGAACGTTGACGAAACCAAAGACCCGGCATCTGGATACCACGATATTCACCTCCACGATTCTCGCAGCTTCCCCGAAACCCTATACAAACAAATATACGGCATTCCAGAGACCTGGTTGAGCCTGGTATCACAAACAACCAGGTTAGCGAACGTTCTGGCAACATGGCAAACTGCTCGTAATTGTGGCAAGAACTTGCGCCTCGAGGCATGGGAAGCCCTTCAGCGCCGCACATTCCGGCTTGAGAACCTGATATGTTCATTCAGCCTTGGTCGCACTGGGGGCAGATCTGCAGACTTGCAAGCGACCTGTAAGCCACACGCATATATGCTGGAGGCGCTTAATGGGGCTTTGGTAATATTCTTCTACCGCCGAGTTCACGATACTCACCCCGCTACTCTACAGGGCTACGTGGACAGTGTCATTGCGGCGCTGGAACAATGTAGCTTGACCTTGTCAGAAGCTGGTATAACTGGCCCAGGGACTGCTTGGCCTGCTTTCATTGCAGGATGTGAAGCTCTCACCCCGGCGAGGCGAGATGCCGTTACTCAATGGCTTGATAATGCGAGCACCATATCTGGCTTTACTTCGTATGCCACGGCTCGAGATATAATGACCAAGCTCTGGCGCAAGCAAGACGAGCATCTGACTGCCAATCGAAGCGGGCCGATGCCAATGTGGATTGATATCTGCAAGGAGGAGCACATCTGGCCTCTATTTTGTTGAACTGTGACAATACTTTTCTTGTCTGTATCTTATATTCCCTTCTTGCCCATAATTTGTCTCCCTCGGCAACTTTATACGAAGAAACGATGATGAACCATTTCACAAGCATAAGGTCATGTATATCCATTTTCACATGCAAAATCTATAGAAAAATCATTTTCAAGAATAAATATATCAAACAGTCTTCACACCTGCGTTCTCCAGCAGTTGCTTCAACTCTGCCCGCAGCTCGGGCTTCAGCAGAGCGAATGGCTTCCGCAGACCACCCGTGGCCTGTCCAGTGAGTTCCACACCCGTCTTCACAGCCGCAGCATAGTTGTGAGACTCAAGGAACTTGCAAACTGGGTAAGCCTTGGCCCACAGCTCCCGTCCAAGCTTCAAATCGCCCTTCACAGCAACGGCATCCCACAATTGAACCGCCAGCTCGGGAATGATGTTCGCGGCACCCCATACACCACCGGGGCAGCCAGCTGCCAATCCGTAGAAAGTGAGGGTATCCCATCCGTTCAAAGCAATGATCTGATCCGACAGCGAGAAGATAAGCTCGGTCAGGGCGGGCGCATTGCCAGAGGTATCCTTGAGGTACTTGACGCCATACTTGGACAGACCGGCAATCTCGGTGGGGGAGAGGGTCAGACCCGATGCGGAGGGGATATTATAGTACATGATGGGCAACTTGGAGGCGTTGTGGATTTCAGCCAGCATCTCCTGCAGCTGCTCCAGGTTGACGGAGTCGTAGAAGGGAGGGACAACCATGACAGCGGTAGCGCCAGCCTGGGCGGCGTGGACTGAGAGCTCAATTGCCTCAGCAGTGTTGAGACTGCCGGTACCGACGACGACGGGAACACGACCGGCGGCGAACTTGACGCAGAGCTCTGTCAATTGCTTGCGCTCGGCAGTGGTCAGGACGGCGAATTCGCCGGTGCTACCGCCGGGGACGAGGCCATGGACACCGGTTTGAATGAGGTGCTCGATGTGTGCTTGAAGACGAGACTCGTCGATGGCAGACTTGTCATCGTTGAAGGGGGTGATCAGTGCCACCAGGATACCGGTAAGAGCGGTCATTTTTGCGGTGTTGTATATTCGAGGTCTGGAGGAGGGGTATGAGAGAGAGGGGTAATGATAATGATGAAATGAATATGTTGCATGATTTGCTGGATCTTGTCGTGTTGATATACTTGAAATAGCCGGGATTGCATTCTGTTTCTGTGAGATGGTGAGTAATTTGGGGAGACCCAATGTGGCGACAAGAAGGTGGAACGTAGTGGGCGGAGTGACTTGCCCGAAACGGGCGGGAGGGTAGACAGGATCAGATACCGAACTACCTCTCCACTCACCCCTCTTTCCCCAATCTCTTTGCCACGGCAATCCCGTGGTGCAACCTCTTCAATGCTTTTTAATGAATTGCCGAATCAATTTTGAATGTCTCGGGCCAGATAGGACCTCGGATAGAGCAGCTCAACAAAGGAAGCGAACGATGTTGGTGCTGGAGATCTCCACAGGCGACTATAAACCACCAGTAATATCAAGCAAAGAGGCTTAAATTCGAAAAGAATGTCTACAAGCAAAGGAAACTTAGAAGCCAGAAAGACGCATAGTTCGAGATAGTCTAAAATCTGAAAGCGAAAAAATCGAGATAAGACCGATAAACTGAGGAATCAGGGATGAACTGGGGCCCTAGATCTCGCGGTGAAGTCTAAACGTGTTAATATGCATATGGCTTGACCATTTCATACTGTCGGTTCAACAGCCATAGCGTTGCTACTCATGGGTGTTAGAATCAGAAGTCTATTGAGCCATGTATTGGGAGAGCAGAGGGACTCACAGTGTTAGACTGCGCCGGTAAGAGATCGGACGCGAGGAAGCCGATCGCGCTAATCAAGGCGAATAAGGTGGAGTATAAGCCACAAGTTAGCATAAAACAAGCTCGTCTGATGGTATTCGGAGGTCAAACTCACGCATCAAATTGGTCGGCAGACCAGGCCACGGCAGTAGTCACCACATGCGCGGTTGCATAAGAAAGAATAGTCATACGCTAGAATCAGGGCTACTCGCAGGGATCACTCTGAAAGACGGTGCCAGAAGGTAAGGTAATAAAAAAAACATGAACAAGGGCCTGCTTCCACAGTGTTTGGTAGGAAACAAACACCTGTGGGTTCTCCAAAGTTGTGAAAGGCACCAAGACCCATCCATGGTGAATACACCCCAGGAGAACATCAAAAAGGTAATCCGCCGCTATGATCTATTGTTAGCTGGATTATAGGCGCTATGATGGCCGAGGCAACACGAACACTCGGCCTGATATTTGAGTTGACAGGTTGAGGGAATCTTAAAGAGCGCGTGTGTGATTGAAAAGACCATGAGAGCAAAACTACTTACTTTTTAGTTTGTGATGGATGCATATATTGGAACGTAACGTAAATAGACTGGTAAGAAGTAACACCGGTCTCAGAGACCAAATCATCGTGCGTTTTTGTATCCAAAGTTTTCGTGTTGCCTTCGTGACATTAGAGAGACGCTTTGCGTTTTCTTCACGCAAGCTAGAGCGAGACTTGTCCACATTCGATCGATTCAGATAGCAGAGCAAATATATAAACACACCTAGTCGAAGGAACGACTCCGCAGATCATGCTTGCAGAGCAGTGCTTTTTCATGCGCAGCATGGGCACACCCCAGAGCAAAGCTGCTGTTAAATAGGATCTGGAGGGAGCAATATATGTCAAAGTGTCCCCAGTCATAAGTATGAAATGTCGGCCTCGATGATGCCCGCGATAACTCAGTACATCTCACCCTGTATCAAATCCGTGTGGAGGCTATAACTAGGTCGGCTCATGCTTAGAACCCATTGTAAGCTGGGTAGAGAAGTAAATTGTGCCTGTTGGCTGAAGACGGCGAAGCTACGAAACGAAGCAGATCCTGACGTAGCTGAAAGCCAAGACTGCGTTGATGATGGAGGTCTTTAGGAACGAGTATGACCATCTTGGATAATACAGATAGAGAACTTTTCGCCCTTTTGAAATCAACCAAGTTTTGCAAAGTCACTCAGGTTTTTTGAAATATGTTGGATTGGTATGTCTATTATCGGGTAGAATTAACAATTCGAAAAAGGCGAAAGAAGATACCAGAGTCGACACATCAGTGGTGATGTTCTAGATACCACTGGATTAGAAGTGCCGTGGAAAAATAACAAGTAGCTAGAAGTATACTGGTAAGCTAGACGGCTGGCTGGAAGAATTGAAATAAGGCGTGATACGCCCAACAAAGAAAGGTCACAGGTACGTAGATAGGAGGAAATGAACCTAGTACAAGTAGACCCCGATATATTCGGAAACTGCCAGTCACAAACCCAGGATTCTTCCAGCATTTTTCACTCTTCTCGCACCTGTTCACTCCTCTACCCTCCCTTCCCTCGTCCACAAAATCTCCTCTACGCCATCTATCCTCTTACGCGCCCCCACCACAACACCACTGCAAAGGAACTACTTCATCTAACCTGAGCAAGATGTCAGATTGAGAACATACGGACATGGACTGTTTAATTCAAAAATTGATATTGAATTTTGATAGGCAACTGCCTTCTCGGCCTGCAAATGGCCAACACCCCACCCTGCCCAGCGATGTCGAAGCTTCCGATAATACCAACGAGTCCCATGATGCCAGGCTTGTTGCTTATGCGGAGATGATCCAGCGTCTCTGAGAGCTCCGAGACCAATACTAGGTATCAGAAAAGCTCCCCGGGATGCTTCGAGAGGCACAGTTGCAGAGAGAGCAGACCCTGAGACATCTCGACAAGGGAATCACCGCGATGGAGAGATTGTCAAAGGAGATAGCAGATATGGTCAAAGAGGAGCTCGACCGTCACTCGGAGGTACATGAAGCACCGCGGGAGTGGATTGAGGCAATCGACAGTATACAGCAGAAGAATGATTATGAGAATTCCTCAACAGAGGTTTAGGGACTTTCAGAGGTCACCAAGCAAGCCATTTCAAGCCATCTAGATGGTCATACATCTGGGCTTCGCCCCGGTCCAAATTTATTTATTTTCTCAGATTTTTATGGTCAATGTGTACACTCTGGCAATGCAAAATTTATAGGAGGCCTTGTCTGTTAACTTAAATGCTTGCTTCACCCCCGGTGTAAGGGGAAATTATATCAAGATCCTAGAGGGTTAACAATACAATCTGCGAGATTATGGGCTTCGTGGATCTTCGTCTTGCCATTGCCTGTCGATCAAACCGTATCAGTTGAACGCCTAGGCAAGAATCATTCTCAATGGAGAAGATCAATCCAGGCCGATATCAGCGTGAAACCTCCGGATGGACTTGACATAGCGAGACTAGTTGGCGTCGCCACCAACCAGACCACCGACCTCGGAATGTCCTTCCTTGCCCCACTCTCCACTCCCCCACCAAAACCCCTCCTCGCTCTATATCTTCAAGCTATCTGGCACCGCAATCATGGACGGATATTTCAATCTCATTTCCTCCAGCTACCAAAATGAGTCTCTCTGTGGAAATCGTGACCCCTAATGGGCACAAGTACAGTCAACCCACCGGACTGTTCATCAACAACGAATTCGTTGCCGCTTCATCCGGCCAAACAATCACATCTCTCGACCCCGCGTACGTCGCAAAAGCGCCCTCCATGCATAATTAAATTCTAATACTCAGGACTTCTTAGAACCGACAAGCCAATTGCTACCGTTCATGCTGCTGGCTCGAGCGATGTTGACCACGCCGTCAATGCTGCCAAGGCTGCTCTTGCGCATGACTCATGGAAGCTTCTGCCTGCAACTGACCGGGGGATGTTGATGCTGAAGCTTGCCGACCTTATGGAGTCAAACAAGGAACTCTTGGCCACTATTGATGCATGGGACAACGGTACGCATAATTCCTAGCTTCGCAGGGGACCTGGAACTGCACCTCTATCCCTGCACGACGCACAGCGGCGCATGCCCCTGCCGCTCTTTTCATTCATGCACTGTTGCGCTTTCCCACGCATGATGCATCAGTTCCACATAAAAATCTTTTAACTAATTCCTTTACAGGCAAAGCTTACCATGTCGCTCTCGAGGAGGACCTTCCCGAGGCCATTGGCACCATTCGATACTACGGTGGCTGGGCCGACAAGACCTTCGGCCAGACGATCAGCACCACGCCCCAAAAATTCGCCTACACCCTGCGCCAGCCTATCGGTGTGGTGGCCCAGATTATTCCATGGAACTACCCTCTGTCTATGGCCTCTTGGAAGTTGGGACCTGCCCTCGCTTGTGGAAACACCGTGGTTCTCAAGCCCGCAGAGCAGACCCCGCTCAGCGCTTTGGTTCTCGGAACACTCATCAAGCAAGCTGGGTTCCCACCAGGTGTTATCAACATCGTCAATGGATATGGTCGTGATGCCGGTGCTGCACTCTCCTTTCACCCCCTCGTCGACAAGGTGGCGTTCACAGGATCCACTGGCACCGCGCGCGAGATCATGAAGATGGCTGCTAGTACCTTGAAAAACATCACATTGGAAACGGGCGGCAAGTCTCCACTCCTAGTCTTCCCCGACGCAGACATGGATCAGGCTGTGAAGTGGTCGCATTTCGGAATCATGTCGAACCAGGGCCAGATCTGTACAGCGACATCGCGGATCTTCGTCCACCGCGAGATCCTGCCTACGTTCTTGGCGCAGTTCAAGGCCGCCGTTGAGAGCGTCAAGATCGGTGACCAGTGGGATTCGGAGACCTTCCAGGGCCCACAGGTCACTCGTGCCCAGTACGAGCGAATTCTGTCGTATATGGAGATTGCCAAGAGCGAAGGCGCTACTATCCTGACCGGCGGTGCTGCCCACGTCCCCGCCAACCCCGAGCACAAGAATGGGTACTTTGTGCAGCCTACCGTTATCACGGACGCGACCGACTCGATGCGTATTGTCCAGGAAGAGATATTTGGCCCTGTGGTGGTCATCTTGCCATTTGATACCGAGGAGGAAGCTATTCGCCGGGCCAACAACACTACCTTCGGCCTCGGAGCGGCCGTCTTCACGACGGATTTGGAGCGTGCGCACCGTGTGGCTTCTGAGATCGAGTCCGGAATGGTCTGGATTAACAGCAGCCAGGACTGCGATCCTCGTGTGCCATTTGGTGGTGTTAAGCAGAGCGGCATCGGTCGCGAGCTGGGTGAGGCTGGTCTGGAGGCGTACAGTCAGATCAAGGCCGTGCATGTCAATATGGGTAATAAATTGTAGGAACTGGCGTCAGGCTTTACTCGGATAATATAGATTCTTTTACGATAGATACTTGATGAAAATGTGAATGATTACCCTCAATATACTTCAAAACTTGAGTCTTGAGCTATAAGCTTGATTATTTAGGCGATGTTATTAGTCGATCTTGCATTTGTTCACTCGCTGTCCATCTTTTAGCGGACAATTATCAATTTGGATTCTATCTTCTCTGAGCATAAACAGGACTTGTCCCCGGTAACTTCATGGAATACTATCTGTATCAGTAGTTTTCCTTACGTTTATCGCTATGATAGATTGTGTGGAGACTGCCGCTGCGGATTGTGGCCATGTCCTCCTGGAAGAAGCCACGCGACGCCCCCATTCTCCCCTCATCTCGTAAAGAGCCATTTTTTGTGGACAATTGCTATGTTTCTATGACACATATGGATGATAAATGGGTAATATCCGATCTCAAAAAGAAAGAGCATGGACCGTGATTGAATGTTCCTTTTACATAACCTTCCTTTGCTCCACACTGTAATTATTCGGGAAAGCGATTCCGGGATAGGCATCTCACTCCGAACACCCTAGCCAGCAAGGCAAGTCCCCCAGATTCTGCAATGTGACACGAAAGAAACGAAAATCGACAAATCTGGGGAAAAGACCGGGGTAGGAGAAGGAACTATAACAAAGTGTGAACACTCCATAGTTGAATCGATAGCAGAGGACAACTAGCTCAGGGCGCTGCTAATGCAACACAAGCAGCGTTATAGCGAAACAGAGGAAGACAAGGATAGCCTTTCGGCACACTCTGCTCATTCCACCGGGCAGCAATTGACATTTTGTTCCACCATATACCTGGCCAGGGCAAAACTGGAAATGAAAGGCGATGGTATCCACCCCGCAAGTAGAATGATCTTTCTGGGGGACCGGGAGTCTATCGAAACTACCCAGCGGCTTTTGTCTTTTCAAGTTTCAGTGTCACTTTCTCCTTTTGCCATATCCTAGAAATATATTCCTCTTTCTATGGTTTTGACAAGTATGAGAGACCTACCCTTGGGAGGTATAGTGTCACGTGTCAGCATAACACGCTGAACGACGTTAAATACAGTTACTGTCCACTGCGTAGTAGTCCAATTCAATCCAACCCTATCTGTGTTTTGGAGTGGGAAAATTAGCTCCATACTGACTGCATACGTGATACTCAAGAGACGTCAAGATCACTAGGTTGGGGAATCAATTTGGGCAACAAAGTCTACATGTTGTATGTCTTCTTCTTTTCTCATGACTACCTACTAGACCCTAGCTGTCACCTAGTTAGACAAATGGGTATCAGTAAGCTTATCGCTCATTGTATGTGTCTCTGAGAGATCCGAGATTCCACTCTCCGAGATTCCACTTTCATTGCCATTACTCCCCACCTCGTTGTAGCCCTTGTGAATTGAATGCGCTTCGTCTGCCTCTTCTCTCTGTCTCTTCAACTGCTGGCTACAAGCCATAGTTTACTCATCCGGATCCCACGCCAGAATTCTGGTCTTCATCTCCTCCAGCTTTCGCGCCACCAGCTGTTCCATATCATATTTTTCCTTTTCATCCAGCAAGTCGAGTCTCTCTTTCCAGGCTTCCTCGGGTTTCTCAGAAGGGCCGAAAAAGCGTGGGTCGATCTTCTGCCAGTAGATGACATCAAAGGCAAAACTATGCAATGCTGCATAAATGACCCAGAAAATCCCACTTTCCCAGCTCTGATACATGGGAACGGAGAGCCGCTGGTCCTCTTTCAACCGGCCCATTTGAATCGCGCTGTCTTCATGCCCCTTCATCACCTTCAGGAAGGTCTTCAGGCGGTAACCAAACACTCTGGTCCAGTCATCAAGGCCCTCCGGCCAATACTCAGGCTTCTCAATAAGCAACCACTAAGGCGGCACATAAGAAAACTCAGCGGGTGCAGCGTATGTGAACTCCCAATCCACCACGCCGGCAATTTTCAAATTCTCATGTAGTAGCACGTTGGCGGGGCGTAAATTATCACACCATACTTTGAACGGCCCTTCATCGAGTAAAGGATTGGTGAGCTTCTTATCTTTGGCAAGCTTACGAAAAAGCCGCCTTGCCACAAATTTTCGCCGACAGTCATCTGCGGACTCTACGGAATCGTTTCGTTGGTGTATGAGATGCTTAATATTAAGGTCCGCGAGAGCTTCGAAATATGACGAAGCTGTTGTAAATGTAGTATGTAGATCGGGAAGCTTCGACCGCGGTAAGTTTCCCAGTCGGACAAGTTCGTTCATATTCATAGACAAAGGGCCGGCGTGTCACTTCATAGGTGAAGTCATCGATCTGGCTAAGAGATCCTATCCGAAGCAAGGAGGGCGTGAAAAGCTGCAGTAGGATTCCTGCTAGCTGCCCATAGAGCATCTCAAGCCGATCTTTATTGATAGCCGGATCAAGAATTCCGCGTTCATCTATAGGACATCCCGGAGTGTTCTGAGCGTCGTACATTTTGGTTTCATGTTCAATATAATCCATTATAATAAATGGACTCAGTCCGAGGGGGCTCTCATTCTTTGTCCCCGAATAGTGAACAAAAGGAATAGGTATTGATGTCTTATCCGTAAGAAACCGCATTATAGCAACCTCATTCACGACTTTCTCCTCCGGGAAGAAAAAAGCACCGGGCTGCGACAAGCAGATAATCGTGGCTGCATTTTTATCCTTCAATCGCAAGGATATGTTGTAAGAACCTTTCTTGAGTATAGCAAACTCGGTCCCAATGCCTCCGTTGTGGTCAAGTATGAAATTTCCGACCGGTCTCAAAATGTCATGATTGAGAAATTGAGCCAGCCAGCCAACAGTCAGCTATGTCCTCCGCTTGTTCCCAGGCTACATCGTCAGGGCACATTCGAGTTCGCATATTTGTGTTATAAGCTGAATGAAAGAGTGTGGAAGAGATGAAGCAAAAAAGAAGAATCCAGTTATTTCGGGGTACTGGCGACTTTGATGTATTTGGGAAGAGAGAGAAGCGGGAGGGGAAGGATAATCAAGACCGCCAGTATCTTTTACGGGGGGGAAGATCACACGACTACGGCGGACTATAGGGGGGGGGGGGGGGGGAGAAAGCCATAGCCCTGGATTTCTTCACAGACTATTCACCGCTTTTCTTCCACCCTAAATATGTTTCATGCTTGCTACATCGCTAGGAGATCAACGTAGAGAATAACTAAGAAACCGTCTAGAAAACGGTCTAGGAAACTACCCCTCTATTTTAGTTACGATCGTAATAATTAATATGATTAGGTAAAGACGTTAGGCCGTAAGGGGATCTAACATCAGATTACGGATTATATCTACATTTTAGCTCTAGTAAAGTCATTAGTCATTTAATCTGAATCGATTTCGATTATTTCGGTGAGGGAAATCGCACTCAACAAAGGGTAAATAGGATATGCGTAGATTATATGGGGAAAAGAATGCCTGAAGACGAGATTCTGCCGATTCTTAAATTACGGACAAAGGGGTATGGCCTTCTCTCTCCTCCTTATAGTCCGCCATACACGACTCATCCACCGCCTAATGATATTTCAGAGTACTAGTGGGTTGCGGAAACTGTTTAACTCAAAGGAGAATGCCATCTTCCCCTGCAAGTCCTGTCACTGCCAGTTCGACAATACCTACAACCCAGGAATTGTCTTCTTCCCTGCCGACCTCGAGTTCTTCATTGAATGGGAGAAGGCCGATCAAGCCAGCCGGAAGCCAGCGGCCCAGAATGGCGCGCACGTCCGCCGAAGTCGCTGCATAAGGCTCACTAGGTGGGGGTTGACCCAAACTCAATTGGCGGCCTATATCGTACTGCCGTTTTGGACACATCTTTTGCCTCCGACCTTCCGAAATCCGTACGCCGCTCGCGAGGTCCTTGAATCAAGTTCCCGGTTGAAGCAAGGGCACGGGGAGCCGATATATCCAATCCGCCACGCATTCATCATCCTAGGTACACTACAAGTCAAGTTACTCGACCCGGAGATCAAGAGACAGCTTTGAGAGTTGCAGGACCTTTATACAAGCGATGACTTAGAAGATGATGACGATGATGACGATGATTCTGACGAGGATTCTCTACTGAGAAGCGTCAATCGTCCCGATAGGGGTACAAAACGCCCACATCCAGGGCCCGAGGATGAAGACAATACCGGCGGTAGCGTTTTATGGAAACCTGGAGAATGCCTGTGTGTGCCTTGGTGATCTACGGACAAGTCCGAAGGATGGGTCTGGTTACTTGGGTGGATCACCCAAAAGACTTAAGCGCGGCTGTCGCTCCGTGGACGAGACAGCTTTGGCCTGTCTTGACCTGGCCAGTCGTGATCACCTCCTCCTCGCACCGCATCGTACGTTGGCTCGGAGATGGCAATTAGGATCCAATATGACAACCGAAGATGCAATTCGCATCCGCTCGCACTTTATGGCTCCGGCATAAGGAAGTTCTCCACAAGAGGAACTCTCCTGGCCCCTTTTACAGGGTGACGTTAACGAGACGACAGAAAAGTCCATGGCACGACGAGGCTAGTCCTAATGAGCAACGCCCCCCCGCCCCCCCCTTCTAATACAGAATGTTACATTCAAGATTTATAAAATACTAGCAGAGTCCTTATGTATGCATGCATAAGCCTCTGTATTAGAAAAGACCTTAGAAAAGACCTCAGAAAAGACCTCAGAAAAGACCTCAGAAAAGACCTCAGAAAAGACCTCAGAAAAGACCAAAAGACCGTAAAGAAGCGTGATAGTAGGAAGGGGAGTAGAAATATGACTTAGTCTATTATTAGGATAGAGGTCACGCATATAGTCGCTAACGATATCAGCGAGAAGCATTAATGTGAATTATACATAAGGACTCGGTAGGTATTTTATGAATCTCGAATGTAGCATTTCATATTAAAAGGGGGGCTTTACCCATTAGACTAGCCTCGTCGTGCCATAAACATTTCTGTCGTGTCGTTAATACCATCCTTTATATACTTCCTTGTTTGTCGCATGAGTTCCTTTGGGAGAGTCCACCAGTCACTTTTGCTTACTGACTGGCGCGGGTGACTGTGATAGATCTTGAATCAGATCCTGTCCGACCAGTCAATAGCTTATATTGCTTGACTTCATAATTATTCTGTATTGCTAAGAAGCATTCATCGTCCTGGCTTTACGTATAACTGTGGTGACATTGAAAACCCATTGACTGTTCCTCGATTCCCTACTTGGAAAAATGTACTTATAGAGGAACTCGTAGAATTCATAAAAGGTAGCTACGAATTGTGTAGTCCGTAACTCTCGTGAGAGTCACATTTACCTATTTGACTGATTTTTGTCACCTTGGTCTGTCTCAACAATAGTCTTGGCCAGCACTATGAGCGCCATCGTGATTCAGCCGTGTCAGAGGCGGCTACAGGCGTCGATACATACAGGATGCACAGTGCCGCTGAAGACTCGCTCGAGAGGAGGAAGCGTGTTATTGAGAGCATTGCCAAGTCATACAGGAGCTCTTCTTGGTGAAAAGTGGACAGCAGAACGGGCATCGCGATTAACCTCTAATTTTTTACCAATTTGGGGTGCCTTTGATGGATAGTACTTTGCCCAGCTTGTAGAGGACATATGATCAGAACTAGCACTTTATTGCTTTCGGTTGAATGATTTATTACAATTCACAGCATTCGTAGCTCTCCTTCAACTCGTTTCTGCTATTCTTCCTCGCCTGCCGCTTCTTTCAACAACCTCGATCTGGCTTCCATGAGCGCTTTCCCCAGTAAATTCAACCCCCACTCACTTCGATTGACATTCGCATTTTTCGCCGCAAAGCCAACTCCCCATATACGATCCCGCGGACTAGCTTCCACCAATTCTTGGTTACCAGTCGCGAGTAACTTCTGTTTGAGGTCTTTGTTCTGCGAGAATTTAAGATAGCTCCCCTCGGCAACAATCACAATTCGATGTTGCTCCCACACTTCTTGGGAAAAGTTGGGGATCTTTCGACCTAGATCACGGATGACCCTTGGATGAAGTTTCCAGCCCTTTTGGAGTTCTTGGGTGATTGGATGGGTTGGTCCAGCGAAGAGGAGCGCTTTGCGATGCATCATATATCTTGAAAATCAATTTTTATCAACAGGTACGTTCAGGAATATCCAGCGGAGAGGGTATGTTTACTGTTCTGCATTTGCGTATGTGTATCTCTCACCGTCGTGCTCCCACGTGAACGATGATGGCCACCACTGCCCCAAAAAGCCAACGTCTCCTTCTGGTTTCCAGAAATAGACGGGGTTATCAGTGTTCACTGGGATGGTCGCCATCTCTGCGCCTCGGGGTCTTGAATGATAGAGTCGGAATATTGCCTTAAATCAAAACTCTGCTGATAACTATGCGTCTGGAAGGAAACGATAGTTGGCGAGGTCACTCGCGGTGGATGATCTTGTACTTGAGTCCATCCAAATTGATTTGTGAGTCATGCATACGAGGAGAAAATGACTGGAATCAGAATATATTTCAAAGTCACTCATCCGCTCACCATATTTCTGAAGAGCTAACGCTGTCCCGATTTCGACCCCGACATTGGCTCACTTCGAGAACTCGAGTTCTGCCTTGTCTCCATTCCCTACTCGGAAGTATGACCGAGGAGAAATTCCGTGGTGAAATATGACTCATAGGAATCCGTCAACTTCTCGAGGCTAATTAAGTATTGAACGATGAGAGTGAGAAAGCTAGAGCACCCAATCACGGAGCCCAGGCAACAGTGTGGCTCATCTGAGATGGCTTAGATCTTGGCGGCTTGGCGTGGCTGTGCGGTATGAACCAGCGAAAATACTCGCATAATTAGAGACTTATATCACACTTGTACCTCACTCCAGGGTCTCGGCATTTTATTACGAGGGTCTATGGCAAATGAAATCAGTCTATCCATCCAGCTACAGCATGATGTAACCGAGATAAGAGCTATGTGGAGAGCATGATCTTTTGAACAGAGTACATTTCCCAACGTACACTGAGACTGGAGACAAGGGAGAAGTCGAGAAGTGCCGGCATTGAGGTGCCTGCCTTCATTACCCTTGGCCTCTGGCAAGAGAGAAAAGTCTCTTATATCTTCTCTCAAGCATGAGGTTTTCTTGAAAGCACGAGGCACATTTACGGCGGTCGATAGGTTCCAGATCCTAGAGCCATATGGAAGGGCGCATGAAAATGATTGATGTCAGACGATAAAAGGGACTAATTCGCTATTCCAGCTAAAGGCTCGTGAAATCGTTATTCGATAAATAATAACCATATAATCCATCTAATAGTTCAATCCAACTCAAGCCCAGTCCCTAATTTGACGTAATGTTCTCTCTCTTGGAGAACACCAGGGCCAAATCACCCGGCGTAGCCGTAAACTGGTCCCTCATCTTACCCTCCACATTTTGGATATACTTCTCGCGCTGGCCAGCAGGGAAATCGAACCGATATTTAGTAATGAGGACCGTGAGGACTGTCCACATTTCTATCATTGCGACATCCTTGCCCAGGCAGGTGTAGCGACCTAGAAACAGGTCAGCGACTCAATTATTATTGTAGATTGTAATTCTTTAAGAGAGCATACCTTGAGCAAAGGGTAGGAAAGATCGAGTATCCTTGACCAGCTCGGGCTGAGTATCGAATCGTTCGGGGATCCATTCATTTGGTCGAACAAAACAGCTCTCCACTAAAGCGGCGTCGATTGTCAGCAACTCCATCATGCATGCCATGACTCCATACCGCAATGATAAGAAACTTACATCGACCTAAAACATAACGAGGTGCAACGATAGTCGTGTTGCACGGAATAAAAGTGCCATCGATCATCATGCCTTCTGGCGGAGTATCTCGGTTACCCCCTGTAGGGACGGCAGGGTGTAGACGTAAGGTTTCCATGATGACGGCATTGAGGTAAGGTAGCTTCTTAAAAGTGGCCAGGTCTTGGATGCTCACGTCTTTAACTTCTTGGTACAGCTTTTCAGCCTTGTCGGGATTCAAGGCTAATTGGTAGATCGCAAAAACGAGTGTGGGGGCGACGGTGTCACTAAGATCTGAGGTGAGCATCCCAGGCCAGATTTCCTTGGCAATAGTTTGTGCCTATTAGACGATAGTTCTCACCTTCCAGCTACAATTGCGACGATTGCATCTCCGACAAGCTGCTCCTGGTCTTCTTTCAGCGTGCCCCTCTTTTTGGAATCGGCGATGATCCCCTGCGCCACATCGTGGGAATCCGGTTCCTGTGGGTGTGATATATGTCAGCTAGCTCAGCCCAGCCTGCATCCAAACCCATGTGGAAAGTGGAGCAATATGTAATCAAGCGTACTAAACCTACATCAAGGCGCAGCTGCATCTGGTTAGCGCACCACGCGATCATAGTGTGCCAGTCGTTCACCACCCAGTACCCCTTGAGAAGCCAAAACCCAATCTGTGCGGCCCAGGGCACCGAGGAGAAAGGGCCTAATAGTGTCATGGCTTTTCGCAGGTTGCGAATACTGTAATGCCAGTGCTCACTGCGAAGCATATCGAAGGAGCGAGAGAAGGCAAAGAGACCCATGATGTCGAACGCGAACCAGTAGATGTACGTGGAAATAGGGACGGGGCTTCCTTTGGCAGCGGCAATGATAGCATCCATGTCTTGGACGTGAGCTTCGATATGCTCCTGGTACTTCTGCATTGCGCTATTGGAGAAGCCTTTAATCCACAGACGGCGACGCTGGTCATGCCAGCCTCGTTCACGGATAGTGGTCACACCGACATTTGGCAAGAGGAAGTCATACCAGACAGACTTGCTGGTTTTGCTTCCTGGTCCATCGAGCAAGGCCAGTCCATTTGGATGGAAGACAGTAATCTCATTGGGACCCGTGCGGACGAAGTCACCATACTCGCGATGCATCCTCTCCAGAACCAGATGGTTCTGACCATTACGGCATTGGTACATGTGCCATAGTTTGGTCAGGCCAGCCAATCGAGGGCCAGGGAAGTGGCGGGTGCGATGGAAGAAGAGACGATAAGCACCAATGCTAAACAGAAGAGACAAAATGAAGCTGCCCACGATGAGACCAGCGTGTCCAAAGGCGGCAACACTCAAGGTCTTTCTCGCCTCCAACAGCGCCAGGACGGCATATGCAGCAGAGACAGTCTTTATGATCCGGGGTCCCTGCATATGCCATTCACTTTTAATGAAAACAAGATGGTGGACTAGGACACCAAAGACGCCAACGAGGGCACATCTTGCCAGCAATGGCCGTTCAGCCATGAACGCCATAGCATGCTCAGCATGGAATTTTTCCACGATCAAGTCCATGTTGAGAATGGTAATTGAACTTCCAGGTGGGAATCACCGAGTACTCGGACAGAGAAATCGGGAAGAAGAGAAACCAAACCCCGGTAAGTGCGTGTGAATATGTGATTATCTCGAGCGGCTGATCGAGGACCTGGCCCCTCCGTAGGTTCATAAGCATACAGAGCCCCACAAGCAATCAGCACCAGTGCCAGCTGTGATTGCGTATGTGGATTCTGGGAGTATGCTGTTGGAGAGAAAGAGAAACAAAGTGACGTGGTTAGTGCTGGAGCTAGTATTGCGAAGGGGGCTCGGTTCGGTCAGATCATCGGCGGCACGGGTAGGTTCCCTGCGAAGGTTTTGGGGGAGATCGTGGGAAGGAAGATCAAATTAGAAAAAAAAAACTGTGGATATTCGTAAAAAAAATATAAAAAAGAAAAAAGAAAATCGGAAATAAGAACTAGATTAGAACGCCGCCACACAACTGACTTATTAGACCCTGCCCTACAAGAAATGAGATGACAAGGGAAAACATAAATTGATCCGAGGTTCCCTTGATACACTCACCCCCTCCACCTTCAATCAAACGGTTTTTTCTTTTTCTTTTTCTTTTTATTTTGACTCCACGCTGTACGTTCATGCATAGATCATAGAATGACCACCACCATGGCTACGGAAACTCCGGAGATCCCCCGCCATCAAGCGGTTAAGCGCCCCTTGCCTGTTCGGCGCCTTTTGTCATTATTGAACCACATTTCAGAACAGCCTGGCCACTTCATACATTCCATCTGGTTGTTTACATATAGCGACCTCAAAACCATCATTGCCACTAGCTTTGGCTTTGGTTTACTCACCTCGCTGGGGGCAGCATCCTTTGGAATCGATCCCGCACCTGCATGGTCAATATGCTTCCAGCGAGTGCCTCTTGTCCTGTTATGGGCGTGGATAAACCTTCTCCCTTTTACGATCGACAACCAGCGCCAACCAGAGGCTATCATGGAAGATTCGCTCAACAAACCGTGGCGAACCATGCCTTCCAAACGCATGACGCCGGAACATGCCCAGGTGGTGATGTTCATTCTCTACGCACTCGCATTGGGTACCAGCATCCGGGTTGGCGGACTCGCACAGTGCATAACGCTCATTGGACTCGGCTTCTGGTACAACGATGCGAGGGGCGCGGATGTTAGCTGCATTCTGCGCAATCTCATCAACGGGCTAGGCTTCATGTGCTACACTTCGGGCGCCGTGCAGCTGGAGCTAGGCCCATCCCAGTGGCAAGCCTTCATCCGGACGGACGGATTGGGTCTACCATGGCTGGCCATCATTGGCGCGATCGTCTTCACCACCGTCCAGACCCAGGATCTGTATGACCAGGCCGGAGATAGTGCTCGAGGCCGGAAGACACTGCCTCTGGTGATTGGTGACGCTAGCGCACGCTGGGTGACAGCTGCATTCATGGTGTTTTGGGGCATCGTTAGTCCTTGTTATTGGGGTTGGCTGCAGACTGGCCAGAGCGGGGTCCTCTTCTGGGGCGGGGTCTACATGGCAGCCCTTGCATGCATCATCGCGGGTCGTACTTTGACGCTGCGCTCCGTCCCCGCTGACAAGAAGACTTTCTTGTTGTGGAATTTGTGGTTGGTCAGTCAATACGCGTTGCCGCTGTGCGCTGGGCTCGGACGAGCAGGTGGGGTGTGAAGAAAAAGCCGTGCCAGTCCATGGTGCAGCGGAGGAGTAGTAGCAGGAGCAGCAGCAGCAGCAGCAATCAGCCAGGGCTCGGAAGGGAAAGAACAATTGGAGAAGAGAAGAAGGGTTGGAGAGGGGCCAAAGGTCTTTCGATGGGCCAATTGGCGTTCTCGATGGTCAGACGAGAGAAGGCCAAGCAGTTTCATTCGGAAAGGAAAGGTGGGTTTTTGCCCTAACCTAGAAGGTTCTTGTCTTTGTGAACTTCGATCCCATGGTGTTATTCCTCATTGGTCGGGGTTATCAATTTGCCATTTCTTGTTTATTCTTTGTTCAGGCTCTTTCCTTTTTTGATCTTTATTGCATGTGCTTGTTGTTGTTAGGGTTGGATTTCATCCTTTGCTTCGAGTTTGCTGACCTCGGAGCAAAGTGTGAAACTGAGTGGGGCTCCGTTGTTTGGCGGGCGATTTGCTCTGGTATGCCATGCATTATGATATGATGATGATTTTATTACCATAGATTGCTTACTTGTTAGCGTGAAATCATTTGAGACGAACGGATTGAGTTTTTGATTCACTAGGCAGCGCTAAAACAATCTTAACACGTTTTCATATCCGGTCGGGCCGGGGGTGCCCGTTTGAGACAAGTTTGCGTGCGAATCCGCTGGAAGTCTGTTACGAAAAAGTACTTGAAGCTCCGTCTTTAGTTGCATGCGCTGTACTTTGTCTGTGCGAGCGGGACGTTGGCGCCCCTCGACGAATCTTCGCGCCATGCCCTAACGCAAGTCGCCATGCAGGATCTAGCTTCCCTGTATCCGCTCCAACCAGGATATTTGCCAATTAATTGACTCACGGAGTCAACTACAACCTGGGGTCCAACGTAGTCAAAGCCACGGACGAGCCGAGAGCGACTTGGCATGTCGCAAAGTGCCGATGGATCAAAAGATCCTGGCTGCTAATTCCCGCGCAGTCTGGGAGGTTTACTTCTGCGCCCAGTCCAGAATATGAAAACCGTAGCACGGCGTCCTCCGTATATTTTGGGGCCAGGAACATGGTTGCATGGCGCTAAAATAGTATTTTTCGTGCATTCTGCAACCCCTGCTAGCCACGAGGGAGGTGTTTTCCAGGTTTCCAGTCAATAAGGATCGCCCGCAGCAGATACTGCAAAGAGCAATACCCTTAGCGTGGAATTTAACGTCGGAGAATAAAAGAAAATTAAAATTAAAGCGTGGCAAGATCATCACAGAAGATCAAGCGAGTGAAAATAATCACCTATTGACAATCCATACATGACATATGGCCCTCCAAAAAGCACGATCCATCATGGTGGAGATTTGACTTCCCCTTCTTCCTTCGCCCCCACTATGTGTGTCGCCCCTCAATTGCCAACTCACCTCGATTGCGATTTATGTCAATATTCTGGAAACTCTTTGTTACTCTCAGGCCTCGGATCTAATCAGGTCTGCCGTTTTTTCAGCCACGGCGTAAACCGTTGACATGATGTTGGCTGCGGGGATCAGCGGGAAGATACTGGCGTCGCACACCCGAAGGTTAGCCGTGCCATACACTCGAAGTCGTTCGTCCACAACACCCCCACTCTCCCTTGGAAGCATAGCTGCCGTTCCACACGAATGATAGGTGGTGGTGGCCGTATCGCGAATATATCTCTTAGCACTATCCAGATCGGTCAGGAAGGCGTCGGGATGATTACGACGCCCATTGGGCTTGAGGTATCGCGCCAGTGGCTCGGCCGTGTGTAATCTCTCCAGGTCCAGCAGGTTGCGCGCAAAAAGGTCCAAGTCCAACGGGTGCGACAAGTAGCGTGGGTCGATCACGGGCTGGTCGCTTGGATCCGCCGATAAGATGTGGACGTGCCCGCGGGAGAACGGCATACTTTGAATCAGACCCAGACTCAGAAAGTTTCCGGCAAGCAGATCTTGCCCCACGAAGCTCTTGCCGCTTTCGTGCAAGTTTGCCTGGGCGAGGAACATGACATTGGAACAAGTTGGAGCCTTGGGCTGGACGAATATGTCGTGAATTGCTTCCTGGCGAATGTCTGGCTGTGAAAGGAACTGCTCCATATACGTGGCCATGCTCTCCGGACTACCTTGGGGTCCGTCCAAGTCACGGACCGGCATATAGGCGCCCGATTGTACCCCGCCACTCGCCATTGGGCCAGCCTGGTGCTCCGTGTAGAGCTGCATGGCGGCTTGCAGCGCGGTCGGCTCCTGGCGCAGCAAAGGATCGCCAGTGTGGATGCCCTCGGCGACCTCGAAGCTAATCCCCGTCATCAGATGATCCTGGAGGTTCTCGCCCACATTTGGATTATCCACCACAACCGGGATGTTTAATTGACGGAGAATCGACGCGTTCCCAATACCGGACAATTCCAGAAGCTTAGGGGTATTGAGGGCCCCGGCGGAGACGATCACCTCTCGCTTAGCGATGATTTGGTGGAGTTCACCCTGAATCATTGCCTCGACTCCTGTTGCCGTCGCATCGCGGGTTCCACCCGTAGCGGGGTTGAATAGAATCTTGTGCGCGAGTGCCTCGGTTAGAATGCGGACACCGGGTCGCTGCATCGCGGGTAGGCCATAGCCTAGTGCGGCATAACTTCGTGTCTTGGTCTCGGCATCGACGGAAGCCATTGTACTGTATCCTCCCGTGGAATCACCGGAGAACGGATCGGAGGTGACTCCGTAGCCGATGGACTCGAAGGTCTCAACCCAGGCTTTGGATAAGGGGTCTTGAGCCACGGCCGGGAAGGAGACCTTAAGAGGTCCCGAGGATCCGTGATTCTCCTTGTCCATCCAGCTTAGACCAATGTGCTCCTGAGTCGCCCGGTCTGGCAGCTGGAGTGTGTAGGCCTTTTTGTAGAATGGCTGTAACGCTTCCCACGTCCAGCCGGTGGCTCCTAGCTTGGACCACGCATCAATGCCAGCCTTGGTAGGGGCAATAAAAGCTTGTCCATTGATTCCTGATGATCCACCAAGGAGCTTTCCCTGCGGTTCTTTGATACATCGATTTCCCAGCGTGGCCTACAAGACGTGATCAGACACCACGTTCAATTAGAACTTGATGAAAAGAAGGTCTTACCTGAGGGCTCGTGTTGTACTGCCAGTCCACATCTGATCCCATCAAAGACGTCCAGAGGGCAGGAATGTTCACTCGAGGATCCTGAGTCATGTCTTTGCCAGCTTCCAAAACCACAACAGTTGTGCGGGGATCCTCGGATAGCCGCGCAGCCAGCACCAAGCCAGCAGTGCCTCCTCCAACGATGACATAGTCTGCCTCTTTAGGCACTGGAATTGACGTTGACATGTCTGAAGCAGAACTTTGTGTTGAGCAGTATGAGTGTAGACATATGAAGTGGATAGGAGGGCAAACTTTTGCCTCGTCAACCGATCTGCCCCACCGTATATGGTGGGATGATCGCGGGGCAGTTTGAAGCAGAATCGAACGATGGATCTAGTCTGCTGAGGTGAGCACGCTTATGCTCTACATAAAACATGGTAACTATCCGCATAAGGAAAGGGGCGCTTCCGTACATGACCAAGGGATGCTATCTCCTGACTATAGTATAAGTTGCTCGGGCGGTCGTTCAACGTCACCATTCCCGTTGGTTCTATCATGCCCCTCCGATACTTCCATGCTGAATCCACTGCCATTGGTCGGATACACAACTCCCAGCTAAGATCGATCTGCCAAGTCCGTGTTTCGTTGGGATCGGAGTTGACGATGCCAGTGCTTAGTCATAGCCATTGCCAATGCACCTCCCGATGATGCCATAGTTGATCCTTGCATATCATCCTAGGTCTTGAGTACCTAATCTCACCTCTACTGATTGGAGAGAGTTTCAAACTGAGAAAATGGCGTGCTTTATCTGCGCTGCGTGGTCAAAAGTATATTCTGTAATCAGTCGGGATCCAGTTGCCAGTCCCCCCTGCCTACGGAGTGTGTTGCCCATGAAAAAATGTAATACTTTCCTATTCTGGTAACCTACTGTTATCCGGCATCTAGAAGTGCCGTCGGGGTAATTGGAGTAGAGAAGTGCGCTAGGGCGAAGGCGATCGACCGCGATGGCAAGTATGCAGGCTGGGTTTTGAAATGACCAAGGAGAGAGAAGATAGGTACGTCTCTCTACCAGGTTTACCACTGAGACCTGGAGTATCGTGGGAGTTACGGGGAGATCTCGGTGTCCGGGGGAGGATCGACGATCCTATAGACAGTCAACTATTGATTTCCAACCGTGGGCTGCTCGCTGGGCCCCCGTCCAGAGATCTCTGCGATCCAGCCTTTCAAGTGATCTTACCTATTCCCTCGTGTTCGTCTGGAAAAGAGAACCCCCACAAGAGTAAGACGATAGTTTTTGCTGGTAATGATTAAAAGCCGATAGCGATCGTGACTATCTGCCTCGCTTGTACAGAATAGCAATATGCCCCTCCCCCTCCAAGCCGACGAGGGGCAGCCGGCCATCTCCCGGGGCAGAGTTTGGTTAGGGCAAGGATCTCCCGGGGAGGCGGGAAATGGAACCATATGATGGAGTGATTTACGTATAGTATCGCCGAGAGGCGCTTCGAGTCCGTTTCGGACACTTTGCCAGACCGCTTGGATTAGATCTTGCGGCCGAAGATTTGTATATAAAAAAAAACGGTGCAATACTATTGGGGAAGCCTCTCATACGCAGTTTATCTGCTCCGTCTTCTTTCATGGAGAGCGGATCGATTGATTTTGGAGTGTCGCAGGCGACGGGCGGTATTCTCCACAATTTTTCTCCCCACTGGAGCCTGCCACTGCCTCATTTTGACCATTCAGGGGGCAATGATGCGCTGGCCGCCCCCCGAAAGGAACTGGTTCTTTGGGTCGCGTCGTCCCGAAAGCCGGTTCCAGCGGACGGCAACCGACCGGTCGAGAACTATGACATTTTGGAGGAGCTGCCAACGACACACTAGTAGTGCTACCAAGTCCCATAGGTCTTGGAATGAGGGGGTTCAAATAACGGCGTTCACGATCATGAGTGGGAGGAATCAGGCAGTACTGGCAAATGAGTCGAATATGTAAGAATCCTCCCACTGACTCCTGCTCTGTGCGCCCCCGAGGTCCACCACACCAAGTCGGGCTCACACGTGTCGGTGCTCAAAAGCACTTGCGGTCCTGCGCCACGAGCGGGAAGATCAAGCAAGGGGGAGCCAAAAAGGAGGAAACGCGAAGCGCCACGAGCGAGTTAGGACACAGTGTCTGGCAAATATAACGGTCACAAATGCTTCGATAGCGCCGTTGAACCTCCAGGTTTTGTGTCCTTTGAGAGAGGGCGAGAAAGCGAGTGGAGTCTTCTCCGTTTGCGCTAGCGAGTTGCTGAAGAGAATTATTGGCGTGGACTGGCCTTGAGGGTTGCCTATTGCGAAGATTAGCGTCTGTAAAAGACCCGGCATCATGGCCAGAAAAAGCAAGCCCTTCGTGGTGGCCGTTCCGAAGGATTCAGAGTGCAGAGTCCCAAGTACGACATTGGACATCCAATACCATGTCCTCCGCCCGACTGTTGTAGAAAAAAGTGCGAAGATACAATTCAGTTTCTTTGTTCATTCTAGCCACTCGAGCCGTTTCCGGATTCCCAGGCATACTTTGCCAACCAGGGACCAAATCACAACCAGACGTAGATCGTGTAAAGATCCCAAACTGCGATCACGCTCTTTCTCCCGTTTTCACCCCCCCCCCCAATGACCCCCGATTCTCATACTATCGTCTTCATTTGTGGCTCGAGAGGGGCAGAAGGGGGGCGGCACAACCGCGCATTAGCGCGCACCCGGAAGGTTATAGTGTCGACCCGCATCACTGCCTGGCGTCGCAGCCACTGACTCTTCACTCGACAATCCCTGTCATTTATTATTCAAAGCTGCGCGCGGCACAAATCACCGGCCAACGGCCATGCCATGAAGCAGAAAAAAAAGCATTGAGGTCGAATCTCCTTTCTCCCCTTCGAGAGGGCTTCATATCTTCATTCCTTTCCAACCTCTGCCTCTGATTCCTGTTCCTTGCCGAGCTTTGTTTCCACCCCTGCGAGCCCCCGAAAATGGCAGTTTCCAAGGATGTCGAGCCATGGGCCGAGGGCGCAGAGAAATACAGGGGACGCCGCCTATTACCCCACGTTATTGACTATTTTGCCCATCATGAACCTGATCGCGTTTTCGCCGCTATCTCCGAGTCCGAGAGTATCGCCAGTGGCTTCCAGGATATCTCTATGAAGACAATGGCCTCCGCCGTCGATCACATGGCTTGGTGGCTGGCGCGAACCCTGAAGGGCAGCAAGAAACGCCGGACCCTGGCCTACGTTGGCGCGGCCGACCTGCGATATGCGATTGTGCTGCTGGCAGCTATTAAATGCGGATGGAGGGTATGTTGACCTCGGACGAAATGAAAAAATGTGAAGCTCTGCTCTCAATGGCACATGGTAAACTAATCTCGTTTTCTTATCGTGCTACTTTTAGACAATTTTTATCTCGCCGCGCAATCCCGCCATCCTCAACCTCGGGTTGCTCCAGCAGGTCGACGTCAGCGCGCTGCTATATGCGGACGTCTTGCGGTCAATGGCCAAAAGCTTGCAGAAATTCGATCCTTCCATGTCCTGCAAGCAGGTCCCTTCATTGGCCGATTTGATCAAGTCCCAAGCTCCACCATACCGTTTCGGGGCTTCGTGGGACGATTTGAAAGATGAAAAGTGCTTGATTCTGCATTCCTCCGGATCGACAGGTACGGCGATGCTCTTTCCTGATACTGTTGTAGGGCTCGGGCTAATCAATTGAAAACTATAGGTCCCCCCAAGCTCGTGTATCTCACCCACTACACATTCTCATGCACCGATAATGATCCCAAAGTGTCCGTACCGGAGGGCCGACGACCGCAGAATGCGGCGCAATTCCACTTTGATCCGCCTGGGCGCTTTTACTCTTGCTTCCCACCATATCATGTAAGCTCGCATACTGTGGTGTTCTTACCGTTCTAGAAGCTAACTAACTATTGACGTGATTTAGATGGCGGGCGTGCAATCATTTACACTTTTGCCAGCTTTTTCACAAACGGCGACAGTGATAATGGGTCCGCCCATGATGCCCCCTAGTGGCTTCTTGGTGGATTCAATCATGAAACAGCAGAAGGTTCGAGCTCTTTACCTGCCTCCTTCTATTATTGAACAGTGGGCAATCGAGCCGGCCGCCTACAAACAAGCAGAAGATCTCGATTTTGTGCTTTACAGTGGTGGACCCTTGGCGGACAGTGTTGGCAACCGCCTCGACGAGCTCACGGATGTCTGCCAGATGTATGGTTCCCTTGAGATGGGCCAGATTCAAATGCTCGTGCCCAATCCCGGCGAGTGGGATTATTTGGAACCGAATCCCGCCGAAGAATGTGACTTCCAGGAAGTAGATGAAGGCGAGGGTGTTTACGAGCTGGTGTTGCACCCAGACAAGAAGTTTATCGGCCAGCGATCTCTTGCCCATACCTTCCCCGATGTTACAGGCGAGTGGCGGACCAGGGACTTGTTCAAGCCTCATCCGTCGAAGCCTGGCCTCTGGCGCTTCCACTCGCGCACAGACGATATTATCGTGTTGGCCAGCAGCCATAAAGTATGGCCTATCCCCATGGAGAAGATGTTGGCTGGTGATCCTCTTATTGCAGGCGCTTTGATGGTCGGCAATGGCCGTCCCGAAGTACTTCTCCTGGTTGAGCCTCGGCAGGGACCGCAGGTGGACCGGATGAGCAAGAAAGAATTCATCGACGCTATTTGGCCTACAATTGCGCAGGCAAATATGAATGCACCCGAATATGGCAAAATCCGCCGATCGCGAATTGTCCTCAGCCAGCCCAACCTGGGATTCTTCCGAGCCCCCAAGGGAACCATTTCGCGGAAGCCAACGGAGTCGCTCTACGCCGAGTACATTGCTGCCGCTTTTATTGACGGCACCACCGACGAACAGAGCGAGATGGGTATTCTAGAGAATCACTGGCTTGATGAAGCGAAGAGATTCATCGGCTCCGTGGTGCACGACATTCGACCGGAAATCACACTGAAAGAAAGCGATGATTTCTTCGTTGCTAAGGCCATGGACTCGCTCACCGTGCTGGAACTCGGTCAAAAGCTAAGGTTGGGTTTGATACGACGCATGAACCCGGAGAAGAACACGATCAACTTTTGGCTTCGGACAATCTTCGAGAATCCCTCCATCGAGGCTCTGGCCAAAGCCACGCTTGACTCCGTTTTTGGGCAAGGTGACTTGGACGAATACAGTTCCCGCAGTTTAAGCGTGGAGCACGTTTTGGAGGAATGCATCGCGCAATTACCGGAGCCTAGTGGACTGGAGCCAGAGCTTGAACTTCCCACCGAGGATATCAAGGTCGTTCTGCTCGGTTCTCGAGGCCGCCTGGGTCCTTATATAGTCAGGGACTTACTGAATGACCCCCGTGTGGCCGGTATCAAGTGTTTGGATCGAGGCGGCAGTGGCCAAGCTGAATTCCAACGGCGTGCCGACGAACTTGGCATTGATGTGGATGCTAGTAACGCGCGCTTGCAGTTTATCTCTATGGAACTCTCCCATCCAAACTTGGGCCTCTCCCAGAATCAGATGGATGAGATCCTGAACCACGCCGATGTGATTATCCACAATGTCTGGGCCGTCAACTTCGCGCTATCGCTGTCTTCGTTCCAACCCGAGATGCTGAAGAGTCTCAACACTGTCATCGAGATCGCAAACAAGGCCCCATCACGACCTCGCATTGTCTTCGCATCCAGCACCGGCACCGTATCCGCCTGGGCCAAAGCCGTAGCCCCGAACGTCCCTGTCCCAGAGGAAGTCATCAAATGCACCAGCGCCGCGACACTAACCGGCTACGCTCAATCCAAGCATGTCGCAGAGCGGCTACTAGCGACCGCCGGTGCCAAGCTCCGAATCCCCATCTCCATCCTACGCATTGGTCAAATCGCCGGCCCAACCACTCTCAGCGACGGCGGCAAATGGGAAAGCCACGACTGGATGCATTCCCTCGCCATCCTCTCCAAGGCCTGCGGTCTAGTTCCCTCCGACGTGGCGGAAATCGACTGGGTCCCCGTTGACCAAGTCTCACGTATCGTGTCCGATATCACGCTGCAGGAGAAACATGAAGGCGAAACGGGCACGCCCTTTGTTCAACTATATAATGTTCTGCACCCGCGACCAATTCAGTTCTCCGTTTTCGCGGATGCCCTGCAATCGTGTATTTCTTCGTCGCGACAGGTGGGATTCCACGTGTGGGTTGATCACCTGGCAAGCCTGACGCCAGATAAGCTTTCCAAGGAAGCAGGGGCAGAAAAGACGCGCATTTTGCCCTTTTTCCAGGCTATTGTTGAAGAGCAATATCCCAAGTTTACGCTTGAGAAGGCTAAGAGAGCTAGTTCGGTGATGGCGGAGATGGAGCCTATTGATAAGGAAATGTTGACAAAGTGGTGTCAACAATGGACCAAGACTTAAAAGTGTGGTGTTTCGGATGGTGATCTACCTGTGAATATGATCATAGATGATGTCTATAGTAAGGAGGATTAACGATTTATGAATAGCGTTATGATTGACCGATTGGTTACCGAAATGCAAACCTAACCATGGGTCTTTAAATAGATGTGCAAAGAGTTACATTTGCTAGGCGATTAGGCGTAGATCTGTAGCATTTGTATTTCGCGGAGACAATCCTCCCCATGACCTCCAGAAGAGGCCCGTCGGATCCCAATTTCGGGCAGTCTCTTCCTCTGTAGTCCTATGTTCATTAAATCCCTCTCCCCTGTCCATTTCCGGTCCAATATTGTTCAAATTTGCGTGCGAAAGCTCCGTGGTTTGCGTGTGCTACCTGTAAGAAGCCTACATCCCAAGTCTATTGCAGCCGACTTGCTCTGGTTCTGTGAACCATGGATAATCGATGCTTGTCGCCTTTGAGCTGAAGGATATTATTTGCGATCTTCGTGACCCTGATAGATCAATGAAGCGAGAAAAGTTCCACGTAAGACCCGAGGGATAGGGATGAGTTGAAATAAGAAACTGTCAGCACTGGCTGGAGTGGAATCAACCATGAAACGCACCAATGAGCTTCGACACAACAAGGGGTCGGAGGATGGCAAGGAATTCAATTCAAAGCTGTTAACCAATTGAAATACGATTCTACAGATTCTAGCTTCTTTCAGGCGTCCCGTGTCGCCTACCTAGATTATTCCTCTGGGGAGAAGTCAGAATCCATCATTACGAAATGGATTTCTCTGTCACTTTATCGAGAATTAACTCAACCAATCTCTCTATTCTCATGTTTATCCCGTGGGAGTGAAGCGCCAAGGGCAAGTGGAAAGTGGACGGGAAAGACAGGGTGGAACGCCGTCTACACACATGGGAATTTCAAGATTGATAAATTATGAACTCGTCGTGAACGACGATTTTTGTGCAAGAGTTCTCAAGCCAGCAGCATCTTATACTTTCCGCTTCAGTAATCCGCGGAAGAAATCAAAGCTGTTGCTATCACTCTGCAACTGCCAGACCCGACCCGTTGGACGATCATTCCACCCAAGTTCCTCCGCAAGCAGTAGACCATAGTCACGCGTGATACCTTGGATTCGGGCACGGGCACCACCTTCCTCTTCCAACGTAACAATCTGGTGCATGTGTAGCCAGTCCTCATAGTACATTGCTTCAAAGCCACGGTCAAAGCCTGTCCGGAGGAACCGCGTGTACAGATCTTCAAATGTAGTAAGAATGCGTGCTAGGAGTTTCTCCAATGTGATGGGTGAAGCGGCTGCAGCGCCCGGGGAAGCGTATTTTGCGGCGAGAGCTGTGAGGGCCGTGGTAGGAGAGGCGTTTGTGGCGTTGATGCCGATTCCGACGACGGAGATATATTCGTTTGACATGAAGTGAGAGTTGATGAGGATGCCGCAAATTTTGGTGTATCGCTTCTGCTCGGGGTCCTCCGGGTCAAGAGCATCTAGATATAAGAGTCAGTACAAAGAGGATCACTAATCGCACGAATCTCTTGAACGCACAAATATCGTTTGGCCATTTCAACTTGACCGGAAGATTCTCGTAGCCCTTGGCGTAGCTCTTGATACCCTTCACCACAGCCATAGCAGACAGATACTGGATGAATACCACGGGGGCAGACTGAATCTTCTCAATTGGGTGTCGCACAACTGTTGAGAATATCAATGATCCAGCTGGTGAGATCCACACATTAGAGCCCCGTCCACGTCCCGCAACCTGGACTGTTGCCGTGGCAGTAAACCCATTGGGTAGCCGGCGAAGCAGTTGTGTGTTCCTAAAGCAAATCAGAAGCTATTCAAATGGAGCATCGAGTAAAACTCACTTTTCCATGATTGTGTTGGTACTTGTTATGACCTCGCCGTACATCAAATTCGATCCAAACTCTGATGCGCCCTCCTTCGATTCAGACTGATACTGACGAAGGTTGGCGTAGAATGCATGGTGGTTGAAATAGGGTGTCAGCTTGGAGGAAGGCACCTCATCGTGAATCACAAGTCTTTTAATGATTTGCTTATAATCAATGATGCCCTCACTGGATTTCGAAGAATCATCAGTTAGAGCATTCTCCAGGTCATTCAAATTCCAGGTTCCCGGTCGCTCGATGCGGAACGTATCATTTTCATCCTTCAGATATTCATTCCCGTTCTCATTAGTTAGAGCTGGAGCAAGCAAGGACAGGATCTCCAATGGGCCTTCGGCATCAAGACCAGAGACATGCAAAGACGATAGCGAGGGAACATTCGTAGAATCTTGGGCGACCTGAAGTCCCAGTTTGGAAAGACATGCCTTGAGGAAGTCTGTACGCTCCTTGTCATCAGCAGTCAAGGCGTCAACAACCTCTTTATATTCAGGCCCGTTTGCCTTGGGGTCAAGGTTTACTGCAGCAAATCTAGGCATGATGTTAGTGATCGGCTGATGAACTGTATAGAACGTACATACTCTGGATGCGGACCCGTCAAGATAGCCGCGCCATCTCCGACTTTGCAGTAGACAACGGCAGCAGCGCCTTCGCCTGGGTCCACATTAAGCTTCTCGGAGTAGCTTGCCAATACCTCCACACCCTTATCCTTCAACAGCGGAGCATCGACAAAGACACCTCCACCATTGTAGTAGGACCGAAAATGTGTAGGCACCGTACCAATACTCAAAGCTTCCTTGGAAACGTCCAGTCCGGCTGCCCTTGCACCAGCCTCGCTGTGATAGACGAAACCAGGGAATGCACCTCCCCGACAAGTCCCCGGGAAGAAACTCAACTCACGGTCCCCAATGACCTCCATAGTCTTATCACCAACCTCAAATTCGCATTTCTTACACCCATAGTAGCCGCCAGCACACAGACCGAGGTACTTCCCACCGCGGCGCACAAATTGAGTAATGCGCCGATTTCCCTCACCATTGAGTGTGCGTCCATACCCCAAATCCGCTCCACCAGGTATAACCAACAAGGCACATGTTGCCGTCCACGGCTCCTTCAAGAGCATGTCGCCCGTCACGGGAGTGACTGCATAGTTGGGCGCTAGCAGGCGGCGCAAGGTGTAGAGGCAGTGGCGGACTGAGTCAACGGTCGTTCCGGTTCCTGTCGGGCCATTGTCGGTCAGAAAACGGCTGAGTTGCCAGGCAGAGTGAGTGAGCGAACCGGAGTAGACCAGGACATTGAGTCTCTTGCCCGTGAGGTTGGCATTGTTGCCAGTGGGTGTCGACATTGTTGATTGTCGGAGGGGGGAAATAATGGGGATGCTGGGGTTGGCCGATAAGATAAATCCATTCCTCCATCCTGCCGAAGCCAACCGACCGACCATCTCCCGAGTCTCCGATTGCTTGCCAGTATTACGAGTTGGAACCATGTCGAACAACGCAGAACAGCCCAAGGTTGTCCCTGAAGACGACGATGAGCCGGACGATTGGTACTTGAATCTGCTACAAAGCATGTGGGTTGATCTGGGAAGCTAAGACCGTCACAGGGACAAGCGCATCTATAGCACTGGCTGCCATAGTGAGTAGTCTCCAGCTTTCTTTCCGAACATTGAAAGCTAATCCCCAAAAGCCGAACAAGATAAGATGAATGACTGCTATTATGCAAAGAAAGATTGGCGGGCATGCAGCAAGGAAGTGAGTTCAATCAATCGGCGTCGGGTTGCCATCCACTTGCAAGTCCTCGAATCGAATCCCCAATATAACCCAATCAGTCCTCTTGATACCCCTTGATCTCCTTGTGCCTGGTCTTTTCACTTCGGGCGAATACCTACCTTTTCAAATGGATTCTGCTAACAATCACCGCAGATGGAGGCCTTTCGCGAATGCTGGAAGCGCAAGGGCAATGACGAGCGAACACAAACCAAGGATGCATGAAGCATCCTCTGCATAGCTGAAGACCAGCTTGTACAATAATTTCCCCAGCTCAATTGATACACAACCGCCTCTCGACTCATCTGGCTTCGTCGTTCCTCGTAGACTCAATCGTGCCATCCCGAAAGGTATCACGTGACGCTTCATATCGCGGTGATTTCACAGCTGGCAGCTCTCCAGCTTTCCCCTTTACATCAACGCACCATGTCAACATTACGGTACCGCCCTTGGCAGGCCCTGCAGGCTATCCAGAACGCAACAGCCCTTTCTCAAGCTTCTCGTACAAGGATCGGCTCCTGCCAGTCCTCCCACCTCATCACCAAGCGCGCCATTACCTACAGCTCGACGCGGTCCCAAACCTCAGCCAACAACAACGGCGCAACCAGCCAAACCCCCCGAACTCCCTCCTCAGCAGCTTCCTCTCCTTCATCCTCTTCTACGCAAGCATCCCGTGTCGCCGCACCGACTCCTAATCGTACGACGACAGATAACATCTCCAAGAGCGGCCTTGCCGATAAACCACTCGAGCTCGAGGTTGCCCCAGAGGAGAAAATCGACTGGACACGCTCATTCCACGGTCTTTCTGCAGAACCTTTCCCCAAGGAAGCGGCCGATATCTTATTGGCTGAGACTCCTCCTGAGGAAGTAGAGATTAAGCCGGATGGAATCGTCTACCTCCCCGAGATCAAGTACCGCCGTATCCTGAACAAGGCCTTTGGTCCGGGTGGATGGGGTCTTGTCCCACGCAGTGAGAGCATTGTTACGCCGAAGACTGTGACGAGGGAGTATGCGCTTGTTTGCAATGGCCGGTAAGAAATCATCTCCTTTACTGGAGGCTTTATGAGCCCGGGTGCTGTGATACCAAACTAATCGTCTTGGTTCTTCTAGACTTGTCTCTGTCGCCCGCGGGGAACAAGATTACTTCTCACCCGATGGCATTCCCACGGCTACCGAGGGATGTCGGTCCAATGCGCTGGTGCGATGCTGCAAGGACCTTGGCATTGCGAGTGAACTCTGGGATCCGCGCTGGATCCGGAAGTACAAGGCTAAGTATGCGCGTGAGGTCTTTGTCGAGCATGTCGTCAACAAGAAGAAGTCGAAGATTTGGATTCGTAAGGATGATCCCGTGGGGTATCCTTGGAAGGAGAGTGGGAGGTAAGGAGGCCATATCAATGCAGTGATTTGATGTTGTATGGCATTCTTGTCATAAGACGGCCCGATGGTCCAGAGGACGTCCGGGCTTTTTGTAATATATATGTTCCTCTTTTCAATTGCCACATGTTGGTATCAGGCAGAGGTTGGAATGGACTACATCTCTACTTTTGTCTTTCGGTATGCTTTCGGCTGAATAGTCAAGTCTTGGTCAAGCAAGACCGTCATTCCCCATAGTTTAGACAGAATGAAACTCTGCGCCAATGGAGTTCTTTAGCCCTAAAATAGGTACAATACCAAACAAAAGCGAACTATACAGGTTTTGGTTACTACAAACAAATCAAGATCCGGAAATATACATTAAGATATCCGTACACATTACAATTAATTCCCTTCAACTCATCCCCATCCGTCTACTCTCACTGCAAAACAATAGCAGCTCCTAACCCCATAGCTGCTATCACAATCCCAGCAACGGCCCCAATCCCATTCAACCCATCCCGTCCACCTAGCAGCCTCACAGCGGCGTTCGACGTCGCCGCCGCAGTCCCAGTAGCATTACCTGCCTTGGATCCCGTCGCCGACGCCGAGCTAGCGCTCGCCAAGTCCGATTCATGATGCAGCAAGGTAATCATAGGCAAGTACGAGATAGCCGAGTAATCGCTCTTCTCACCATGGTTGAAAGTATGCGTTTGGGTCTCGGTTTTGTAAATTGTAGTCGTGGGCTCTTCTCCAACGAAAGTGGTTGTGAACGTGCCGGAGGTGTATGTCTCCGTTACGTCGCCGTAGTCGTAATTGTAGCCTGTATAGGCTTGACAGCCCCATGTGGGCTTGTAGTCCGGGACAACGGAGTAGCAGCCTCCGAAGGCGTCGGGGGTGAAGGAGCTATCACGTTAGTTAGAATGAGTACACCAGATTTGCCTAGATACCCGGGTATCTGATCTTACCTAGGACAGCAAACGGCCATAGTCTGCTCCGGCTCAAGATGATTCTTCAACAGCGTCGCAGGGTCGTCCCATGTAGCCGTAGCATAATAATAAGACATGGGATCCGAGCTACTCATCGTCACGACCGGCGTCGTGCTCAGTATTCCCGATGAAGACAAGGAGCTACTAGCATCGCGCGCCGCAACGCCAACAGTCTCCCACCCTGAGGGACAGTACAGGCCCGGCGAGTAGTAACCACCGATGCCCGCCCAGCCATCGTCAGTAGGCGGCTCGGGGAAGGAAGTCGCCGTTGCCGTTGCCGTGGGCAGACAGTCCTCCAATATCACATCGCTGGTGCATTGAACCCCGTATTCGATGTAGACATAGCCATGATTGATATATCCGAGACCGAGTCGGTCCGATGCAGTGCAGCTTGGGGCTGGCGTGTAAGTTGTGGTGAGCGGCGCGTAGTTGGTGAATGTCCACCAGCCGTCGGAGGCGGAGATAGGGGTTGTCATGTTTACAGGAGATGCAGTCTTTCGCTGGATACTGGAAGTAACGGAAATTTCTTGTTCGGGGACCAACGAAGGGTGAAAAAGACTTGATACTGAGAATCGAGTTTGCCTAGGGCCCACGAGCCGTATTATATTACAGTAGATCGGGATACAAATCCATTTCGCTTGCACCTCACCACAGGAGACCCCGCTATCGCATCTAAATAACCACCTAGTCCACTGCCAAGTTTGTGCATTACTGTACCAACAAATTTGGAGCTTTGATTCTGTAGCCAAGAAATGAGGCTTAAAGTGCAATCTCCGCCGCACTCGCTAAACCAAAACTGCCGCCGAGCCCGGCTTGGCAGGGACCAATTCCTGACCGAACCAGTTCCACTGCTGGCTGCTAGTACCTATTGCGGTTAGCAATGTCTCTCAGGGTCGCACGATGAAAGAGAACCCCCCTGTAGAATAAGGTACCAATGCACCATTCTGTGATCAATTAGCGACTAGTCGTGTGGAGGGCCTAGGTTAGCGTGAATGGACGGATAGGGTCCGGTCACTATTGGATTTGAAAGGTTGCGTTGCATGGAGACTAGGGTCCAAGGGTTCCATATAGTCATACACAAGACTCGAAGACTGGGGTTTTGGTGAGTTTAGGTTGTCGCTCTCGTCCGAACTCTGAGGGAAAAGTATAGCGCTACACCTAATTATGGAAGCAACCAAATGTAAGAAAAATTACAATGAGAATGAATTCTTAGCTTCATGCTTCATGAACATCATCTCTCAAAGGTTTTTTAAGTCTAGGTGCATTAGCCGAGATTTCATAGAATACTATTAACAATGATATGGAGGATATTATCCTTTGAGACCCTTCTCTGGCATTCGATACTATACCCTGTGGTGGCTGCCACAGCTACCGCTGCTGGGCCAGGCTGAGTTTGTTCGATATCCAGGTAACTACCTCCCAGGCTTCCAAGGATTGCCATACTTGAGAATTTTCCGATACCTAAAATCAACCCGCAGACATAAGGGCCGTGCGGACCTAGAGACTGTTCCTAGTGTCCGAAATTCTTCCTGGAAGATGACAATACGTACGTACTATGACCTCCGATCATGTCTCCATCAAATTGCGAACATCTCTTAGGAGACTTTTAATAGAGTGTTCTTCTTACCTCCTATCCTAAGAAGGGTACTGTTACATCTGGCTAAAACCCTTTTTTTGTAAATGATCTCACAGTGCTTCGAGCATCGGCATTATAACTATAGCTGGAACACTTTCGTAGGCAGGCGCATCGTAAGGGATGCATTCCGCAAAAGGGTCGCCAATCCGTATCGAACAACTTTGACTTCATGCATCGGATCGAACCTCGATGGCTCTGGGAAGTAAACAGACCCAGGGCCGTGCCAAACCTCGCTTGCCTCCATACAGATGTCAACTGGAACCAGTTCCTTAACGGATGGACTCTGATTCGCAATCACCGAGGGGATAACCCGCAAATTCAACCCCTGGATCCTTCTCTCAATCCTGCCCTGCAATCTCTGTTTGGGCTGGAAACCAACGTCGACAATCTTTTGACCTGCAGGTCTCTCCACGTAACCGTGAACGAGCGCAGATCCAGTTTTCAACTCTAACGCCACGTTCCCTAGTTTCTTAGGGAAGCCGAATTGCTCGCGGCCGCAGCAAATTGGCGAGTCATTGTCAAGAATGAGGGAGAGGAAGTAGTCGAACGTGTCGCCGTTGTATTTGACCTCGACGGAGTGGACATACTCATTGTATGGACCGAAGGAGGTCATGTTGTGCTGCAAAATCATTACCGATACTTTTGGCTCGTCCTCGAGCTCTAGCATGTCCGGCACGAGATGGCGCACACATTGCAACGATGTTTGATAAGTAACAGTGAGAACGGCTTCACTTGTATAGTCGCTGCCATCCACGGGATACGGAGGAGCGTATTGTGGAATGGGCTTATTGGATACTGAAAGCGAGCCAAATGGCATTTTGGAACCACTAAGAGGGGCAGGTAGTTAGATACGATGGAATAGCAAGAATCTGTCAAGACAGGCTATGGGGAATCATATTTGTTCGGGATGGCAAAGGAATAAATACATTTTCAAGATGCCGAATTATGTCATGCCTGGAACCAATTGCTCCCACCGAAGGGCAGGCCACATGACAAAACCATGGTGATCATATATGAAAATCCTTCTGATTTATATGGCCAGGTCTAGATTAAGCACCGTATATTAGAGTTATGTAAACTGCGCATTGTGACTTGCCCGCAAACAATGTAGCTTTGGCATCAGACGACTCGGAGAGTTGATGACCTCACTTTTTACACTAACTTAACCCACCAATAGACTTTAGCTCCCAGATTCCCCCCATATGTCAAGCAAATCTGGGTGTCGGTCGCTGGTTCATACAGCCATGAACCAACTCCATGAATACACCCGTTGGCCTTGCGATTCGTGCTCCGAAATCTAGACTGGGCTATTGACATATCTCTTGAAGATATAGTAAGAGAAGCTTTTTGGTCCGGTGGTGATTCAGATTTCCCCCTAAACTGATCCACTTCAGTACAATAAATCACATCACTTGCAAAAGGGACCTATCCTTTGCGTCAAGGGATGTTCTAATGCTCGAGTTTGTAACTTATAGCCTGAAACTCATCCCCTAGAAATACAACCATCCCCTCGAGGTGGAAGAGGTAGCGTGTGAATGCTAATTTCGTGTAAAAAACACAATAGATGTTTAATGAAGACGTATCTTCGGAGAACGGGAAGTTTTGTATGCGACATCATCCATATCATCCACTGATGCTATGTAAACTAATAAGAAAGAAAACTTAGATCGACCGATCAACTAGCCATTTCGGCACATATCATACAACACAACAAGACCCAAAGGAAAAGATTTTGACATCCAACAGGGTGAAAAGAGAAAGAAAGTCAAGTAAACCACCCCCAGTCTAGATATCAACAACGACAATGATAGAAATGGGTTTGTGTCAAAGAAAAAAAAGGCCCAAGATCATGGCAGAATTTCAATATCGCTTTCATGCTTCATGCTCACCATACGGCGAGTCCTTCCGGCCCTTCTTCAGTGTCGGCGCAGGCGCCTGCGGCTGCGGCGGCGAGTAGATGGATGGCGGGGAGACGGGGTCATACCGATCCGGCATATCGTACTGACTCGAAGAAGCGGTGGCACGATCGGGTGTGATGCCGTTCAGCGGGACGGAGTCGTATGTGCTCTCGTGGCCGTAGTATGACTGGGCGAAGGAGCCGATGGGGTGGGCACCGGGTTGAGAGGTGGGTGCGTGAGAAGTGGGTGGTTCGTAACGAGTGCTGCCGCGGGAGCTTGGGGGCGCGGGAGTGTTGAGGATTGGCACGCCGCTGTAGGATGAGTTCATGCCAGCTGCCATGGGGGAGTGGGGTGGTGGCATTGCCGCGTCGTCTTCTTGGTATGAGGCGCGCAAGCCGGCCTTACGGTGGCCGGTTGAGAGTCCGCGCGAGACACCGGTGTTGCCGTCGTACACGCTCAATTGCTTACCCTGGTTAGAGGTGTTGGTCGCAGTGCGGTACAGGCCATCGCCGTCATCGCGGCTGGGGTCGACTGCCGGAACAACGGGGGAGCGGGCATTCAAACGGTCTGCGATGGCAGCTTCACGCTGGCCGGCAGCCAAGGAGCCGCGGTGTGTGACGGAGCCGGAAGAACGGTTTTGCTCGAAGCCAGTAGTCTGTGCGTCGTAGGCCATCATGCCGCTAGCGGCGGCCGCAGCAGCAGGAGTAAGACCGCCAGCTTGTCCAGAGCCATCATGCTTGCCATCCGCACCAGCGGCAGCACCAGCCTGAGCAGCCTTTGTGTCACCAGCACCGGGAGCACCGTCAGCCTTGTCGTCGCCGTCATCCTTGGACTCCTCCTCGGGAGCAGCAACACCAGGAGCCCGAATGGGAACCTTGCGCATGGCCAGGACGAGAGCACACATGAACTTGGAGCGACGGGCAGCACGGACGGTCTCATTAGACCAGTTTGACTTGTGACGGATATCAACACTGAGCTCCAGCTTGTCCATGTCACCCACGCCGACAACTTCGATGTTAAAGTCAGGCTGGAAGTCACGGCTGTTGGCCGGATCGCGAACAAAGACCTCCATTTCCTCACGCAGAGCCTGGATCTCAGCGAAGCTGGTATCAAAGCTCACAGGCACGGTAAGCTGCTCGTGCATGGCATTGGCGCGAGTAAAGTTGTCGATCCACAGACTGTTCAAGATATTGTTGGGCACTTGGGTCATGCGGTGATCACCGACGGTGCGGAAGACACTGAATAGCAGCGAGATACGCTCGACAACGTAGGATTTGTCACTAATGTCGACACGATCACCGATATCGAAGGGATGCTTGACGAATAGGAAAATGCAGGAACCCAGAACTTCCTGGGCGGTAGTGGAGAAGACGAAACTCAGGGAGAGCAGGGAAGTAGCACCGGCAGCGATGACAGTACCAAAGCCGGTAGTAACGAACGAAATGAAGACCAAGACACCGATCACGGAGGCGACGGAAAGCAGAAGATTATCTAGAACATGAATGGCCTGGTCGACATCGTGCATGCTGTGATTCAGCGACTTGCGCATACGGCCGAACTCGCTGATCGTGAGGATCATCTCATCCAGACTGACGTCGCCATTACCATCCTTGTCCAGCGCAGCAAAGCACTCCTCGGCTTCCGCCTCGTGGTCAGGTCCCAGAACCTCAACAATATCCTCCAGGTAGAGCGAGTCACGGCCCTCGACGACAAACGACATCCAGATACGGCGAGCCAGCGCCGCGGCACATCGCTTGCGCTCGAGGGCTTCAACAACGATAGAGTGAGTGGCTTGCGGGTTGAACACTTGCTTTCCGGTGAGCTCAGAGGCAACGTTACCAAAGGCAGCAGTCACCTTGTCACCGATACGGCCGACATTGTGACCGACCTGACGACCAACCTGTTGCATCATACGCAGAGGCATGATGGAGCTGCGCTTGCTTTGCTTCCCGGCCGACTGAGCCAGGAGCGAGTCGAAAATGATGGCATCTTCGTCCTTGAACTCGGGACAGTACATGGGGAACATGTTGCGGGAGGCCTCGAAGAGAAGACCGACCAGGTAGACGTTGTGCTTGGACTGCTTGATCTTGGCATCGAATTGCTTGCGATGGTAGCTGATGGAGATGAGTTGAACGAGGGCCTTTTCAACGAGATAAATCAGACTGCAGACGAGCAGGGCGAAGAGAATGTTCTTGACGCTCTTCTCCCAGGACTTGACACTGGTATCATCGCTGGATTGCTTGCTGGGGTTCATGGTCATGATCTGTGCGAGAGAACGAGTTAGACTGAACTTTGCTCCATCCCATGACATTGGCGAAACGACATACCGGAAGGAAAGTAACCAGCGAGATAACCGACCACAGCACGATCGTAATGGGAGTCTCCAAAGCCCGCAGAATAAGCGCATACTTGCGCGTTCCGGAACTGACAATACCACACAAGAATTGAAATACGTAGGGAATAAACTTGGTAAAGATCTTGCACGCCCACAAGCTCACCCAAACCACCTCAATCCAGGTAAAGAACCAAGAGATATGAACACCGCCAATCCTCGCATTAGTGGCTACCGTTGCGCCGACAATAATCGGAATCGCGATAAGAATTCCAATCGGAACGACATAAATCATGTAGCGAGTGACAATAGAAAAGTTGTAAATAGCCTGGTAGATACGGCCCATGCGGTTAATCGATCCATCCTCCGGCGAGTCGGCCGGTTTCCCCGTTGCCTCATTGATATCCGAATCCTGACGACGGCGACGACCGGGGCCCCTCATGGGCTCTTTCTCATTATCGTCTTGGAAGCCATTGATAGGCACCGTTGATCCGGTGTGCGAGCCCCATTTCCGGGCGCCGTTCTGACCACGACTGGCCGTTGCCGTGAGGGGAATATCAATCGTCACGTCGTGTGGATTCGACATGGCGTCGGGTGGTAGGTCTGGAATTTGGTGAAACCGGTGAGTCGACAATCGCTTCGATGCGATCCCCAAATGCCCCTTCATCGCAAGAGAGAAAGAGAGCGAGCGGGGGGACCGAGGGTGGGAGTGCCTTTTATGGGATGGAGCTGTAGATCGATGCTTCAGCTGGTTGGCCCCGATTGGGTCTCCAGTGGAGGAGAGAGGGGGCGGTCCTCGGTGGAGAAACGCTGGGCGAACAGAGCGAGAAAAATAATCCCGGCCGTTTGGGGCGGTTGGATTTGAGGGTTTGTGGTTCGTTCGTTGGTCTGAAACCGGGCCGCACTAGACCAGAGAGTACGGGTCTTGAGATCACAGTCTTGCCCTACCTCCAGGGCCAGCACAATTCAGGACCGAATTTTTGCTGAGCTCGTCTTACGCAGCTGCTGGGCCTTTGGGTTGGGATGTGGGTTGCCGACCAGTGGTTGATGGCCAGTGGACGATGGTCCTCCACTTTGTGTACGCGAGCGCACGATGTCCTAGGCTCGACGCGGTGGAGAATTAAGATCGGCGATGGCCGAGGCAAGGTGGGCAAAAGAGTGTGTGTTGGCCCGCGAATCCACAAAGTGACAGGAAACGACCGGCTGAAAGAATAATTGAAACCCTGCAAATGAGTCGAGGGATGCGGAGGAAAAAAAATAACGAAGTGTGGAGAGAGAAAACGACAAAGAGAGTTGGTCTCGAGCTCAGCCCTTTGGGCCCTGGAGCAAGCCATTTCAAGCCACACGGTTTCACCAGCGTTACCAACGTATGCCGCCAAAAATGTGAGCCGGCCATTCCTCTCCGGAGTCTGGTCCACTCATTAGTGCCGGTTAGTTAGGACGGAGTAACGGAGTCATGACAGCCGCATTCTTAACGAACTCACGAACTGGTGATGGTTAAACGCGAACTCCCGTAGTTTCGTGATCGGTTATCGGTTCCGTGTTTCCTGCCCCATCCATATCCATTCGCCAAGCTACGATTCCTATTTTTATGTCTACGTAACTACTGTGCACAGTTCGTTCCTGATCCGTTCCCAATTCTCAAAATTCGCCCCTCGTTTTGAATTTCCGTGGCACCCATGGAAATGCAGGTCCACCCGTCTCCACCGGGTGGCGCTGTTGATCATCCAATGACCTCGCCAGATCTAGGGCCTCCGATTCCAGGGGTCCAATGCCAGGGGGGAGATGGGACGAATCATGGAGGAACGCTCGGATCAATAGCGAGCACACCATTCAGGACAATTTCTCTGGACTCGACAGGTCTAGACGTGCATCTATCCAAGACGACTGGATCAGTATCCGGAGGCCTCCATCCAGCTGCACGCATGTACGCAGTAACAGTAACAACAACAACAACAACAATAATAATGTTGACGACGAGACTCGTCTACTCGAAATCGGATTCATCTAAGCACTAAGCAAACTCCACTCGAAAGATCAAACACCAGATCCCTGATCCGTCACCCCAGCCCTATGTCCATGACCTCGGCACACTACTGTAGTCACCGCGGTCACGCCCTCGACTCCAACCTCATCTTCTCCAACGCACCAACAACGTCCACCCGCGTCCAACCCCTCTCTAACCCCGTTACCAACACATCCTGCTCAGTCTCTGGCGCCATCCTCCCCGGCGCAGGCGGTCTCCGATCCAAATTCGTCGGAAACGGATACCCCTCCGCCAAAGCCTGCACCAACGCCCTAACCTCCCTCGCCTCACGCCCATAACTCCCGGGATCCAAATCACGATCCGCAATCTTCTGGCCCGCAGATTTAAACCGTGCAGACAGGATATCCCAACACCTCTCCACGAGCGTAATCGCATCAACACTTTCCATGGGTTTCCCAAACGCACTACTAATCTGCAATAGATTCGCAACGCGTCGGAATCCGTCCGCAGAAGCGTCCATAACATTTGCGCCCGCGGCGTGGAAAAGCGCCGGATTGAAAAAGACCCCGTCGCCGAGGGAGAGTGGTAAAGAGACGTAGTTCTCTTGGAAGAAGGCGCGGAACTCGGGCCGTCGCCAGGCCATGTACCCCGGTGGATAGGTCTGACTGAAAGGTAAGAAGCGGGTCGGACCCGAGGCGAGGGGCATATCACTGTGTGCGACGGCGCCTTGCAACGTGAGGAATTGCGAGGTCAACTGCGTTGCGGCGGGGAACCTCGCGCAGGCATCGGCGTCCATGAAACCGAGGTGGTAATCGCGGTGCGCTTCTTGGGCGGCACCGCCGGGGTGGACGGCGTTGACTTGTGCGGTGACCCGGTAGCCGGGGCCTAGCCAGCCGGAACTGACGGTTGCCAGCCAGGGATTGGCGTAGTAATCGGCGAAAGAAGATGGGTCTTCGAGGCCGTGCTTGGAGAAAGCATTCCAGATGCGATCGTTGGTGCCGCTGGCGGCGAAGTGGTCGCCCTGGGAGGTATTCGAGGCGCGCTCACGGGCGATAATTCGGTCGAAGGCGTCGTTTGTCGCGGATAGGATGGAGGCGTATCTTGTAGGTGTGTACATTCCACGTAGGACGAAGACTCCCGGTCCGGAGTGGAGGACTTGGTGCCATTCATCTTGGAGGCGGGAGATTAGTTCGGCTGTGAGTGGCCGTGTCTCGAGGGCAGGGATGTCGTATATAGGGATATTGTGGTCGACAGCGCAAGCAAGTGGGTAGGTCGAAGCATCGATGGAGCGAGAGCAGATCTGCTTAAACTCGTCTAGTTGGATAGTAGACTCTTGAGTGAGCCGTGCGGGGATGGTCGCGTGCACATTGCCTGCCATCACGTCTAATTACTCTTTCATCAATCAGTGATCAGTGCGCGGGTGCAGTAGTGTATATGGCAGGCGGAATTCAATCTCCAGAGGCTCTATCGCCAGGCGCCCCCGCATCGGCACCCCAAGGCCGAGTATCAGACCCGCAATTCTCGCCATGAAATATGTTCTACTTGACTCGGAAATCGATTTCCGCAACAGGACTAAAAATACGGATGAAGGTAAAACCAGACCAGGCAAATTACTTCTAGACATGGGTATCACAGCGAGCAAGCAGTATAAATACACGGTCTACCACAAGTCACTGAAAAAGAAAAAAGAAAAAAAAAAAAAAAAAAAACGGCAAAGAATGAGCCCAAATGCAGAAGTCCGCGGACTTGATGGCCAAAATGTATAGGACGGCCATAGCATGATTTCCCCATATCCATATTCCCAGGGGAGCTTCCAGACGCCAGTAGCCAAAGTGCCAAAAAGAAACAAGAGTCAAATACGAGTCAAATCGCAACGAGGGGCGCCAACAACAACAACGAATAGACCAAATGATAATTAACAGAGTGAAGGCCACACACTCTCTCAAGAAAGACAAGGTATCTCCAATCAAAAATAGCTCATGCAAGTAGCGAGAAGAAAGTATTGCTCAGAAGTCGCCGTTCGTGCCTCATGCGTCATAAAAAGTCTCGTAGCCAGGGAAATCCAATCACCATGGCATGGAGATCGGATCTATGTGATCCAGAGAGGATCTTTTCAGATGGTCTCAACTAGACCAGGGGGGGAGGAGGATGAGATGGAAAGAAAAAAAGGAAATTCGTGAAGTGAGACTCGGCCGAGTTCAGCCACGCTCAACTGGGTGGAGTGATTCAAGCGTTCATCATGACAACTCCCAGATCCGAGGTGAGGACAGTGTCAGAGGGGGTGGGCTCGTGTGTTGGCTCGGTCAAAATAAGCTGGTTTTCCGACATGGTCTCCACCAACGCGCTAGGCCGACCGGTAACGGTGAAGAGAACCTTGAACAAGAAGGTTGGGCTCGCACACTCGCTATTGGCGGGCTGAGGTTGGTGACGCGTGTGGGTGAGCAGGACGCGTATCAACTCTCGCAGGGCGGCGTCGGTCGAGGCATCGTGAATCGTGTCGATACCGTCGATCACGCAGACGAGCAATGGTGGTACAAAATGTAGCAGTGTATCGACCAAGGCTAGTGCCGCCTTCCAGCTGGAGATAGTGCCGTCTAGCTGGCGGAATCGCTCGGCACTCAGGTCGAGCAGCGAGTCACTGTCCACCACGGTAGGAAGACAATCAATCAATTGTCGAATCAGGCTATATGTAAGGGCAATTAGACCCTGTTGGTATAGAGTAAGGCCCTTCACGTCCTTGTCGGGTCGTGTACAAAAATGAGCAATAACCGGTAGTCGTGCTCGCCGGGAAAAAGACGCATAGCAAGCCGATATCAATGCCACGGGACTGGGAGAGACATTTGACGGGGATCCACCGACAGCGAGAGCTTGAGACCGTGGACTTGTGACCCACGTCTGAAGGGTCGTCACCACGCTGGTATCAATAGCTATTTGAGCATTGGGGTCCAGGTCGAAGATCTGATCGTCGTGTTCAAAGAAGCCTTCCAAATGTTTGGAAGCGCTCTGAAGCTCTAGACGTGCGAGGCGACGCTTGGATACTCGAGACCATTCAAATACAGAGGTCACTAAAAAGAATCAAATACACATTAGTATACTTGAGCGGCGGAGTAAGACAGTGCCACCTACCCAGGTCTGGTGCAGCAGTGGTCATGCAGACGACCCCATTGGTCTGCCCATTGACCGGACGCAGCTGGTTATTGACAGCCCGCAGCATATCCGTAAGCAGCTGGTCCCTCTGCCGTCGAATTCGAGCACGTTCCTCGGCATCCTGCTGAATCTCCCAGATCAGGCGGCGTGTAATCGTGTTCTGGGCCGCTATCCGACGATCCGTCCCCTGACGGCCGACCTTGCTAAGTTGAGATTCTTCCCACAGGGCACGTGGACTATACGCCGCATCGGATTTCTCATCCATGTCCACGTCCATGGCGTCGAAGGAATCCGTGAGGGCCCGGGCCTGGCGTTGGATACAACTGATGAGGTGATGAAATTCCGAGTATGCATCCTGGCTGTGGCTTTTGAGCAGTTCACACGTGGATCGTCGGATGAACCAATCCATGAACTCGGTCAGGAAAAAGAAGCACAAGGTGTATATTTTGGCGACGGGCATAAGATGGGTAGAGGAGAATATGGGTTGGGAGGGTAGGATCAGGGCACTATGGATGTTGAGCAGGGCGGTAATTAGTCCCTCGATGACATGAGGGTAAGGTGCCGACGCCTATGAATGGCATTGACAATCATTAGCACGCCATTACTACTTTCTTCGCCTCGTATCGTCTAGGAGGCGCGCGCCGGAGGGAAGAGAACCCGTCCAACCCACCTTGATCAACGTCTGTAGCACACTATAAAAGAGAGGTGCATGGAAGAGGTTGGCATCCGGCAGGACAGCCAACAAGGTTGCATGCGTTTCCAATGTCGGCACGAATCTGTCGCAAAGCGCCACTACCTGGTCAAAGACTCGTTGTCGAGGCTGAGACCTCCAGAGAGACTGCGTATTCCGTACGAGGGCGACGACATCGCTCACTGACGGGGGCCGGTCGCCCCGTTCGACTCGTGTGCTGGGCGGAAGATAGCGAACAAAGGTTTTCCAGGTCTGCGCGAGTTCGTTGTGCTCGACGTCGAGATCAGCAATGACCGGATTTCTGTTGAAGCCATAGGCAGACGGACGTTAGAAGAGGGGGAAAAGAGGGGACGAAGGACGCAATCCCACGTCAGGGAGGGTTGGGGCCGGGCATATGAAGGGGCCCTAAATTGATCGAAGCCCCGGGGGAAAAAAAGCCCAACGTACGAGGAGATCGGCTTTCTGTCAAAGCATTGTTCCCAGTCCCTGGAAAAGGACTCGATGAACGATTCGGAGGGCATGGTGCGACGCCTATCGCGCCCGAACAAGAACCCCCAGATCAAGAGCGAGACCTAGGAGGAGGAGCGACAGAGAGGAGAAAGGGTGATTGGGGGGGGGGAGCGAACGGGCTGGGGTAGGAGGAAGAAAGTTTTGGAGTCCAAGTGTCCAGCTGGTCGTTGCTGGTGGTCCTTAGGCTGTCATGGGTGAAAGCGGGAGTGGATCGACTTTGGGAGTGGAGTGCCGATCGAAGGGGAAAAGGCTCGACTTTGTCGAGGTTTGGGGGGTGGGTGGTTCGTTTGGTATCAACAGTCGAGCAACCATTCAGCGGAGGCTTAAGGAGGGAGGAGGGGGGAAAAGAGGAAAGATGAACAAGACGGATGTAGCCGCTGGGGTAGATCAACCGAACGGCCGAAAAGAGTTCCAAAGTACTGGAGTCGGCGGGAGGAGGAGGTACGGAGGATTGTTCGGTAGGAAGGATAGAGTAACAGGTACAGTAGGTAATAGTAGTATACTAAGAAAGACTGGGAACTGGAACTGGACCTGCGAGATGCTATTAATGGAAGACCAGGAGAGACTGGACTGGGCTGGGCCAAACTGGAGACTGGAGGAGACTGGAGACTGGAGACTGGAGAAACTCGAGAGATTCCTCGTTTTTTTCCTTTCGTTTTTTCTTTGGTGGTCCGGTCGAGGCTCTCATCGACCTCCCCCACTTGGGCCTCCACAAATCACAAGGCTCCGCCCAAAAGCCCCGGCTGGACCATTTGGACCATTTCTCCCCCCTTTTGGGTTCTGAGCCTAAGAGTACCAAATCATCGAATCCGGGTACTATCTACGACTATTTACTATCAACATCTACTTGTATCCGTACCTCTTTAGTCGTGGCTACTCATAGCTACTCATCGCTACTTCCATAGTTATTGCCGGAAAACCATCGTCGGTAATAAAAAGAAGACGAGTTCCTCCCTCCCTCCCAGCTTCTTGGATCTCGTCGGCACGGTACTACCCTCTCGTAATCAATCATGGATCAATCTCCTCAATCATCAAACCTGAATGGGTTGTCCGCGATTAAGGTTTAGGATGCCGCCCGGTTCGGGGTGCGCCCTTTGCGCCCGTCTTTTCTTTTGCCGCCGCGGCCCAAGCTCAAGCTGAAAGGTCCGCACGGGGAATGGTGGTGGTAGTGAATGCCATCTTCCCAGCGAGTGGCAGAAGTGTTATATAGCCTTTCTTCCCGGCTCCATAATCTGGTCTCAAGAATGAACGGCTGGAAATAGTGTATGCTCGTACGGGCTACACTTGACATACTCCATGGGTCCATTTTCCCGATCGAAAGAAGAGAGACTCCTCTGCACGCCGACATACCTCGTCCCCATAGCGCCCGGGTGGCTTCCTTTTCCACCCCAATATAGCCCTGATGCATAACTACCATGGCCGTGCGCACAAACCACGGACCTGCAAGGATCGCCATCCCGTCCAGTCGCGCTCCATACTTTTTACTCTGCGGGGATGTTCCACAGATGAAGAGGTAAAAAGAAAGGGAAATAGGAAGAAAAATGAAAAAAAATGAAAAAGACAAGATCCCAGATGGGCCCGTAGCGTTCGGACTCGGGAAGAGCGGATGTCGGACGAACTCCTAATATGTCCATTGCTGAAAGGCAGGAAGGAAGAATGTCTTAGGTCTGATGTCTTGACAGAGAAACCCATCCCAGGGTGGTTAGTCCGCCAGCTTGAAGCGATCACTATTACCTTTCCTCGTTCTTATTGGTTAGGATCATGGCCTTGGCCGGGTCTCGTGTCTCAGCATTGTGGCCTGAGGCTATCAGGTCCCTGAGGCGGGGGCTTTCCGCCGACCGCCGAAGGAAGTTGGAAGGATTAGAAGGAGGGGGGGAGGAAGCGCCAGTTAAATATTTGATCAATTTGTAGTCATGTACAGAACACGTCGAAAGGGGGCTGTGTGTCATTACGTAGACAAGAGGACTGAAACTGAAACACAACCCTGAATCAGCATGTCCGTGGCTTACTCTGTTTGTAGCCTATCGATCTCAGGGCTCTGCATGCTTGATAGCCATCATGCTCGAGCGATATCGCGGGGATCGCGCCTCGGGATATGAAGAGCAATCTAAAGAGGCCGGGTGGTCGGAGTCGCTCCAGTACGGTTGGTGAAACACTACTCTGTACTCCGTAATGCTTGGTTCATTGCCGACTGAATACGACTAACCCTACATATTGTACACACTTTTAACGGGAAATAATCAATATTCATGCTCACTCCGTCGTCCGTGTGGACGGAGTAGTACTTGATGTGCATACAACGATCCTTTCGGGCACTTCTCGGGGTAACGGAGTCAAGTCCCTGCCCATCTGGGCTACCAGCTCAACGACGACTGGCTGTCAGTCGCAGACAGCCCCTCTGACACGGTGGAACCCCCGGGGTCACAGACCCTCCTTCTAGACGATCGGAAGTGGTGCCATGATATCAACGCCAGGGCTTTCCGATCGGCACCCTGCAGGTGACTATTGGCGAGTATTATTTGTCAGGACTCGGCCCAGGGCGCAGCATCATGGTCTGGATGGTCTACAGAACTATGGCCCAAATAGGGTCATGAATCGTGATGGCTGTGTATACGACGGATAGAGAACTTGGAACGGAAATGTCATCGTAAGCAATCTACGGAGATACGATTCCAAATAAAATCCACTGAATCAGAATTACGATTACGATTGCACTTTCCAACCTAAAAGTCAATGCCAATGCAGAGAAGAAAAAAAAACAATTATGATTCGTCGTGTCGAATGGTGAGATGGACAATAACCATAATGTAAGGGTTCATGTGCCCCGTTCGGCCCATGGAACGAGTCGTCCGAAACGGTAATCATCATGGTGGACCAGCTTTACGGCGGAAAAGGATCCCATGCCAGCCGTGGCCTTTGAATAATCATCCAAGCATTGCCCCGGACGCGATCCTCGATATGGTAGGTCTATTCGCATTCGCATTGAAGGCGACTAGCGACCCCGTACTCCGTGCGTACCCCCGTTTCCCTGATGGAGTAATCCTGACTCTTCAATCTGACCCTATCATTTTCCATTTGTAGGCGTATAGCGTATCCTCCCCCCGTTATCGTATCGCCCAGGATCGGATCTACCCAACTTCTCCACGGGGATCCATACTACGATCAGCCTTAGCTCTCCCCTCTTTCGTTCCCTGTTTTTCCGTTTTCCTTCTTATGCAACTCCACTCCCCTCCGTCCATTTTCCTCTTTCTTGTGTCTTCTCGTCCCCCTTCGTCATTACTGCGGCACCCACATCCATCATCCCACGGCATTTGGCATCCACCGTCATCCTCCAACCCGCCTCTCCTCAGCCTATTCCCCCGACCTCGGGCTCTTCTTCTCCCGCACTCTCTCAACTGGGTCCTCCCCAATGATCATCACTGTCCACCCCCACACTTCGGACTTCCGCCGCCTCCCGTAGGAAACTCTCACACACTCTCACACACGCGGCAATGGGGCTGTGGCATTCTGATTTCTCTTTCTTATCCTTCTTCTTCTTCCTCATCATTGTGCCTGTGCTGGCGGACCTTTCGGTGCTGCCCACCAACGACACCCACGATCTGGCCTGGTCCAGCTCCGCGCGCTTCCGCATCCAAAGTTCTAGTCCACTCAACGGCCAGATCCTAGCCCCATTGACGCAGTACCTCGTCAATTTATCATCCAGCCAGGCCCAGGTAAGACCCGTCTTAGATACCCTGCTCTGTTGATCCCTCTCTCTGTCTCTTTCTCTTTCTCCTTTCTCTCCGTCCTCCTACCTCGCAACCCATTGACCCCCCACCCCCCTACAGGCATGCTAATTGCCCATCTTCCAGAGATTCGACATCGCCGGCACGATCACTGAGGTGACTGCCACTAACTCTCTCGCCGTCAATAGCACCAAGATTGCCTGCATCCCCTGTGACGGCTCTTCCGTAAATTATCCAGGAGAATTGGGTGTTGATCAGACAGTCCAAAGCGTGATCACTGCTGCAGAGCCCGCCGCTGCCATCATCCTCTACAGCACATCTTCTACGCACTGCAACCTGACTACGAATGATCAAGCCGAGGCATATCGCTACATCTTCACCTTCCGAAATTCAACTGCTGTCGCCGACCTTGATCAAACCTTGAACGGTACTCCCAATAAGACCGTCTCCATCATCCCAATGTCTTATCAAACTACTACTCCGGTTGATACCAGTGCTAGCGGCACTGGTGACAGCCCCAACACGGGTAGGTACTCTTCCTTTCCCGTATTGCTTGATGAAATTCCTCTTATTGATTACTCCTCGCAGCGATGATTATCCTGTACAGCATTACGGGTATCATCACGGCCCTCTTCTTGGGCATCATTATCACCGGCGCCGTCCGTGCTCACCGTCATCCCGAGCGGTACGGGCCCCGCCGAGTCGCTGGCCGGCCACGGCAAAGTAGAGCAAGAGGTATAGCGCAAGCCATGCTCGACACCATCCCCGTCGTCAAATTTGGCGATACCAACGGCGTCGATGCCGCCAAACGGGACGTTGAAATGGCCAATGCCGAGGATCCCGCCCGCGAGCATTCTCCTCATCCGTCGGATAGCAACTCCGATGTCGGGCAGACGACTCCGCGCGAGACTGAACTGCCGAGCACTGCAGACGCCGTCACCGAACAGCCCGCTGCAACTGCCACCGAGTCAAATCCCCACGCTGCTCCCGATGGTGGTAACTTCTCTTGTCCTATCTGTACCGATGACTTCATCAAGGGCCAAGATCTGCGGGTCCTGCCATGCAACCACCAGTTCCACCCGGAGTGTATCGATCCTTGGCTTGTCAATGTGTCAGGCACCTGTCCTCTTTGGTAAGTTTCTTCCTAGTGCAGGTTTTTCCCTCGCATGCCTCTTTTATCGCAAACAAACAAAGCAACTAACACTTGTTTAGCCGCATTGACCTCAACCCACCCAAGACCGAGGAGAATGCCGAACAAGAAGGCGAGAATGCCGACCCGCAGAGCGCAGACACTGCCGCCGACACCACTACAACCCCAGCTACCGCCGGCGCTCAAAGTAACCGACACTCCCACCGATTAACAAACTACCTACATGGCCCCCTCAACGCCCGCCGCATGCGCAATGCTACCGTAGAGGAACGTCTCGCCGCACTCCGCCACGTCCGCGAAACCAACCAAGGCGAAGCCACCGGAGACGACGAGACAACTCGACCTAATCGCAACCGCCTCTCAACCCGACTGCGCGATCGATTCCGCATTCGCACTCGCGCCCACGGAGTCGACACTCTCACCCCCGTTCAAAGTGGCGCGGCGACACCCACCGTGCCACCGGCTGCGCATACCACCAACTAGTCAGGACCATCGGCCTCGACCCCACGAACGCCGACATCGACACCCATGCATGCATAACGACACTCCTTTTTTTTTTCTTCCATGCACTCAGGGACCACTCCCTTTGACGATATGACGTTTTTTTCACGTTTTGATATTGATGGCTCATACACTGCGAACCACTTTTTTTTTCTGCATTGGCGTTTGGGAAATATGAAATCACATCGAGAATGTCTGGATCTGACACGAAACTGATTGGACGATCGTGTGGAGCTCTATGAGTTGGATTTGCTTCTTTTTATTACATATTGGGTCAGAAGGGTCGGCGTTTTTACGAGACCGGAGGAGAAAAGATTCTGTTGTATTTGTTCGTGGATTTATTATCCGCTTTGTGTTTCTCGTGGCGCGTTGTATATAGGATATGTATATTTGCGGAATAGGGTGATTGTAGATCCCATCTTTTGGCTGTGCATATGAAGATTTCCACTTGTCTTGATCGGTGCTCGGTAGATATATTACATATGGCCCGGAAAGTTTGGCATATTCTTAGAGACAGTCGAATATGGAGTCGGGCGACACGTGGTTAGCCTTCTAAGTCTAAGGGATTCTGATATCCGGGGGTAACTATATATACAGAGTCACTAGGTAGATGCCAAGAGTGTCTGTGAATATATCTCAACCGAAGATTAACGTAAGCCAGGAATGTTACCTTGATCGACAATGGAATCCGACATCCATCCTCGGAGAATATTAATCTCTTACGCTGATGAAACGAGTTGGACTTGGACACTTCCAGCATCACCTTTTCCTTGACATCAACGTGTATATACGTCCGGGAACATTACACATTTCAGTCTTGAACATCATCTTCCTTACTCCATACAGAATCAACGCTCGTATTCTCATGGGGGCGTACCAGGAAAGTTCAACCGCCGGAACGAATTACCCCATTGCGCGCAAGGTCGGGCAACGATCGCCCAGACTTGGCCGACTTGGCGTCCGTGGGGAGAGGCAAGAGACTGCGCGCAGTGGAGCGCACTGGGAGGGGGGAACGATTGGAAAGTGTGGAGAAGAGATGGGGAGGCCCGTGGCTCCAAGTCTTACAGTGCTTCTGACTAAGAGCTACAGAGATGGACTCCCTACAAGGTCCAGGGATATATTACAGAACTCGTCTCGAGCAATTCTGCAAGAAAGACGATCAGTTAGTTAATGTTCTGCTCTCGAGCCTCGGGGAATCACGTCCACCCCATAATCAACTAACCTGACATCATCGTGAAAACTCGGGGAATAACCCGGAGGCGAACGGCTGGAGTCGGAGAAAGTCCGCCGGGGCTTCGACTCCACGACTCCACGAGTGGAATTGTGAATTGGGTGAAATTATTCAATCGCCGATCCAAACCGCCGAGCCTCCGAGACGAGTTGAAGTACCAAGCACAAAGTCGCCAGATTATGTACGGAGTAGTAGACTAACTTAGTGCACTACGGGAAGTAGTTGATCAATTCTTCACTGGCTAAATTCCCTAGATTTGGCTACGCTGGATGAATGCGACCGGAGGATTTACAGATTGAAAGTAGTTGAATAATTAAGTCTCTGCGGAGGCCCGTGATCGTCGGCATTTTACCTTTTATGACCCCTGGAGGCTGGAGCAGTTGATTTCTCTCCACCTTTTTTCTTCTTCTTCTTTTTTCCCCTCAGGGTTAGGGTGGTGCCCTAAGTCGGTGTCATGGGGGGAAAGGGGAAGAGGAGATGTGAACTAGAGGATGGAGAATAGGGCTGGTGTCTCCTCACGGGGGGTAAAATCGGCTCGCCGATAGGATTTGGAGGTGAGCTGGTGTAGGATATTTCTGACTTCTATTTCGGTCTGATCGTCAGATTAGAGACTTATGATATGATTGAGAACGGGAGATGTTTGTGCTGATCTATACAGCCTAGTAACGGTTAAGAGTTGACTTTTCTATCGTATTGCATTATGATGACTACCGAATATATTATCTTTCCAAATACCTCTATTTCATGCATCTCCCACGATATCCCGCGATCGGGCTATCGGCGCTGTCAGGCGGGACATTTCCAGAAGATCCAAGGGGGCTCCACTGCGCCTTTTTTCTGCTCGGCGTGATGACACACGAGCGGCGCAGCGAACCTGTCGGGAGGTCCGCTGAGAAATCGTCTTCTCCAAACGGGGCCCAGATCATAGGGCCTGGTCGGACTGCTACTAGGATTGGCGTCCGGGTATTTGGGCACGTTGCTGGGACAGTTGCTGGGATTATTACCGGGCTCTATGACTGTAGGAGTCGCAGAGGTGGCATAATCCATGCATGTATAGCTTATCGGGATATACATCAGATTCCAGCGGGAATGTCCTGTCCTTACGGTAGATAGCAGATAAAATCCACACAGATAAGGAAATCAACACTGACACATGCGTCTCACAGAGCGACAAATGATGCCCTATTCGAGTAAAACGAAGCATGTGAACTCCACAGGGTGTCGCAGTGCGTCATGCGACGAAGAAGTTACGGAAGTTCCTCGGCTCGTTAGCACGGCGCCCGAGGGACGAGGAGCTTCAGGGGAAAAAGGCGCCGAGGGATTTATTCAATGGGGAGCTGATAGAGACTCTTTATGAATCCGTTTCTCTCCTTTCTCTTCTTTGTATCTCGACGCTATCGTACAGGAGTCTTTTCTGATCCAAACGCTGACAATCGCGGCGCCCTGATTTAACCGCTCGGAGTCTCCACCCCCTCATTCCTCCTCATTCCGTCTCAATTCGGTGAACGCAAGCAGCAAGGTTTTTCCTTGCTTTGCTCCTTTCGGTCCTTTCGGTGGCCAGATTCCGGGGAATATCACTGCGGGAAATTGCCAGACAAAAATAGGATCCTGCATTATCCATTACTTGAGCGGAAATTGGAGAAGGTTAATTCGGAAATCCGAATTTTAAATTTCTCTTTTTTTTTTTTTCGATTTATTATTTGGTTCCCAGGATCAGGCAACGCAACGTTTCCATCATGACGAGCCCCCGTCAACTTCAAAACCCCTCCTCCATCTCTTCTTCTTCTTCCTCCTCCTCCTCCTCCTCCTCCTCCTCCACGGCCCGCGATCGTCTTTCCTCCCTCTCCTCACACATCATGGGTTCCAACGGTAATCCGTCCATCTTCACCCCGGCCGCCGTCGCCGCGGCCCCCGAAGACCCTCTCTTTGGCTTGATGAAAGCCTATCGTGAAGACCCCTCCGACAAGAAGGTCGATCTGGGCATCGGTGCTTACCGTGACAACAATGCGAAGCCGTGGATCTTGCCCGTCGTGAAGAAGGTATGTCTTGGACAATCTGCGCATCGACTATACCATTCTTATAGATTGATATACTCTGCGATTGGCGACAAATTGGGTTCTTCTATTTTCCAGTTGACTGACTCACCTCCTCTCTATTCCAGGCTGATGACGCCATCCACAATGACCCCAGCGTGAACCACGAATACCTCTCGATCGGCGGGTTGGCCGACTTCACCTCGGCCGCACAGAAGCTCATTGTCGGCGCTGATAGCCCCGCGATTCGCGACAAACGGGTATGTCGATCCGAGACTCATCGGCCACCTCCATAATTTCCCTATACTTGCTGTCCCTGCGCAACTACTACTCTAGACACATGAAACAGCACGGCTTCTCTGAAAGTTCACGCTAACGCACCTTCCCTCATTCTATAGATCTGCACCCTCCAAACCATCTCGGGAACCGGCGCCGTCCATCTGGGCGGCCTCTTCCTCTCCAAGTTCCACCCCGCACAGCCCAAGCCCACCATCTACCTCTCCAACCCAACCTGGGCCAATCACCACCAAATCTTCACAAATGTCGGCCTCACCCTCGCCAACTACCCCTACTTCTCCACCAAGACCAAGGGCCTCGACTTTGACGGCATGACGGCCGCGCTGCGGGCAGCGCCGGCCGGCTCCATTATCCTTCTCCACGCCTGCGCACACAACCCCACGGGTGTCGACCCCTCGCAGGAGCAATGGAAGCAGATCGCCGCAATCATGCGCGAGCGTCGCCAATTCCCCTTCTTCGACACCGCCTACCAGGGCTTCGCATCTGGGGATCTCGTCCGCGACGCATGGGCGATCCGCTACTTTGTCGAGCAGGGCTTCGAGCTGTGCGTCGCACAGTCGTTCGCGAAGAACTTTGGTCTATACGGTGAGCGCACGGGTGCGTTCCACTTTGTCTCGGCGCCCGGCGCGGACGCATCCACTGCTATTCAGCACATTGCTAGTCAATTAGCTATCCTCCAGCGGTCGGAGATTTCCAACCCCCCCGCGTACGGCGCGCGCATTGCCAGCAAGATCCTGAATGACCCCGTACTCTTTGCAGAGTGGGAGGAGGATCTGCGGACGATGAGTGGCCGCATTCAGGAGATGCGCCGGGGTCTGCGGGAGCGATTGGAGAAGCGTGGGACACCCGGTACCTGGGATCATATCACGACTCAGATCGGCATGTTTAGCTTTACTGGGTTGAATGAGAATCAGGTTAAGATTCTGCGGGATAAGTGGCACGTCTATATGGTGAGTCCGATCCAGCCTACTGACCCTCTCTTTTGCGAAAATCACGTTTTTACTAATACATTCTCCTTCTAGACTAAGAACGGCCGTATATCTATGGCTGGCCTGAACACGCATAACCTGGATTACTTCGCCGAGGCCGTGGACAGCGTCGTCCGTGAGACCTCGTAGGCCACTCACTACTCTTGCTAAAGTGACTAACTATCTGGTTCGGCTTTTTTTTTTTTTTTTCATTCCCACCTTTTCGATTCACCTTTTTTTTTTTTTCTCCAATTACCACATTTCCTGTGCCTCATACTCGGTATGGTTTCGGGAAGACGGCATATGATGGACACATTTTCATTTTTCATTTTCATGGATTTTGGGCATTTCTTTATTATGCATCACAATCACATGTAGATCTACGGCTCGGAATATCAGAAGACTTTTGGACTTTGATGATTTGGAAAGAAGGCTTCTATTGGTGTATTGCCTTTTCCATAAATTAGACCTGGACTTTGATCACTTGACCTCGGGTCTTATGGCATATGATCCTACTGCTACCCTTGTCAGTTTCATGATGGACGATGCTACTCGTAGCACTGCTATGAATAGTTCAAATGGATATAATGGATGTTATCCTAGTAGAAAATGGCCATGCAAGGGCTACACTGTCCAGGCTCAATGCCCGAATGCGCTGAGCAACAAATAATGCGATGCGATATGAACATGCTATATCAAGAGCTGTCCCCAGGAAGCCCAGGTCAAGCTCTCGCCCTCAAAACACCAAATCCCACACCACAAGCCAGGTACACAATCCAACCGTGCCCCAGAACACGGCTTGCGCCGTACTCCGGCGCTCCGTCGCGCGCTTCAGCTCCTTATTACCGCGGCCCACATTGCTCTGCGTCGTGTCCACGTCGCTGACCAATTGCGAGATGTATTCCTCTTGCGTGGCGAGATGGGAGACGAGTGTTTCTTGGAGAGAGGATATTTCCAAGAGAGATTTTTCGGCGTTTCTAGAGTGATTCAAGTGGTTAGATGCGGATGAAGAAAAGGTATCTCCCCAGCTAATATATAGCAGGCGCAGGGAGAAAAAAAAAAGGAATCACGTACTGTACTTTCCCCAAAGTATCCTCGTAATGCCTCAACATGGTATCGTTCTCCTCGGCAAACAACTGCAATTGCTCCGGAGATAACTGCGCCTCGATACGCGCCGTCTCCGCCTCACTCAACACTGTCGCATCGGGCGCCTGCATCGACGACGCCGAAATGTCCACCGTCCTAGATGCGCGCTCTCCACCCGTAGACACTTCCCCACCCTTCCCCGCACCAGCTCCAGCTCCAGCACGCTTATACAAAACACTCTTCTCCTTCTCCCTGGCCCGCTCAATCCTCTTCTCCACCATCCCCCTCTGCACCCCCGCGACCCCATCCAATTCCCTCCTGAGAAACCAAAGCACCCCCTCCCTCACACCGGCAATCATCTTCGCCCTCTCCTCCGCCTCGATCTGCTCCGCGGATTTCCCGTCGTGCGCCGTGGCGTCGTCGAGGGCACTGCCACCGCCCGCCCAGCGCCAGAGGAGTGCACCTGCGGCGCTGTGGCCGTATTTTTTGCGGAGGATGGAGGCGGAGGTTTCTTGGCGCAGGGTTTCGGCGGAGGAGAGGTTCGTTATGGATGTTGCGAGGTCGCGGAGGAGGAGGGCTGTTGAGGTGTCGATTTCGTCGCGTTCGGGGTCGGTGAGGTTTGTTTGGTGGTGGGACGGGGTGGAGATAGAGTGGGAGGATGTGAGTGATTCTTTGGGATGGCGGCGGGGATGGGCGGTCGTTGTTAGGTAGGCGTGGCGAATTGAGTGGAGGTATCTTAGTAGAGAAGTTATATGAGAGTTCTGTGTTGGAGGAATTAGTTTTTCTCCTTCAATGTTGGGAGGGGGGGGGGAACTGGACTGACGATGCGATGGGCCTCCTTGAGGAACTCGTCTGCGACCTCGGTTGAGGGGGGTCGGGTTGATGGGGGTGGAATGGGCCGTCCATTTTTGGCGGAGAGGAGGGTGTTTAGTGTCGGTGTGAGGTCGGTCATGTTGATGGGTTGGAGGGGTGTGGGGTGTGTGTGCTGGAGAGAGTTGAAAGAGAGAGAGAGATGGAGAAGGTGAAGGTGTCCAGCTGGAAACTCCGCGGTGGATCCCGTCAATAGGCGTCACCGGTCTCTGTGATTGGCTGGTTGGGTGCGCCAGGCGGAGTAGACGGGAGTACATAGATAGATAGCTGCAGCCTGTCTATTTACACTTCTGGTCTGACTCGGATCGAACCTGCCATTAGATACATTGCTGCTGATATTCTACTGATAAGATCATATTTGCGTATTTCCATGCCAATCAAAAGGGTATAATCAAAACCAAAATGCTAACAATGCCCCCGTACTAGACACCTTGACAAAACCACTCATAATCCGTAAACTCGACCAGATCAAATCATCGTCCGTTCTTCTACCCAAACCTACAAAAGGAACCAAAATTAGTACATGCCAGCCCGTCTCGTACTTTTGAACTTGACTTACCTCCATCTTCCCCATCTCACTCCCCTCCCTCCTCGCAACCTCCCTCGCACTAGCCAGCAACAAATCCAAATCCTCCTGATCAACCATCGTAATCATATCTCCATCATCCTGCACCTTCATCTTTAATGGACACCGAAACCCAAACTTCTCCCGGATCTTCCCTTCGAAATCTGCAAACTCCACTGTCGGGCCAATCATGATATACCGGATATCGTCCGGCGCATGCACTTTGGTCCGGAACCGCCGCACCTCGGGCCGGCGCGAGTTTGCCCGTCGAGAGAATCGCGTTGGTGAGCGGGTACGTCGTTGTTGGAGACTATGTGCGGGCGAAGACCCGGGACCGGGTGCACCGGGGATGGCACTGAGTAGCTCAAAGGAGCCGTCTTTGATAGGCTCGCCGTCGCATACGTCGCTTCCATATTCGTCTTCTTCGTCGATGAAGGCTGGTGGTTGGTGTCGACCGCGGCCCCAGCCTGCGCTGGAGAGATTGGCGGGACTGGCGTAGGTGTGTGAGTCCGGATGATTGTATTCAGGCTGCTCGGGGAAGTTGAAATTCAGATTGGGATTGGGATTGGAATTGGGATTCGAGTTGGTGTCGCTTAGGTTTCTGCGGTGACCGTGAGACCATGCGCCGCGGCTAGGTTCGCCAAATCCACGCATATTCTGGTGTCGGGATGCTGGACCTCGGGGCTCGGATGCAGTACGTGTTGTGCCAATGCGTGGCTTTTCTGCAGTAGAGACAGTCTCTTGTCCTTGGCCTCTGCGTTCGAGGCTGGCTCCCGTGCGTTCGAGATCGAGTCGTGGCGGCCGGCCCATTCGGAGGGAAGATGAGCGGTGATGTGAGGAGCCAGCCACGGAGCCATTGCTCGTTGATCGGTCATCTGGGGGAGGTGTTGGAGGAAAAACATTGCGGTTAAGGGGTGGTTCGGATTGCTGACGAGTGCGACTGGTTATGCCCTTGTGGACGAGATTTGTGGCTGCCCAGGAGACGCCTTCACGGTCTTCGAGGGCGCCTTTGTCGATGACCATGGGTCGCCATTGGTGGTCTGCGCCTTGGGATCGATCTGATGCTGCGACCAGCCGGGCCTTGCCTAGGTAGTCCTTGCTTTTGAGGTTCTTGACCTTGGCTGCGTTGGGGCGATATAAAATGCCCACGGGGATGGAGAAAACCGTATATCCCTGCTCAATATTAGCGATGTGGTTTCGAATTAGGAAAGAGCAACGAAAAAGCAAGAGATTGGAACGCCATACATCTGCATTTTCACGAATAGCATCGTCAATAACATCATGGTCCGACGTGACTTTCTCTTTTGCCGCATAGGAGAGATCCTGCATGCCAGGAATCATCTGCTGGAGGTAGACATAGCATAGTCCACGGTTGAACAAGACTTCGCACGAGTACAATCGGAACTTGAGACCCAGCTGTTCATAGTCAATGGACGTGTTTCCACGTAGATATAACAGTGTATCATTGAAATTGGCTAATGCCTCTTCAAAGTCACCCAGAAGAAAATTTGATACTCCTTGCTGGAAGTAGGCAATCGCTAGGTACCGGTCCAGACCGACGGCTCGTTGATAACACTCTACCTACATGATCATCAGCCACTGGTTCTAGGCTGGGGGCATCCTTGAGCTGGAATAGGGCTTTCACATACTGCTTTATCGTGTTCTCCGAGTGTTGCATAGATCACGCCGCAGTTGAAGAGAATCTTGGATGTATCCGCAATCTGATCAAAGTAACGCAGAGACTCTTCAAAGTCCTGATTGTCGTAGGCGTCCAGGGCTTGCACCCATGTTTCTATCTCCTGAAAACCGACTTAGCGCTTATAGATATATCTGCACAGTCTCTCCCGTTATCTTATTACATACCTGCTTCAGGGACATCTTGCCCACATATAGACGTGCCTAGGAGTAACTCGCGTAGGGAATCCAAGGATCGACGATAAAGAGGAGCGGTATAAAGGAGCGTAAGTTCCCCTCTTCATCCACAGAGCCCAGAAGATCAGTCAAGTAGCGAGAGAAATCCGAAATGGAATCTCCGTACACCGCTGATCAGCCGTTGGCGGGACGAGAGCACGTCACGTCCGGGGGAAACTCGTGCCGGGAATCACTGATACTTATTATAGCACAGCTCCTTGTTGCCCGAGGATCCCGCCGGTGTGATGGGGCGGCCCTGAGCACCCAGACGGGGATGCCAAGACGAGGTATGGAAAAAAAGGGAATCAGAAATAGGAATTAGGATCAGGGTCGGTTCCGTTGGAGGGGCACGAACACGGTGCGGGGGGAAGGGGACCACCGGTGGGGCTAGATCCTGATTAGGTGGGTTGTGCAGGAGGTTATTGAAAAACAGAGATTAAATCTGCGATACGGTAGAGATATGGGAGGATGAGATGTCCCGGAGGAGTTGCTTGGAATAGGTTGTGATAGTTGTGATGCCTATGTTGATAGGGAGGTCGGGAAGAGACTCGCACTTGGCGAGTGTCCGTGGCGGACTGCGGGTTGGCGGGGAAGAGTAGATGACTGGAGGTGAATGGATTGATTGGGATGAGATGAAATGGGATTCGAGCACGAATCCCACAATCGCTTGAAAATGTATTTATAGAATCGTGGTAACCTCGATGGATTGAAATCCTCCCAAATACTGGTGGCTGGCCCCCAGTCACTCAAACCCTGCGATAGTCGATAGAAGAAAGAGAAAAGGACGGCCTAGGGCCAACTTCCGATCACGGTGCGCTAGGCGCGGGGTTAGTATGTGACCCAACAGTGTGGATCGATCAGACGGGGGAGGGGCTGGTAAGATGATGAATGATTCGAGTGGTGGGTAGGGCAATAGAAGATCCAGGAAAGAGCGAGGAGAGAACTTGATCGAGAAAAACCAGAAGAAGCAATGAAAGCAGAAAAGAGAAAAGATGACGGCCGAGCATCTGCAGAGGGATGCACAGCGGGGCAGGGATTGGGCCGGGCATTCACGACCATCGATCAACATCGACTACTCTCCCCGTTTTACGACTACGACTACGACCCGACCCTGTCTGGTAGTCCACTATCGTCGCGCTATCGTGCACTATTCCTCCCGCTAAGGCAAAGAACCTTGGACGATGGACAGGGCTGGTCAGCCCGAGGATTGGGAAGCGCCGAGAGGAGGCGTGATGGGCCAAAAATAACTTGCGTTGCACCTGCAGGAAATATGCACGCCAGGTGAGCAATGAGCATGCTGGATAGCCTTGACGATGGGATTTCTTGCGCCCATCGCAACTGTGAGTGGGCGCTTATTGCCAACGTCGAGAGAGCGAGCTTGCTGTATGGTCAATCGTAGTGCCTCCTCACAAGTGGAACCCCCTGCATCGAATGGACTGATGGGCCGAGAGTGGCATGGTGCTCTTGTTTAGAGTTCTGGCCTTGGCAACCAACCGGCGGAGGAGAATTGTACCTGGCAACAATCCTCCGAGAATGGCATCGCTTGATAGGTAGTCTCATTTCCACCAAAATTCCCTCCGTGCCACGTCGCGAATGATTCAGCCAGTGGCTGATGAGTCCGGATTGGCCGTTTTTAAGCGGATGTCGGTGCAGTCATCATCTCCGGGCAGGAGTCAAGGAAGCATAGAGATGATTGATGATCGGACCCATCACAAAAGGCACGACGTTTTTGGCGCGACGTGGGATTAGCTCAACGAACGGGCCGCGGGAGGGATCCATGGATGACCCCCCTGGCTGGGCCGTGCGGGGACCGGATGGCCACCATATGGCATTTTCGGTAGAATCAACAGGTCAAGATTAGGTAGAGACCCAGTCAACGGCAGTTCGGCGAGTCAGCGAACCACGAGCATGAGATCGGAAATGCTCTTTCGCACCTCATTGGCGTGGGCGAGGGAGATACCCCCGCCACGGCGCTTGCAGTGTTTTATTTATAGCTGGGAGAACCAGGGTCGGTCAGCGAGAACATTGGACAGTGATATTCGGAATACCCGGCGACCGGCCATGGAAAGGCAGGGGTGGTGTAGTTGACTCGATGAAAGATGAAATGTGAAGGCACAGGAGGAACGGCCAGAGACCCCGTGACTCGATCACAGCTACTTTCCAGATAGCTACTGTAAATGCTCGATATTGCACGGCCCAATTACACGGTCTTCCGCTTGACGCACAATGAGTCACGGGTTTCCGGTACCGAATACGAGAGAGCTATGGCCTGGAACAATGCTTCGCTTAGTTTTATAAGGAGATAATCTGATTGACAAGAAGAGCCCGGATCGAACCAAGATACCATGGCGAATCGCTTCATTCTGCCCTCGTCGCCCGTGGTTCGATGCCAAGATCGATTTGACCTTCTTGGCTCCGACGAGGACGAAGTGCCCTTTTGGGACCTGCTTACGGCGATCTTGACTAGTAAATCGGATCCCATACATGAAATTGCCTCACTTCTGGATGCGCTGGAGAGTATTGCTATCTCTCTGAGAGGATCGCTGCTAAATGGAAATTACGATACGCTTCACGAGTTTTTCACCTTGTATCTCCGAGATGCAGTTCGTCATGACCAGTTTTTCACCAATTCCTGGCCATTTCTCGTAGATTTGGCCCTGGAAATGCCCACCCTGTTTCCCGATGGTACTTTACCATCTCTCTCAGCGTCACAGGATGATAATGGAAGGTCCACGGCTACTTTTTCTCGACGACAAATTGCCTGTCTGGTAGTCCATCAATTTCTCTGCTCTTTACCCCCACATCCTTGGGATACGGAATCATTCGTCGATTTACAGCCCTGGTACATTCAATCAAACACATCTCATCCAGGCGCTGTTCATGCATACCTGACAGCATTATTCACATACCTTGAGCACCTTCAACAGCCAATACAAGGTCACACTTCCCGAATTGACTCGTCAATAGAAGAGTGGCCCGTCACATTTACACTCAGATCGATTGGAAGCAATGAGGTAGATCAGATACTCGAGAACGAGGCGTCAAGCACTTATCTTTCCTCGACATCCATCGAGATATGCCATCTGGAAGAATCACAAACGAAACCCACCTATCTTGGTTTCCCTGACGGTGCATGTGTGATCTCAGCAAACAAATGCTTTGGTTACGGTCCGACAGGTACACAAGAAGAGTTGCACGTTGGCATTTCCCCAGAATCCTACCCTGCCGTCCTCCTCACTCGTCCGTTATCCGATAACCAGGTTCTGATTTGCCAGGGTGCAGAGCCAATGGTCTCTATAAAAGGGTACGGCAGAGATGCAAGACTGGATCAAACCCTGCCATCTTCTATCTCTACCCCTGAAGACATCTACCGCTGGAAAGATCGAACAATGCTTTTCATGGACGCTCTGGAAATGGATATCATTGGTGTAGATACCAATGCTTTCATTCCAGACATTCACCCTCTCACACGACTATCCAGGGACATGATTCTAAAGGCATACAATGCCTTCCACAGTGATGCGCAACCCTACAGTCATATCGTGACCGGCCTCTGGGGCTGTGGGGCGTTTGGCGGAAACAAGTACGTTAAGTGCCTTCTACAGTGGTGCGCGGCGAGCCTGGCTCAGGTTCCCGCTCTCAGATTTGTCTTTGCCGGGTCCGGGCAACAGGAATTTGCAGAGGAATTTGCGCGGTTCGCACTAAGATTGACGGGTAAGCATGTCACAGCGAGACAGGTCTTTGAAGCTTTGGCTGCGATGAAAGATTTCGGCGATAAGGTCAGCGCGCATGGTGTTTTTGATTACATGGGAAATCAGCTTGGTATTAAATACAAGAATTGAGAATTATTGGGAAATAATGGGAAAGCGTTGAAGTCAACATGGCATTACTATGCTAAAAGTGGTTGTCGGATCCGTATTGGGAGCGGTCATCACGTCCTCGCGACCAATTTTATAGCAACCATCGGCCGCAGTGGACTTTTTCACCTTCTATTTGTACTATTCATCGTGCCTGTCGAAAATTTGCCTTCCGTCAATCAAAGACAGCTATAAACATGAGCTCGGAACGAGCCACTTCGCGAGTCCCACTTTTCAGAAGATGTCTAGGGTGGCGCCTGTCCATTAGCAGGTCAAGCCGAAGAATCAAGACATATCTCCATTTCACTCAAGTAGTGACAAAGGCAGAACACGAGGAGACTTCTATCTCAGAACTACATCACCTTACTATGGCAATGCCTCTTGAAGATATAGCAGCTCGCGTTGAACAAGAGCCCAAGCTACCAGCACAAATTGTCAGAAGGCCATTAGTCCCAGTAGCCTCCGAAACTTTGGAGACACACACCCGACCGAGGTGTCCTTTACTCACCATCCCGTTGGAAATCTTCGATGAAGTGGCTTTCTATTAACGATCAACAATCCGTTGCACGGACCAGCAAAGTCCTCTATCAAAATTACGTTCCGATTCTGCAAGACTCAAGACAAGAGTTCCCTCCGGAGACCGAGGAGTATCGCCTTCTACAACGCAGGCCACAAAGAAAGAAATTAGAGATACCATGTTGTCCTCTAGAGGAACGCATCCAAGGAAGCGAAATTGATTTGTGGAAAGTACAACATACCGTATCCTGTACTGGTAGGTATACAAAAAGCGTGAAGCTCTGTCCGTGTGTGGTAATTTGCCCAAGGCGCTTTTAAGTACATCACCTTTGATCTTGGGCAAAAAAGAGGTATCATTTTGGCAGCAGACACTGGCGTAGGTCTTGTTATGGAGCATAACAAGCATGGGCCCTATATTGTGCACGAGTGCACAATCACGAGTGTCCCAATTTTGGGAGCCCACGTCACGGTGCATATTGCATCCCTCTCGGACGAGCGATTGTTGGTCTCCACCGAATATCAGATTCGTTTCTGGGATATGACTCCGCCTGATAAAGCCGAACCTCTCCATATCTGTCCTCACGAACAGGATATCATACCGTGGCTGCGGGCATACTTTGACCGTCGAGAGAAGGGAATTGTTGGGTGGCAATCAGCATACGAGCTCTGCCCATTTTGCCAAATAATGGTTTGTCGAGGCAAGGAGGTTTTTGATATCGTGGTACGGGTTCGAAGTGGGATATATCAAGACAGGCACGACGGGCAGGGCTATTGCAGCAGGTTTGAAATTTTCCCCGTTCGACCATTTGCAGTTGCAGCCAATTATCAAGATTACGACTGCGATGCATCATCTCAAACGACGGAGCAGCAGCTAGAAAATTGGGGAGGAACCCCTCTTTGCTAGCGAGGCTCTTAGCTTGCTTGTATACACTACTCTATCATGTATCATGTTTACGAAGTGAATTTTGTTTTTCAGTAGGTAAAGTTGTGGAATCTTCCGGATGGTAATCAGTATCCCCCCAACGATTAGATCTTTGGGAATTTTCTGATTCTATCACCGGCAGTTGTAGATGAAGATGATGAGACTAAGCTGTTATCTCATAAATACTCAGGAATCCGTACGCCGGAGACTATTGCGCTGGGACTTCCATTTTTGTGCTGTTAATTAGTCAGAACACATTAAACTTAGGCTACCTACCTAAGTATTTTCCCGCAGACAGACTAAGATCACTGAAATACAAGAAATGTATGCTATATTCCCTGCGAGTGATATGGATCAAATATTACTTTTTCTCCTAGTCACCAAGTCCGTTCCGTGCCATAGGATAAGTGGGTCCCTCAACAGCGCATGCAATAGACAAAACAATCATAATAGTTTCCAAATATTTACGAGCACAAATGCTTTAAAATCCAAAAGTGATCAAAATATGGGAAGCTTCTTCCCCATTCGAGTCACGTGCCAATCTACATCCCCCGGATGTCGAAAAATAAGTAAAGCGCCAGCCATCAGCGGTCAGCGGCAGGGATCTGATCTCGGACGCCAAACCGGACCAGGGATTAGTTCGCCTCCCCCTCATTCTCCCAAGCACCACGCGATGGGCAACCCCTATATTCACTCCGACGGGCGCGCACTATCAAACCTTCCTTGTACAATCAAAATAAGAACCACCGGCTCCGTCGCCTGCAATGGCGGAAATCTACGATACCGACCGGTTCGCGCAACTCTATTATCCATCCAATACAGCGGACCTCCTGCAGCTGGGTCTTGCGGCTAGATTCATAGCCAGTTTATTCGAGGCCCACCAGATCACGTATGCCTTTATTGGAGGATGGGCGGTATATCTAAGAGGGGGTCGACGACGGACTCAAGATATTGATATCACTGTCGCTACCACAATGGACCATTTGAAACAGATCCTAACCGCGCAATCCCGGTACTTGCTTAACACTTTTTTTTTCCCTTCCTCTTTCGCATAGTCTATGAATCCCTCGGACGATGGCTCCCTTTTTTATTTTGTCTTCTTACTTTTGTTTTAACCGATTCTTCCCAGAATACATTTCCCTCTTACACACGGTCGAACATCTGTCCAAGTATTCATCGACACGGGGCGGAGCGTGGACGGCGAATTCCCCCACGTCCCGGACTTGGCGGTCAGCATGGACCTAGTAATCAGTGGTAAGTATGACACTTCCTTTTGTCGGCAAGAAGCCAATAACACGTTGTTAATATCTAGGGCCATCCTTAGGACACTTGGGGACGCCGGAAGATCTTCAAAATTCGCGCGAGCCCATTAACCCACATAGGCCCACGCCGTTGGGTTCACCAGTGTTGGTTTTGGGGTTGGTCTTTCAAATATATGCCAAGTTAGACGCGTTTTTCCGGCGAGGCGAGCAGGGGAGTAAGGACTTTTTGGACCTGGAATTCTTGTTAACACAGTATGCGGCGCAAATCCCCACGTTTCGGGATTATTATGATCTGGAACAAAGGAGATATTTCTGGACGCAATATGCGGAAGCGTATGTGGCGTTTCCCGATCAGGTTGAGAATATGAGGTTACTATTAGGCGTCTGACAGCCTTGTCTGCATTATATCCCCTATCTTTCATTTCATTCTGGAAAAGAAGTTTCGAAAAATATGATTATTTCATTTGATTCATTTAATTCATTATGTAAAAAAGATTAACATGACATGCGTTTCTGAGTCCATGGGTCTGGCGAGCCTTTGAGGCGAAAGCGGGTGTCGAAGAGGTTGTCTGGAGTCGTCCAGCCCAGTCTGCCTTTCTTACTGCGAACCCTGGATTCCCATTTTTCTTGTTTGTTGATAGTTTGCGAGGGGAAGTAATGAACAAACAGCCATCCTTTCCCCCGAGCCGCCTCCTTGGCGACCTTATTCATACGGCTTGTCCATTCAAGGTCGTTGGTTCCGTCTAGGTCAAGATGTCTCCGTCCCCATTCTTCGGAGACATTGGACCCGTCGATGCAGTCACAGAGAGATACGTCATCATTCATCTCCAGGTAGCTTTGCATTAAGATTGGTAGTGTCGGGTAAGGTAGGCCAGTGAGGCTGCGTTGTATTTGGAAGGGACCGGATGGAATATGAGCATCGTGGGCAGGCATCAGGACAAAGTAGAAATGAATGCCCCTCCCTTTGAATCGATGATAGGTATGGCCTAGCGAGAAAGGATGTGAGGTCGAATGCGGAGGTACGGGGTGGATCTTGTCCGATATGAGCTCAGAAGAGAGAAGAGCAGCAGCTTCGGTGACTTTGTTGTCGGGGACGCAAAGATCCCATTCCTATGAAAGTCCTTTGTCAGCTTTCGGGGGCCAAGACCGTTGAAGGACAAAAAGCAAAAGCATACATCTCGAACACGCCCAGCACCATAATAGATCAGCGCGGAAACGCCGACAATACAGCATTCGATGCCATGCTCCTCGAGAAATCGAGTGATGGTCAGAATCTCGAGTGTCCCATGGCCTCCGCACGAGGGGACCTCGTCTGGAGAGTAGGTGGCGGGGTCGGCTACGGGCAAGGACGGTGGAACTGGAGGGTTGATATGAATGTTGGAAGCTAGCATTGCGAGTGCACTAGATTGGAGACAGACGCCCGTCTAACGACTGGAAAAGAGGCTCGTCTTGAAGTCGCGGGGAAGCCCAAATGCTGCGGCTCCACGTGATCCCCTTAGTCACTGAATCTAGACCCTTGGCTAACTATGATGCACGTTTTCTTTTTTTTTCTTTTTTTTTCTTCACGCCCACAAACGACTGGTAATAACCTTAAGTTAAGATCGACTCGTTCCATCTGATATCTCACACTAGGAGTCTTGGGATGATAGAATTGTAGTGGTCAATCAGGCCCTCATAGTGATACAAACGGGCGAGACAAGTATCACTTTTGCGATCTTGGAGGAGGCACGTTCGAAGAGGCCCCACTGGGATTGCTTGATTCGCCCCCCGGCTACTAACGGTTCTTGATGATTCACACCACCTCGAATCGTACAGTAGCGTCGACAGATATGGGTGCTAAATCAGGTTTCCTGCATGTGACAGGGCCCACCAACCGTCCAGCTCGATGACAGGTCGACTCTGATTTGGATGTATAGATTTCGGGACCCTAGATTGGGTTGTACTTTATCGTGGAAAAGACAGCCAGCAAGTCGGCCAAGCCGGCCGTGTCCATGTGTATTCGGGCAGTCTGAAGCGACAAGTCCCCACTCAACCAGCATGTATGCGTGCTCTGTAGGACACAAGTATATTCACCTAGGTCGACTCTCTTTCCCTCATTTGTATGATGGGTATTCAAAGCATGCATCACATCTATCGTTAATCATCAGCCCCAGCCCCAGCCCCAGCCCTAGGCCACCAAATCCCCACATATTCCCCCGCAATTTGACAGCCAACCTGAAAAGCTCAACCCCTTACTGTGGTTTTGACCAAAGCTTAAGCCATACCCTTGCCGACCTGCTCCTGCCGCTCCTCCCAAACATTCTTTCCAGAGCACGAGCAGACCATCTTATCATTATCCCACACGCCAGCACTGCGCGCAATAACGCCGACCAAGGTGTTCTCATCCTCGCGCTTGAACGGTCCCTCCTTGCTTTTGGAAATGACCATACTCCGCCCGATCAACTCCCAGATAGCAACGGGCCGGTCGAGGAAAACGTTGCCACGGCCCTGGTTATCAACGTCGACCGTGCCAAAGACCCCCCGGGACTCCTTCTCGGCCGCGGCCGTGGTGTCCGATCCCAGGACCTTATGCTTCAGAGACTCCCAGATACCGCCCGTCGATTCGGCACCCCGAGAGATGTCACCAGCCTCGCGGACAGTGGCGTAGTATTGACCCGGCGAAAGGCCGTTGATCGTTAAGTCTACTAGGGTCATGGTCGGGGCGACCTGGACCATACGGGCCAGGCCACGGATCTTATTGGCGACGGTGGTAGAGTGTGTCTCGAGGATACAGACCGCGGAGCCTGATGAGATTAAATGTCCGTTAGTAGATGTAGCGTAGGCGCGAATAGAATGAACGCAGTGCGTACTGTTTGTGGTACCACTTCCACGCAGAATCGCATCCCGCCCGGTGTTTTGAATTGCGGTCACGATCGAGCTTGGAGGGGCTGTGCCTTCAATGAAGACAAGCTGATCCTTCAGGTTGGCTTCGATTTTCTGGATACCTGCGTGTATGGAGAAGTGTCAGGGCAGAGCGTAGGAGGTATGATTCAGTCACATGGACAGGAGATCGTACCATCAAGTTTGGACAGGGAGGCGGAGACGTCTTTCACACAACCCTCGCAGGTCATGGGAACCGAGAAGGTCGTCTAGAAGTTATCGATTAATTAGTATGTGTGGTCAACAACATTTGGCTTGCGCCAGGGACGACTGACCTGGAATGGCTCAATCATGGCGGGGAAGAAGTAGATTCAATGCCGAGAGTTCGTTGACTGTCCAAGGGGTGTAGTCGTAACTTCTGCGGCGCAATTTGAAAAGCAGAGAATATGATCTGAAAAGAAAGAGTGATGTCCAAAATAAACCAAGTAAATATGTTCAGAGTATTGCAAGACTGGAAAATCCGAGAGCCGGTACGCGGCGGCGGGGGGTCCGATTTGGATTTCAAATCGGAGCTATTCTTCGGCCCGCCTCTTCCCCAGAGACACGAAACGTCATTCCGAACCCATCCTCGCCTTCCGCACACATCATCCCCTGCGCCCGCGGCTAGCCCGACGCGACGAGGTAACCATGTCAGCCGCAAAATCGCGCTGGGCAGACGACGACCCAGAAAACGACGCGATCATTGCCCAGCGCAAGCGCGAGAAGGAGGAGAAGCGCCGCGCCAAGGCGGAAAAACAGCGCCAGATCGAGGAGGCCAGCAAAGCTTCTGCCCCTACACAGCCAGTGGATGCTGGCCACGAAGCCAATGGGGAGTCAGGGCCACCAAAGAAGCGAAGGAGACTCTCGAATGACCCCGAAGCGCCTTCAGTGGCAGATGAAGTTCCGACGAGCGAGGAGGGGAGGAAGCAGTCAAGCTTGCTGATGTTCCCTGTTGGCGAATGGGGACCCTGTAGGCATGTTGACAACTTCGAGCGGCTGAACCATATCGAGGAAGGCTCGTATGGATGGGTCTCGAGGGCCAAGGATATCACAACGGGCGAAATTGTCGCGCTGAAGAAATTGAAGCTTGAGAACTCGCCGGACGGGTTCCCGGTGACAGGACTGAGGGAGATACAAACGCTGCTGGAGGCGCGACACCAGAATGTGGTTTATCTCCGGGAAGTGGTCATGGGCAACAAGGTGGACGAGTGAGTTTACAGCTCACATAAAATCAAGAGGTTTAACCTAACCAGCTTTTCCTTTTTAGTGTCTTTTTGGTGATGGACTTCCTTGAGCACGATCTCAAAACTCTCCTTGACGAGATGCGTGAACCATTCCTCCCGTCCGAGATCAAGACTCTACTCCTGCAGGTCGTGGGTGGTCTTGAATTCCTACACTCACAATGGATCATGCATCGCGACCTCAAAACATCCAATCTCCTCATGAATAACCGGGGCGAGATCAAGATTGCCGACTTTGGTATGGCACGCTACTACGGTGATCCGCCACCCAAGTTGACACAACTCGTCGTGACTCTATGGTATCGATCACCCGAACTGTTACTGGGTGCGGACAAATACGGCACAGAGATCGATATGTGGAGCATTGGCTGCATCTTTGGCGAGCTGCTCACCAAGGAGCCCCTGCTTCAAGGCAAGAACGAGGTGGATCAGGTCTCCAAGATCTTTGCCTTGACCGGACCTCCCAACCAGCAGATCTGGCCTGGTTTCCGATCCCTACCCAACGCGAAATCTCTACGACTTCCCCAGACTTCGGGATCGCCCGCAGGAAACCCCCCCTTGCTACCTCGTTCCCGATTTCCCTATCTCACAAACGCGGGGTTGAAACTGCTGTCCACATTATTAGCGTTGAACCCAGCTTCCCGGCCGACTGCACAGCAGTGCCTTGCACACCCGTACTTCCGGGAAGACCCTCGTCCCAAACCAAAAGAGATGTTCCCGACCTTCCCCTCGAAGGCTGGCATGGAGAAACGAAGGCGTCACCATACACCCGAGGCCCCTAAACGTGGTCAAGATGCACCCGAGCTGGACTTTGCGGGTGTGTTCGGCGGGGCGGCTGGGGGCGATACGGGCGAGACTGGCGCTGGCTTTTCTCTTCGCCTGGGCTGAAGACCACATAGATTCAAGGAATTGGGCACCTTTCCTCACAAATTCATATCGTCTCAAACTTGATCAATAATTGATCTCATCGCCATTTAACACGTTTTTATGGATGATCTGGGCGAGGTTATGCGCGAAAAGTCATCTGCCTTTGCCAGCATCTCATGCCCGCCCAACAAACAGTATGTATATAGCGGAAAGCCACCTCCACAAGTTATGGAGGGAAGGCAGATCTACAAAGCAGACTATGGGCGTCAGCGCTCTGTTTACATCTTTTAGACAAAGGGACAAGTCGATGATAGTCTCTTTTTTTCGAGGAAGTGTCTACGCCACACACATCAAGCTATATAAATCAAAATACCGAATCATCATCTGCTGGTTTCAAATTGATCAAATTCGTGGTGCTTAATTCCGTCTGCATCGCCTCGCCTTAGAATCGAGACTCTCCCTTAAAGTTTCCAATACTTTCATAGCTCAACAATCCGCTTCTAGATCCTCTCAAACTTGGCCGGCCATGAAAGCAGTCATGGCCGTTGGATCACCCATTCCAGACCTACGATTATTCAAAAAACTTGAGTGCCCTCTAATGCCAATCAATGCCAACATTCGACCCGGGTTGTTAACCCTGAAGTGTAAAAGCCCTAACCTCATTTCCCTTGATTGCATTAGCATAGAACCCCTTATTTGCATCCCAGTCATAATATCGCATCTGGAAATCGAAGGTGCCCATAAACACGCAGCTGACGCCGCAGACGCCTTAGAAATCTTTGAATTTGACAGCTTGTGTAACCTAGAGTTATAAGCAGGGTAAGTGCCATCCAGGACCAAGATATCACGCTCCTCCTGCCATCGCTTATCCACGCTACGGCACTGCCAAGCGGGTTCCGTACACAAGTACATAAGCCTCGACACCTTGACCATTTTCGGTGGTGAATTAAATGCGAGGAGAAAAGCGTAAGACTAGATATCTTCCGAGAGAGGCCGGCAACCGTGTTTATATGTTCATGATCCATCTCCCAATTTCCTCGCCCCTGAATCTGAACATTTTCATAGCCACCGGGTGTAGAGCCACATCCAAGCAGTAAAAAGTGAGGGCCACCAGGACTCTACATATTTGGTAGTCTTGCCCAATGCAATCTACGCATGTCAGACCAGCCATAAACTAACACGAGAGCTGTTAAGATGATCTTTGGCCCTTTTAGAGTGACAGGATATGATAGGATGCTCTCCACCCGCTTGTCAATGTCGGATGGGGTGTCGATGAGACTAGAGGTCGTATACTTAGTTTTTGTTGATCAAAATGAAAGAGAAAATAGGAGCTGTAAATTCGAATTGATACGCATAATTATCATGCGCAGTACTCCAGCATTGCATTGGTGTTACTGGTCGCATGATGAATACTCTTGAGCCTCATCATGAACCACCTGAGATTAACGCCCGTTAGCTTCTCGAAAAAGGCTTTTCAACATATATAGTAAGAAAACTTAGCGTATATCTGTTCACCATTGCCTTACCTACATCTTCTACACATTGGCTAGAAGAATCATGACTATTGGAGTAGGAACGCTCAATAATACTCAGTTGTATTGGATATCATGGATAAGACGCGCTTACTGCCACTTCCGGGGAAAACCTAAAGATACACCAATGGGAATGCAGAATGTCGATATGCGAAAGGCCAAAAACCAATCATTCGACACTGGACCAAAAAGAAAGACATCAAGATCGTGATAATGCATAATTGTCGTGAATCATTCGAAAATGTTCAAGCCTTACACCTGGGCTCGAGAGCTCGAAGTAGCATCTTCGTTGGGCTCGTTTCCCTCCTGCTGCTCGTTTCTCTGGATATCTGGCCGAAAAGACCGACGCATTGGGGTATTTAGACTCCCTAGCGTCAGGCGTAGTCTGTTGTGTGCGTCCCCATCACCACGAGGGGCATGGTAAGTAGGTCCGTCACCACCAACATGTTGTCCCTTGATCTGGAGATCACCACTGTCTGGATAGTAACTGCTATGCTTGCCGTCCGCCATGTAGTACTCATTTCTGTGAGAGGCTCTGAAGAGAACTTCCTCATCGATGGGAGAATCGAGCGGTGACCATGGAGCAGATGAGACAGAGGTGGGCGAGGTGTAGTTTGCAGAATTGACAGCGCTGCTGTCCTGGGTGTAACTGGTGGAGAACTCCGAGTCTTCGCACTGAGAGTCGGCAGCCCCCCAAATGAATGGCGGCGAAATGGAGTGAGGATTATGGACAGGACGCTCTTGATCCTCGTAGGAACGTCGCAGGATCTCGTGATGGCTTGGTTGGTTGGTAGAGTGTCTCGAGGCAGGCTCCTAGCGCAGTTGTCAGGTAATGTTCAACATGTCCGAGTTCTTCACCTAGACTCACATTTCTCTCGGAAATATGAATACCAAAGGAGTGGCGACGCCGATCAGACTGTCTCTCGTGAGAGCGAGTGGTTTGAGTATCGTTTTGCCGAGTGTAGTCATCCATGGTGTGAGGCAAGCTGATAGAGTCTTGCACTGAATGGACCGCCACAACACGGGGACGGAGGCGGGAGGTGAAAGGGCTCAAGTTGTTCTCTTTTTTAAAATTGCTAAAAACGTTGACCAGTCCGCAAGCAATATGAGTATCGAGGCTCCAGGGTAGTTCTGTGGGATGGTATGGTTGGTTGTCTGAGTTGTGGCCTGGAGAGGTGGTCAAGGAAAGAGAAGGCAGGTGCGTAGTCTTCAAAGTACACTCACTCTCAGTTCCGGGGAATCCGGGGTAATTCACGGGGCTCGCTTTGGTCTCTCTCACCCACTGCTCCAGTAGTTCGTGGTACAATCCGGGGAAAGCAATCCTCACGTCGGCAGAGCACTTCCTGGACTCCGAGACAGGAGATACCCTGGCCTGAGATTCTAGTGAATCATCACCCAGCAGCAGTCTTTCTTGTGTGAGTTGAAATTCTGGCCTGATAATGATGGATTCTCGTCGACGGGGTGTCACTGAGCTTGCAATACTCGGAGTACTGTAATCTGGCAATTCCAACGACTCCTTAGAGTCCGTGTGCTTTTGCTCCATCCCCAAAGATAGATTATTTCGCGTTTCACTGAGGTATCTCAGCTCGTCTATCTTCTTGCATATACCCTCTCCATGATTCAAGTCAGCCTTCAAAGAGCGCTTCTCCTGCTCTGAAGTCTCGTTTTGTTCGTAACACAACAAATTTTTTCCACCTAAATCTTCATCGTATGAAGAGCTGCGAGACATCGAAGCTGCTGTGCACCGATCTTTCGAGGTGAAAGAGGGAGCCAAGCAATCAGCAAAATTCTGGTGTATATTTTCGACTGTCGAGGAATGTTGTTCTGTACACCTCTTCTCGGTTGGAAGATGAGACATCACGATGCCATACTGGTATGAATCGCATCCGAATGGCAGATCGGCAGGCGTACTCACAGTTTGTTCTAGCGCGGGTTGCAAATCATCGACAAGGTCACAGGAGCTCGTCGTAGGCTGTGGTGCAGACATGGTATTCTTCAGAGGATGGGACGAAGAAGCTTGCGCAATGATATCGCCATTGTCGTCATCCAGGGTTCGTGGTTGAGCTCGGCCATGTCGATAAATATCAGTACCAAAACTTGGATCCTCTTGGGTAGTGCTCGAGATGTTGGAGTACCCATAGGAGCGTCGTTCAACGTGGTCCTCCTTTGGGAGCGATTGGGCCGGGTTCTCAAGAGTATCACTGTGTTGTCGAGATGAACGATTGAATAGCCCTGCTCCTAGAGCTAACAGCCCAGACCGTGCCTTGCGTAAAGACCTTCTCGGGAAGCTTAGAGTCTCACGTGTCTGCAGCTGGGAGTCCAATGGAGAAAGTCGAGACTCGGAGCGAAGAAATAGCTCCATTGGGTAATTGGGATTTGTGTTTTGTCGTGGATCCCGCGGATTGAAAACCGACTGTGAAGAGGCACCCATATCCAGGAGTGAACTCGTCAGTTGCCTGACGCATGCAACATCTGTAGCGATGCCCGGACTGTAGCACCGAAAGAGGAAGGGGAGAAGACGATGGTACATTCTGGGCAGCTTGGAAGCTGCATCTAGTTATCTACCTCCCTGACTAAGCTAGCTAGCTGACTAAACGGGAGCTGCAATAGCATGCTGGGGACGAAAACAAGCTTGGGAATCAGTAAGCATAAAAGGGGGAAAAAAGGGGAGGGGGGGAAAAGCTCGGAAAGAAGGAAAGGGGAATGTTATTTAGCCGTCGTCCTCATTCGAATCCAAGCTATCCGAGTCCGAGCTGTTCTCCTCCAATTGGTCGGACTTCCTCTTTTTAGGGAGCTAATCGTCCTGGTCCTTTTACTCGAAAACCTGCTCGAAACGCCACTGTGCAAGTTCGCGGGCCTTGGGAGGCAGCGAGGGGATCATAGTGGCGAGCTGATTCCGTCTCTTAACTACAGAAGGCTAGAGCTTGTCATTCTCTGCTTCAGGAGCTTCAATCTCGTCGACGACGGCCTGTGCCAAGGCCAGCTAGGCTAAGTATTCCTGGTGGAGTTTAAGCGCGGGCTGTAGGTCGGCCAGCTACTTAGCAGTGTCTTCGATATTATCTGGTAGTTCGGCCACGACCTTATACTCGTCGACGTAGGCGGGGAGCGTGGCGTTGTCGGCCTTCATCTTCTGGTGGTGGGTAAGGTATTCGTCGGGTTTATCTTCGTTCGTTTTAGTATTCTGCGTGGCAGCTTGGCGGCGCTTCTCAGGAGTCTTCTCAGGAGTCTTCTTAGGAGTGTTATCTAGGGTGACCGGGACCTTAGCGCGCACTGTAGGGCTTATGTTAATCTAGTAAGGCTGTCCGATCAGGCTGGCATAGTCCAGACTGATATACATCTTATTACAGGCGCCGGCGAGGATAAGATCCGCCTTTAGGTCGGCCCCGCAGCGGGAATCCTAGCCGTCAATCATCTAGTATCGGACATCTTTTACCCTGTCGCCTTCGAATAGCAGCACGTTGTGGTTGTGTTGCTTACCGCCGACGTCAAGTAGTCGCCCTTATACCTCGACGGGCCCCACTGGCTTTAGCCGCTTCAGGAGCTTGGCGCCTTAATAGAAGGTGATCACCCAGAGCTTATACCAAGCTCGATCAGAACCTAGTTAGTTAAATGAATTTATTAGTCATGTACCAAGCTGAAAACTTCCTGTGTCATGGAGCGGGGAAGGCAGAGGCTTTCCTCCACGTCAAATTCGTGAAGGCTAGTTGGCATCGCTGTAGCTGGGTACCTAGGACCATAGGTAGCCTTATCCACTCATCTTGTGGAATGTTATAGCATAAGAAGGAAGAGGAGGAAGAAGATGGTCCATTCTAGGCAGCTTGGAAGCTGCATCTAACTAACTCACGCACCAAGTTTAGTCAGGAGGGTAGATAACTAGATGCAGCTTCCAAGCTGCCTAGAATGGATCATCTTCTTCCTCCTCTGCTTTCTTACGCTACACAGTCTTGCAAAATGGTTTCCGACCGATTAAAATCTCGGCCAATGTCAACGTGACCTTCCTTTAGCTTTCCTCCGTTCGCGAATTTTGCCCATAAGTCCTTTGAGTTCCGAGCTAAGCTGGGAGAGGTGCTCTCTAGTGTCTTCGCCGGCGAGTATAGGAAGACTCTCTCGTTCCCAACACAGATAGAATGTCGATGCAGTGGTATGCTCCCAGTGGGCTCTTTATTTATGCCCAGCTAATTGAATAACTTGTCGAAGTCCCACGGGCTTGAAGTACCTACTGATGAAAGCGTAAAGTAGCTCTGAGTAATGTGCCAGGTTCTAAGAGTCTCTATATAGGGTCCGATGAGGGGCAATCTAAATAATATATTTTCTCGAAGTAGGTTAGTTGCGAGTCAAGAGAATATCGAGTGAATAATGCTTAGAGTAGATAATTTATTCCGATGGCTTACCTTCCTCTTTTTCCTGGTCCACGGAATCGAAATGGAAGCGAGAAGGCGCTATTGCGACGCGTTATGTGCTCATGCAATATTTCAGTATCGGTCTTAGCTTTCTTTGACTTTATCTGAACAAGCAATGCAAGCCCGAGGCTTGTATGTAAAATGACTCCAATGCACCAAGTGGATGAACGGCTTGGGTATCGTAAAACGGTACGGTCGAAGGTTGAGAATCTTTGAAATGAGCAGCAAAGTCGAAGCACGGAGTTGTAAGACGATTAAACATTACGCGAGGTAGGCAACTGTAAAATATTCCGAAAATGGCAAGAACGCCGCTATTCTAAGACCCGCCTCTGATGTACAGAGAGCTGATTTCAAAAGTCTAACTTCATAGACCGGATAAACAGTCCAGCAACTTATGCTTTCACTATCTTGAATATTGAGTCATGTTCCAAAGTATAATCAATACACCTTTGTGGATAGCCTAAGTATGATCTCCTGGTCTACGTTCAAATCGTGACTGATAATATAATTCTGAAGTTCAACGAGGTTTCCAACTGGTGGAATATTAGGGCACTGCAAGTAGAAAATAGAATCCAGAGGTGTTGTTGATTAACAATAACTTCGATCAAACAACATGAATTTTCGCGAAGACTGTGGACTCATTCAAGTCTCCTCAAACCATACAGTTATAAAAACGCGGGTAGTTAACTGGCAGGTGCCGATCCCGGACCCACTTTGCCCGAGCTTCTTTTCTCCGTTCTCACCCTCCCTTGTCCGCCTCCAGTTATTCTTCCAGCCCCTACCCTTCCCACGCTGCTCTTTTAAGCCTGTCATATTTTCCTTTCTATCTCATAGATCCCTCTTGTTCTAAACCCTCTCATTTGCCCCATTCTTTCAGTATGGTGAAGAAGCAGCCGCCGCCGCAGACTGCGGTTTCTTTCGACGCGATCATTCAATCCGGTAATCACTACTTCTCTCCGACTGTCTGATCTATCAGCGATCTAACTCCCCCGCGCACAATTCAGATCGCCGAAAGAAGCAAAACGAACAGCTCGCAAGCCAGATCCTCGGCAAGAACAGAAATGAGAAGGGTCGCCGAGCAAGCGCGCCGGGGCCGGGCGTGGTCAGCAAGGTGCCAACCTCGAAGCCGGGGAGCTTGGCCAGTCGCATCGCGGTTCCAAAGGTAAGCCCAACCTCGTCTTGAGTACTATACCTTAGGCAATTCCTGACCTCTTGCCTTGTCCTGTAGCGATCCGCGTCGGTCTCTGGCAGACCCAACCAAATCAACAAGGTCACCAAGCCCACCAAAGCTAAACCTACCCCTGCCACGGCCCATTCCACGGGGAAATCCACGAAACCCACACATCAGCGTCGCCCCAATACCGATAAACTTCAGGCTGCTCTCAAGTCGGGCAATGGTCAAGCCACAGTTCGTCCAGCTCCCCCGGGCATGACCATCAAAGGTGCTTCCGGACCCTTCGTGGTAGTCGGAGACAACTTTGCCCCTGGAACCACTGCCGCCGATATCCAGTCTGCAATTGAGCCAATCTCCGGCCCAATGCTCTCCTGCATCGTCACCTCAAACCACCCGACTGTCACCGCAGAATTTACATTCTCAGAGAAGTGGTGTGCGGAGAACGCAGTCGCCAACTTCCATAACCAAAGGGTAAGCGCTCGGCACGTTTCAGCGATCTATGTATGCGCTCTGACACGAATCACAGGCCGACGGAAGACTTTTGTCCCTCAAACTACAGGCAGCTGGAACCCAAATACGCACTCCAAGCACTTCTTTCAACGATCTTCGAGAGCAGGCAGATCGCGAACGACGGAATCGACGCGCAGAACCGACCCTTCAAGATGGCCGCTACGGATTTGACGACACAGGTGGCGCTCTCGTCTCAGAGGCGGGACTGTACAGTGACGAGATGATGGTGGATGCTCCGCAGCAGAAGAGTCAAACCCGGCGCAGACAGCGACGCTGATCACTTGCTGGCGCGAGCAACCGACCAAGCGGTAAAGCTGAGCATGAGCCGTCTACGAGCGGAACCTCGGCGAATAGGGCCTTGGTGTACAATTCTTGTTTATTTTGCTATTCGGATGTATCCAATTCTCATGACATGTATGAATATCAAATAATCGATCAATTGATCGACACTCGCAGAAACCCAATGTTCTTCTTCACTAAAACTGGCTTGCTACTGATAAGGATAAGATCACGTGGAGCGGAGCTTCTGCGGAGATTGGCAGATTTAGAGACGGAGAACACGTTCCTGTAATACTTCCAGCTACAGACTATCCAAAGAGGAACTTTGAGCTTTGACGAGATTTGAGCGTTGAGCTTCTCAATCACCGAAATTATAGCGGTTTTTGAGCACAAGCCCTTCCAGTCATGAACGCTGCCGCGCAGCGCGCGGCGTCGCATGGCCTCCGGAGGTCTCGCGCCTCGATTTTCTCAACACACTCGCGCCGATGGAACTCTACATTCGCGGAGAGACAATGGTCTACACCCCTAGCGCGTACACTAGCCAGTGCGATGAAGGTATAACTACCTCCAAAAAGCCGATTCGAGTCCTCAACTAACAAACTTGGGTCATGCTAGGTCACCGGGCCCATTCCCATCGCCGCATTTATGCGCCAAGTGTTGACCTCGCCAGAGGGTGGCTATTATACCTCCCGTGAAGACGTTTTCGGAAAATACGGTGATTTTGTTACCTCGCCGGAGATTTCTCAGGTGTTTGGAGAGCTGATCGGCATCTGGGCCATTGCGGAATGGATGGCACAAGGGCGGAAGCGGAGTGGTGTTCAATTGATGGAGGTCGGACCGGGCAAGGGAACTCTCATGGACGATATGCTTCGGGTGAGTGGTTTTGTTCGATGCAAGGACATGAAACGGTGTCGACTAACGAGCTATGCTCCTCGGGCAGACGTTTCGGAACTTCAAGACCTTCACCTCGAGCATTGAGGCGATCTACCTCGTTGAGGCGAGTGGTACACTAAGAGAGGTGCAGAAGCGCCTTTTGTGTGGTGACGAATCTGTCATGGAAGAGATCGATATTGGGCACCGGAGCACTTGCAAATACTTTGATGTGCCAATTGTCTGGGTCGAGGATATTCGTCTACTGCCGCATGGTGAGTTGTGCGATATCATTGATAGGTTCACAGCCATCACTAACCTGTTTACAATCATTACAGAGGAGGGTAAAACTCCCTTCATCTTCGCACACGAATTCTTCGACGCACTCCCTATCCACGCCTTCGAGTCCGTCCCTCCAGCCCCCGAGAACGAAGTGCCCCAGGAAGTTCAAGAGATCATGACTCCGACGGGCCCTCAAAAACTCCTCAAGCCACTCAAAGTGGCAAACACTCCACAATGGCGCGAGCTCCTCGTCACATTGAACCCGAAGGCCGTCGAAGAGAACATCGAAGGCGAACCCGAGTTCCAATTGACCAAGGCCAAGGCCTCTACCCCTTCTTCCCTCGTCATCCCCGAGATCTCCGAGCGCTACCGCAAACTCAAGTCCCAACCTGGGTCTACCATTGAAGTCAGCCCCGAAAGCCGGATATACGCAGCTGACTTTGCACGCCGCATTGGCGGTGATTCTGCCTCTACGAAACCCACGAAGAAGAATTCTGATCTAGAGGAGCCCAAGAAAAGGACTCCTTCCGGTGCAGCCTTGATTATGGATTATGGTACTATGTCGACCATTCCCATCAACTCGCTACGCGGTATTCAACACCATAAGAAGGTCGCTCCGCTCTCGTCTCCAGGTCAGGTCGATGTCAGCGCAGACGTTGATTTCACTGCCTTAGCTGAGGCTGCCATTGAGGGAAGTGACGGTGTCGAGGTGCATGGACCCGTTGAGCAAGGTGATTTCCTCCAGGCACTGGGCATCGAGGAACGCATGCGCCAGTTGCTGAAGGGTGTTGGAGATGAAGAGCGCAAGAAGACGTTGGAGACTGGGTGGAAACGCCTGGTTGAGAAGTCGGGCGGATCCATGGGACAGATCTATAAGGTTATGACGATCATTCCGGAGAATGGCGGACGGAGAAGACCTGTTGGGTTTGGCGGTGGTGTTCAGATGTAAGTGTAGCGGTCATGCAGAACTACGTGGTTCATCGCTAGTGTGCTATCACTTGTATATTATGAAAGCAAAATCTCATCATATCACTGGCATTCTCGGTCATTACAATCCTTAGTCTACACGGCATTGATTCCCTCCCTTGTAGTCTATTGGTTTTCTCGGGTGATTGTTGTAGCGGTGGGACTAGTTAACATGCCATCAACGATTCAAGCACAGAAAGCTGGTTCATGGGGATGTTAAAATCTGACATGAATGAATAGATTACCGGAACATACTCTTATAGGCTCACCTTGTCGGAGCAAAGGAATTCTGGCCTCCACAAGCATGGCAAAGGTCTTGACAGAGATCTATATGGGAGTATCCTCGGGCGTGGGCGCAAAAACAGAGACTGCAGACTGCATCTTCAGGGACAGCTCTGAGGGCTCATTGGGTAGATCCAGAAGAACTCCATAAGCGAATGCTGAAACTCGCATTGCTTGACGAGAGTCCGGAAATCAAGAATCAATAATTATAAGACTACAGAAGGATTGTTTTTGGGGTATACAATACAATGATCCAATTATGTTCCCGCAATCGGTCTCGGCAAGACAATCTGGTGATCTAGTTGCCTGCAAGGCGAATTCTATGCATTCTGAGAAAGAGATAGCAGGAACTATTCTACAACCCCAAAACGAAGAGATGATACCGGTTGTTGGTACATCATGAATCAAGTATAAAATATATGCCGACGCAGAATAGCAAAGACTGCTCATCCGTTCTAAAGCCCAAAGCCGAGTCGCTTTTCTTCAGCGTGGACTATTGCAGGTCTAGCAGAGCGATAGCAATCAATTTTATCAAGTTGAAATATTATTCTTCTCTTCTGGTGCAGGAGTCGGAAAGATGGAGAAGAATGTAACAGGCATTTCAAGGTCAAAGTCCATATTCATTCAATGTCATATCTATATGGTATCTGTCAAGTCCATTCATATCTCATAAACGATGCAAGCATGCATAGCCAGGCAACTCTCTGCCCCGCTTTCATCAACATTCAATCATATCAATGATCCAAAGATCAATAATCGCGCCAAATATCCGCAACATAGGCCTCAGTCAACCGCTCATCATTGCCGTATTTCTCCTGCCACTGCACGAAACCGCCCTCCAAAACATATACTTCTTGCTTCTTGCTCTCTTCCTCGCCGAGAGTACGCTCTCGCTCGCGAGCGTAACGCAGAGCCGCGGATGGACCCCGCTGCTGGCTGAGGGCGCAGTGGAAGACAACCTTCTCCACGTCCTTGAGGGTGCGGAGAAGCTCTGGCAAGCGAACGTCTAGGTTGGGGGTGGGGACCCAAGTTGAAGACTTGATGTGCCCGCCGATGTGGTCTGTTTACGCGTGTGAGTCGGGTTTCTGATGTAATATTGTCCATTTTGGGGCATACCTGAGTCCCGGACGTCGATAATGGCTAGCTTGTTGGACGGAGCGCCGGAGAGAAGGATCTCGGATAGAGCGTCGCGGCTCATGCGCGGTAGGCTTGCAATGGAGATAGACGACATTTTCGTAGATCTCGCAACTGATCACTCTGAATTATTGGAAATCCCAGCAGCTAATCAAAGGGAAAAAGCGACGTTGCAGAGTCCCCACGGTATCAACCTTGAGAGCTGCGTATGTGCACGTGATCTATAATTTCTCCCGATTTTCCAGCGTCTCGCCGCTCCGCTCTCTTGCACTTCCACGCCAAACACAATCCCCCTCACATTTCCAAGCCAAAAGTCCGTACTGTCCTATCAATTGACCTACTCGGGTTAATCTGACTGCTCAGACTACGCAATGGACGCCCGCATCTTGGCCCGCGGCCTCCGCGCCAGGCCAACACCATGGCTCCTCAGCTCGCGCCAGCAGCAGTCCATCATCCTCAACACACTCCGCTACAACTCCACGACCAGCTCGTCACAAACTCCTCCTCCTCCTACCGAGTCCTCCTCAGAACAACCCACACAAACAACACCAGCCGTCTCCGAGGGCCTGACTACCCCGAAACCCACCAAGACCGCCGCCTCAGACTTCGACGAAATCCTCAACAAGCTCGACCTCGGCAACCGCAGCACCCTCAACTCCAAGGGTGAACCGCGCCGCGTCTTCTCCGATGCCGTCGCCCGCTCCGTCGGCGGCGTAGGCTCGCAGACCTTCAAAGACCGAGCCGCTCAGCAGCTTGCCTCGCGCAAGTTGGAGCTCAAATTGGGGCCGACGCTGGGTCGTCAGGTCCACGTTGAGCCGGAGCGGGGTGTGGATTTGCCGGCTGCTATCCGTCAGTTGGAGATTACTTGCAGTACGAATAAGATTAAGGCGAATGCGCATGAGCAGAAGTACCACAAGCGGAAGGGTGCGGTGCGGAAGGAGTTGCGTCGGACGAGGTGGAGGAAGCTTTTCCGGTTCTCGTTCCAGGAGACTGTGAAGAAGATTCAGCGGATGCAAGCTCAGGGTTGGTAATTGCATTTGTCATGGGCATTGGGTTGGTAGATTGAGGGCAGGGCGATTACTTGGTTTGTATATATACCGAGACTGGATGCGCTCTAATCTTTGGAGCCTTTGTTTTTCTTTTTTCTACATGTATCACTACCTACGGAAATTTTTCTCGTCTTGTTTTGTCTGCATTAAGTATGGAATGCATTGGATCATATTTTGACTTGGCAGGGGCCTTCATAGACACACTACACTATACACGAGATCCATTCTATACAAATGTACAACAAGACTGGTCAACCAGTCTATCCTGATATGTTCGCCCATCAATCCCTCTTGCCTGTGGCAAAGCCTCCAAATCCCGTACCTCCACCACCCCCGGTACTCACGCCATTGGCAGTAGCAGCAGAGTAGCCTCCATACCCATTGATACGTCCACCATTACCAAACGTCACACTGGTTCCCTTTCCCTTCACAGGTGGAGCTCCCAGAATCCCATCTCCACGCCAGCCCGAACGGCCACGCAGCCGGTCCCCATTGCGCTCCCAGTACAGCGCAATCAAAGCACCAACCGAAGCAGCCAAGAAGAACAAAAATAGCCTCGAGAAGAGCGAGCCAGCCCCAGAACTCTGCACCGTCCCGGCGCCGCCCATCTCCAAGAATGACTCCGAAGCAGGACGCTCCGGCCACCCGATGCCAGCACCGCCCTCGATCCAGGCAACATGGAACGAGAACGTCAGCGGCTCGCCGCGCACAACCTTGGTCCCATGTCCCGCCGTCCAAGGTTCCCGCGCAGCCTGGGCAACGGTCACAGCTTCCTCGTCCTCGTCAAGCGAGACCTTTTTCGCTGCAGCCTCAAACTCTGGCGTCGAGTACGCCGTCCCGGCTACCGCGTACCCAGGCTGACCGGACTGAGCGTGTTTCCTGGCCTTGGGCGGTTGCGCCGCTGCGTCCGAGGCAATGTTATGCATAAGCATGTTCATATCCGTCCAGATATGTAGGTGGCTGAGCTGCAGGGTACCCTGCAGCGCAATTGTGATTGGGGTAAAGGGCGGGCCGTTCTCGTTCAGCGCCGCGAGCGAGTCGACCTCACCGGATGCGCTATCGGTGTCGGTGCGGTCCTTAGGCGTGGCGTTACTGGACGTTAGGGGTGCTGTTGGTACGCGGCAGGTCATGGGGACGTCGGAGTGGACGTAGAACTCGAGGAGGTGGTAGAGCGCGTCGGAGAGCGAGGGGATTGTGCATGTTATCGTTTCGGAAGTTCCGTAGTGTAGGGATAGAGGGCGCGAGGTCTCGTTGCAGGTTACGAAGGGAATCCATTGGAGTTTGCCTAGGTCATCTGTGATCTGTTGTTGTTGTTAGCTGTGTTGGTCCCTGGGGGTTTGGCTTCAGGAGTTGTTTGGCGCATACATGTTCTCCTTCCCTGTACACGAGTATGGTTTTTTAGTATTAAGTCTTCGTAAATCATACGAAGTTCCAGAGAAATCTTACATCGTCCGATTGAGACAAGACACTGGAATCTCCTCGCCCAGTCTGTATCCATCCCCGCTGGTGGCGCTGGTTCTCCCCGCTGTTGACCCCGTCGGCAACAGCGCGCCTGCAAGAAATAGCAGGGCCATTCGGGAGGGAATAGGACTCGATTGGCGCGGAGCAGGCATGCTGGCAAGCGTTTGGCTCTTGCAATGCGAATTAGCTGCCCGCGGTGGCGAGTTTATGAAGTGAAGGAGACGAGAAGACACGGGTGCTTTCTGCCCGCGGCCTGCGGAGGGCGGGTGGCTTGGCTTGATCAACATCCCTTAGCTAGCTACTGAGCGATTATACATTCCGACGTCTTACAGTGTAAAGAAATCAACCGACAAATTGATAACAATTCTCAGATCTTATTTGCTGAAAATGATCACGAATACTTGAAAATCAATTGAATTTTGTATTGAAAAGAGGATAATTGGATAAAAGGGATCAAAGAAATCGTTCGTTGCTTCATCATAGCCGCCTCCATCGTCCACAAAGGCTCGATGCAAGCCTATTTATAAGACATAAAAACTCTAGGCCAGATTAGCCTTGGCCTTGAAGGCCAACAGCAGACCGCTGGTAGAGGCGTCGTGGTCACCACCTGCGCCGGCGGTCTCCAGCTCCTTCTGGATCTTCTTGGCGAGGACCTTGCCCAGCTCAACACCCCACTGGTCGAACGAGTTGATGTTCCAGATAGCACCCTCGGTGAAGGTGACGTGCTCATAGTAGGTGATCAGAGCACCCAGGGTAGCGGGAGTAATCTTCTGGGCCAGGATGGAGGTGGTGGGACGGTTACCCAGGAAGGTCTTGTGGGAGACGAGGTTGTCGGGAGCACCCTCGGCCTTGACCTCCTCGGGAGTCTTACCGACCATCAGGGCCTCAGACTGAGCAAGGAAGTTGGAGGCCAGCATGCGCTGGTGCTTGCCACCCTCAACGGGGTTGTGGGACTCGGCGGCCATCAGGAAATCGGCGGGGATGAGCTTGGTGCCCTGGTGCAGCAGCTGGAAGAAGCTGTGCTGGGCGTTGGTGGCGGGCTCACCGAACAGGATGGGGCCGGTGGTGTACTTGACATACTCGCCGGAGCGGGTAATGGCCTTGCCGTTGCTCTCCATGGAGAGCTGCTGCAGGTAGGCAGGGAAGCGGTGCAGATACTGGTCGAAAGGAGCAACCAAGTGGGTTTGGGCACCGAAGAAGTCGCTGTACCAGACGCTCAGCAGACCGCCAATGGCGGGGATGTTCTGCTCCAGAGGGGTCTCACGGAAGTGCTTGTCCATGGCGTGGGCACCGGCGAGGAACTGGTGGAAGTTGTCGTAGCCAATGTACAAAGCCACGGACAGACCGATGGCACTCCACACGGAGTAGCGGCCACCAACCCAGGACTCAAACCCGAACATGTTCTTGCTGTCAATGCCGAACTTGGTCACCTCGGCCTCGTTGGTCGAGAGGGCGACGAAGTGCTTCGCAATGTGCGACTCATCCTTGGCCGTCTGCAGGAACCAGCTCTTAGCAGTGTTGGCGTTGGTGGTGGTCTCAGCAGTGGTGAAGGTCTTGGAGGCAATGAGGAACAGGGTGGTCTCGGGGTCGGACTCCTTGAGGGCCTCAGCGACGTGAGTACCGTCAATGTTGGAAACGAAGTGAAGCTTCAGGTCCGGGTGACCGTAGGGCTTGAGGGCCTCGGTGACCATGACGGGGCCGCTAGAAGGAATCGTGTTAGCTACGTCATTTGGAGACGAAAAACAAGAAGAAATACTTACAGATCGGAACCACCGATACCAATGTTGATAATGGTGTTGATCTTCTTGCCGGTGTAACCCTTCCACTCACCGCTGCGGACCTGCTCGGAGAACTCCTTCATGTGCTCCAGAACGGCGTTAACATCCTCGACGACGCTCTTGCCATCCACTTGCATGGGCTCGTTGGAAGTGTTGCGGAGAGCAGCGTGGTAGACAGCACGGTCCTCGGTGAAGTTGATGTGGTCACCACGGAACATGGCATCGCGGAGCTCCTCAACGCCGGCCTCCTTGGCCAGCTTCACCAGCAGAGACAGGGTCTCCTCGGTGAGGAAGTTCTTGGAGAAATCAAAGAGAATGTCGGCATTGTCGACGGGGTTGGCAAAGGTGCGGCTGAACTTCTCGAAGCGCTTAGGGTCCTTTTGGAAGTACTCCTTCAGGACAATGTTGCGGCCCAGAGTGGTGTGGTGCTCCTGGAGCTCCTTCCAGGCATTGAGATCGGAGGCCTGCGCGAAAGCAGGCATGATGACAGCGATAAACCTGTAAGTTGCTTGGCGCGATGGGTTAGCGCGGGGCAGCAAGAGGAGGAGGAAAGCAGGCTCGTTTTTAGGATGCGAGGAACGAGACGTACGTAGCACAAACGGGGGTATCACGGGGATCAAGGGGGTTTATTTGGCTGAAGGTCTGAGGAAGAAGAAGAAAAGAAAAGATGGCGTCAATGTGTCCGGCGTGTTGGGGTCCGGTGGAGGGACGTGGGGCAGCAGCATCATCATTGCCGCATTCGGGCGAAGGTCTGGAGCGGGTTTGTTTTCTAAGCATCTGACCGTGCTGAGTCTTGAATTCCTAAGGTCTTATTCAATTGCCGACTCCGATTATGTCTATCGTCATTTAGCCGTACATATTCCATTTCTTAACCGAGATCATCCACACTTTGGTTTGGAAGCGGGATTGGAATTAATCAGATCGGACCTACGGTACGGAGTACTTTGTATGAGGGGCAGAGCTTGCCTGCTCCTTTACCCCCTCTCTCGATCTGAATACCTGATGCCAACGCCGTCTCTGGGCAAATCATAGCATTTAGCCTATGATTATACATTAGCATGTACTCCGTCCTCATTCTCCATTCCATTGACCGGGGCCCAAATAAGAACGACAAATGAAACAATCTCCGACTATCCGAAAATAGGCTACCGACCAGTCCGCGGGCCAGGAACCCCCCACTACACCGGACGGTGCTACTCCGAGAAGATGTCGGATGACCTGCAAAAAAGCCCGGGGCTATTTTTCCAGTGCACTGTATATTTTTCCAGAGGCATTCCAGGTGACATGGCCCAGCCGACGATGTGGAAGTCTGTATAGCTTAGAGTCATAAATGGTCATGAATGGTCTCGTCCACCCGATACTAACCGACGCTGATTGTGCCGAATGGCGAACATGACCATTACGAAGGTTTCATTTTGTAAACTCCGTGTCGAGGAGATCGTATTCGATCACAAAGGGAGTCTGTGGGAATTTTTAGATATTATTACTGAAATTTCCATTCTGAAGTTCCGGAGTACAATCGACGCATTTAAATCTCAAGTATATATTGTCAGCATCAACTTGACGGATTGATTATCTAAGATTATCGTCTAACCTTGTCCTCGTTGCAATTTTCATCAGCATCTAAACTCCTTTAGTATGGAGGATACTATATTTGAATGAACTCTATTAGCTCGAATGACTGATACACCTTGAAATTCAATAGACCGATAGCTAATTGAGTACTGTACTCCGTCCTGAACACTAAGTACAGTAGAAAGTCTATACCGCCTACCAACTGCCAATCGCCAAAATTGACGCACGGACCCCAGCATCAAATCCGCGACTGCCATCTTTCTTCTCTCCGCACGCGCGCATCTGGACCAGCTCGAGCATCTCATCCCGGAATCGTTCCAATTTCGACGGGTACCTCGATACGGTTTCTGCGGACCATTAATCTTCACCACAGAACAATTCCCGCACTGCGCGGCCCAGAGCGCCAGCATCATGTACAATCCTTACCAACGTGAGCTTCCACCTCCAGACATTACTTGCCACTCTGTATGATCAGCGTCGCGATGCGAATACAATGCTAACTCCAATGTCTAGCTCCGGGCATGTATGGCAGAGCTCCCGACTATGGGGCTTACCCAGGTGCTCCCCCGGGCATGGGTAAGTCAAAGGCGAAAGTACCCTACATACTGAACATCAAAACTGACCAGCTTCAGCACCTCCTCCAGGAATGGCCGCGCCCGGAACTGCCGCTCCGCCGGGCATGCAACAGAACAATAACCAGCAGTCTGGGCGCCCCGGCGGCTTCCCGGCCAATTTCCAACCGCCCCCGAACATGCCCAACATCAACTTCTCCGCGCCCGTCATTCGCTTGGGTACCTCCGGCCCTGCGAAGCCCGCTACCCCCGATATGGGTCGTGAGCGAGGACCAGATGGACCGGGACGTCGTCCGGGTCTCGGGTCATCTGGTATGGACGATCGACGCCACCATGGTCGCGATGCGATGATGCAGCTTCAGCCGCCTACCCGGGATGAAATTGTGCGTACACTGTTTGTTGGAGGTATTACCGAGGGCGTGGGTGGCGATGATGGCATCGAGCGGATTCTGCGGTCTGCGGGCAATCTACGACGGTGGATTCGGGCTACGGATGCCGACGAGAAGCCCTGTAGATTCGGATTTGCTGAGTTTGAGGATCCAGAGAGTCTCGAAGTGGCCGTGGAAGTGTTGAAGGATGTTGAAGTGCCCGTGAACCGCCAGACACCCCGTGCAGAGGGCGAGGAAGAGCAGGAAGTGGAGAAGAGTACACTTCTGGTAAGTTTAAAATTTTCCGTTGTCTAGCCCATGGGTTGCCACTCGCTAACTCCGCTACCAGGTCGTTGTGGACGAAAGCACTATGACCTATTTGGAACAATTCGAAGCCACTCGCGGCGAGAGAGATCCCAAAGAGCTCCAAGCGCGCTTCGACGGCGCTCGCGACAGTCTGAAGAATGTTTTGTCTGAGCTCTTCCACCCTGCCACCCCCGTTCAAAGGGAAGAAATCTCCGGTGTTGACCGGGAAGGCGATACCGAGATGAAGGATGGAGAGGCCCCCAAGGACGGAGAGGTGGTTACGATTCCCATCACTATTGAAGACGAACTGGCCGATATCCCTCCCGAGATGCGCGAGAATGTTGCGAAGGAGATCGCGGCGTTCCGTGATCGTAGTAACCGTCGTGACATCGAGCGGTTGAGACGTGAGGAGGAGATCGAGTCTATGGAGCGTGCTCGGAACTCTGGCTCGCGTATCAGCCGTCTTGGCTCGCCTCCAGCCTCAGCTCCTAGTGGACCAGCCGGTGGTGCGAACGGCATTCCCTTAGGTCCCCGTGGTGACCGTAACATGCCCAATGCCCCGTCGGGACCCAAAGGATTCGGTGTGCAGATTCCCAAGGACTATCAAAAGGGTGTGTCATTTGTAAATGGTGGAGCGATCAACGGATCTCAGGTCTACATTGATCGCGAGGATGAGGACACCGACGCAAGCGACGAGGAGCTCGAGCGCCGCCGCCAGGCCAAGCGTGATGCCGAGCAGGAAAAGCAATTCCTTGACCAGGAGCGCCGCTGGCTCAATCGCGAGCGCAGCAGAACGGCTGCCTTGGAACGTGAAAAGAAGCGAGACAAGGAAGAGCATGGGAAGTTACAGGCCGCTCATGACGAAATGGAGAAGCGCCTTAGGGATTGGGATGATAATGTGGAGGCTAGCCGGAAGGCAAGCGAGTACTATGCTGATCGTGGCGCTTGGCTTCGGAGCCGCGCCGTGTTCCGAGCTCGTGAGATCAGCATGGACGAGGCTGACCGTGCTGCCGAGGAGCGCGAGCTTGCTCAGACCGCCAAGCAACAGGAGCAGGCACGAGGTATGGCTGACGATTTCCTGGCCCGTCAAGCTCAGGAACTGGAGGCTCGTACCCAGGCGCCGGCCCCTCTCGAGGAAGAGCCGCAGCGATTCAAGCTATCCCTTGGCGCTGCAGCTCAAAAAGCCCAGGCCGCCACCGGCCGCCGCACCGTTGCCGAAGTTGAAGGTCTACTGGAGGACGAGGAGGAGCCAGCCGCAACGACCCGCCGCCAGCTTATCCCGATCAAGTTCGACTCTGCCGCCGAAGCTGCGGGACTCTCGGACGAGGAGCGTGCCCAGGCCGCGCGCCAATTGGCGGCCGAGATCCCGACCGAGAAGGATGGATTGTGGAAGTGGGAGATCAAATGGGAGTTTGTGGACGAGGCCGTTATCAGCGACCAGATCAAACCTTTCGTAGAGAAGAAGATCGTCGAGTATCTTGGCGTGCAGGAGCAGATGCTGGTGGACGTTGTGGAGGAGCATGTGCGCAAGCATGGCTCTCCTCAAGAGCTGGTGGAGCAATTGGAGATGGTAAGTTATATCATCTTTGGTCTATCGTTGCTTGCGTGATGCTAACGTGTATTTCTATAGGCACTGGACGAGGAAGCCGAAGTGCTGGTTCGCAAGCTCTGGCGCATGCTCATCTTCTTCTCGGAGAGCGAGAAGCGTGGATTATCGGGATAAAAGCAGGCTGCAGTAGAATGCCGATCAGGAACCCGGGGGATCTACTTTTTACTTTGATCCGGATAAAGAGCCGCACCGGAAAATATTCCAAGGCGCATATCGCATACATGTCACTTTACAGTGAAGAGACTCATTTCACCCTCCAATATCTCTATGAAGCAAGTAGATGCTAAATGGAACATTTTCGAAAGGCAATATTCATCTCATCAATTTGTACTCGTTGATTATCTGAGTTGACTATCTTATCAGTCACGAGTTCTCATCCCCAGGAACTCGGAGCTACGCCGACTTCTGCGATGGGCCTCTGATTGGTGGAGAAACCCATTTCCCCGTTTCCGGTAAAAGGCCACCAATCAGAGCTTGCAAAGCCTCGAGTGGGGGAGGGGCGAGGGGAAAACCGCGGGCGGCGCGGGGGTCTCAGGCGTTCAATGGGTGTCTATATACGGGCCCTGCGTCGCAATTTTTCCTGTTCTTCCGTTACAATTCTCTTATTGCATTTTTTTTCTTCTTTCCTGCTCTTATATACCCTGCGATCCTGCAATTAATGCAAGTGCAAGACCCTTTCGCGCATAGATTCTGCTCGGAAGTACACTCCGCAATATTTCACTCTGAACACTGTTTTTCCTGCCATTGAGTGTGCAAGAACCTGGTAAACAGTCTCCAATTGATCCAACAAACCTCTGAATTTGTCGACGTTGAAAACTTTCACAATGGTCAAGATTACTGGCTTCACCACACGGGATGTGCGGTTTCCCGTAAGTCCTTCCTACCCCAAACTTTCGCTCTGCGTTGTTGCCAATGAGCCAATGCTAACCCCCTTATCAGACCTCCCTCGACAAGACTGGCTCTGATGCCATGAACGCGGCTGGTGATTATTCTTCCGCCTACTGCATCATCTACACAGACTCTGACTATAAGGGCCATGGCATGGTACGTCGCGATTGCGTCCTTCTCCCGCCTAATAATACATTCGCAAAAACACGCCCTAACACGAATTGACATGATAGACCTTCACTATCGGTCGTGGCAATGAAATCGTCTGCGCTGCCATTTCCCTCCTGGCCCCGCTCATCGTTGGCAAGGACCTCGACGAGCTCACCGCTGACTGGGGCAAGACCTGGCGCTACCTGGTCTCCGACAGCCAGCTGCGCTGGATCGGCCCCGAGAAGGGTGTCATCCACTTGGCTCTGGGAGCTGTTGTCAACGCTCTCTGGGACCTGTGGGCCAAGACTTTGGGTAAGCCTGTCTGGCGCATCGTCGCGGACATGACCCCCGAGGAGTTTGTCCGCTGCATTGACTTCCGCTACATCACCGATGCTATTACCCCGGAGGAGGCACTGTCCATGCTCAAGGAGATTGAGGCTGGTAAGCAGGATCGTATCAAGGAGGCCGAGGCTAGCCAGGCTGTGCCTGCGTATACCACCAGTGCTGGCTGGTTGGGCTACAGTGAGGAGAAGCTGAAGAAGCTCCTCGATGAGAGTGTTGCGCAGGGATATAAGCACTTCAAGTTGAAGGTTGGTGCAAGCCTTGAGGATGATAAGAGGCGTCTGAAGATTGCCCGTGAGGCTATTGGTTATGATAAGGGCAACATCTTGATGGTGGATGCCAACCAGGTACGCATCAACTCTCCTCGGGTATATGGAAAATATCAAAGCTAACCTACCTCTCTCTCACAAGGTCTGGTCTGTCCCAGAGGCCATCACCTGGATGCAAGAACTCGCCGAGTTCAAGCCCTGGTTCATCGAAGAGCCCACCTCCCCTGATGATATCCTCGGCCACGCCGCCATTCGCAAGGCCCTCGCCAACACACCCCACGGCACCGTCGGCGTTGCCACCGGCGAGATGTGCCAAAACCGCGTTATCTTCAAGCAACTTCTGCAGGCCGGTGCCTTGACCGTCCTCCAGCCCGACGCCTGCCGTGTTGGCGGTGTCAACGAAGTCCTCGCCATTCTCCTCCTGGCTCGCAAGTTCAACGTCCCCATTGTCCCCCACTCCGGCGGTGTCGGTCTCCCCGAGTACACGCAGCACCTCAGCACGATCGATTACGTCGTTGTCTCGGGTAAGAAGAGTGTGTTGGAGTATGTGGATCACTTGCACGAGCACTTCGTGCACCCGTCCAGCGTTAAGGATGGTTACTATGTTACCCCTATGGAGCCGGGTTATAGCGTGGAGATGAAGGCTGAGAGTATGGATGAGTTCTCGTTCCCTGGTGAAGAGGGTAAGAGTTGGTGGCGCTCGGAGGAGGCCAAGGTTATCTTGGAGGGTCCCCGTATCGTTTAGAGAAGAGGGGTAAGCATTATGTCTTTACGCGTATTCATGTCCATAGCTTTTTATAAAATTTGATTTCTTTAACATTCAACAACTCACCATCACCTGGAACTTAAGAGTGTTCGGTCATACAGTTGTTCTCAGCCAATCATCTGCCGAATCCTCGCCCAAGGATCGGCAATTGGTCAGGGCACGTGAGCATACTCCGCTCCATTGCTATCAGCCTTATCGACTCTGCGATAACTTCACGAAGCTTAGATCATCTTCGACCGCAACCACACGATGAATCCCCAGTGCCTACGAGCTCTGCCAAGAGTGCCCCCCAGCGTATCCGCTGCGTTGCACCATCCACCCCGCCCCGAGCTCACTCGACTCTACGCCACACAGACCGGTCCACGGCCAAAGCGGAGAAACATCACAGTCCTCTCAGACGATGGGCGATACGAGTGGGGTGAACTAAGTGGGCGGGAGAAAGTTTCGCGGGCGACACAGCAATCATTCAACTTCGTGGTTGTCTTGGCCGGCGCTGCCCTCACGGTATGAGCTATGTCCTTGCCCTGTCCCAGCCAAGTGCGAGGGAGCTAAGCAAGGGCCTGGAGAAATTTTAAGCAAGCGCTAACTTGTTGCGGGTTCTATAGGGCGGTGTTTTCTATCTTCTCTACACAGACGTTATTTCGCCGAATAGCCGGACGTGGCAGTACGAGAAAGCCGTTGAGCGTGTCAAGGAAGATCCGCGGTGCATAAAGCTTCTGGGTGATAGGAGGGAGATCAGGGCGTTTGGAGAGACCACGAATAGTCGTTGGGCGCGGAATCGGCCTATCGCGTGAGTAGATCTACGCTTTGTGCAGATGGATCTAAAAGTCGAGAGCATTGAAGACTAACGTGAGCAGATCCACTATTGAGAAAGACCGACTAGGTCGTGAGCACCTTCGGATGAATTTCCACGTATGCCATCCGAATCTATAACACGATTATATCAAGTTTCTGAACTAACTTCTTGTCCAGGTCGAGGGTCCACTCAACTCCGGCGTCGTATTCGTGCACATGATCAAGCCCTTGGATAAGAACGAGTGGGAGTATCAGCTCCTTGCTTTGGATGTGAAGGGTCATTCCCGAATCATCCTGGAGAAGGCTACTGAGAAACCTAGTGTCGCCAGCTCATTGAAGCTCTTCGGCATTCAGTGGCGCTAAATTGCGTCCTAATAGGCTCCTTCAATCTTTTCTCAACATTCTATTCGCATCTGGCCTACTTGCAGTGCCTGAAGAGGCGCTTCAAAAGTTCGACTCGTTGTTGAGTCAGCTCCTGGGGACACGTCTTGAGGAGAATTATTGTTGAATTCCTCTATGGCTCGATTCATCTTTATTCGGCTCGCGCACATCTTTTGTACTTTTAGGGCAGGCCGTTAGCCACCCATTCATAAGCTTTAACATATTCGATGTATTATACATTCCGCTACGATTGGCCCGAAGTCGTTGTAAAATTGTGGCGCAATCAAACAAATACCCATTCATCTTTCCCTATATTGTAAGGTACCATTGCGTGCAGCTAAACTTCAAACGTGCAAACCCTAATGCAAGCGACTTTGTCCCTTGCTCCTCTCGGTTATGACTTGCCCTTAATTAAGCCGAAATCTTTTAAATTTTCGGACCGACTTTGCATAGAGGAACGATAGACATGAGAGACTTCCACTTTTTTGAGAGCCTCGACACGGAGATTTATGGCGAGGAAAAGCTTTCAGAGCTGACTTATGTGATTGAACCTGCTCCAGCTGAAGCCATTGGGGTACGCATACTCAGTTATTCCGACTTACTGGTCAGCCCAGAAAACCTAAAAGAGCCGCCCGACCACTTGGTAAAAAGTACTGCGCACAAAAGCCAATGGTAAATTGCGCATTGAGATCAGGCGGATAGGAATTACTTGATCTGCGCTCAGACTCTGGAAATCGATCTTCCCCGCGATTCTATTTTTTCCACTTCAGATTCGTGCCCAATCGTGTGTTCTATCATACGCGAAGCTTCCCTACTTATGAGCAGCTACACTTTTCTACTTATATTGAGTCGGCGAACGGGCTAGATTCCGTTGGACAGGCTGGACAAACAGTACCGTCTTTTCCCACCTCCCTTGAGCATACAGCCATGGCGCCAAATGACACAAATTCTATTGCAAATGCAATCATGAAAAGCGACATACCTGTACCATGGTGTGAGGAATTTGAAAGCATGATTAATGGCAAGAAGTTCGTACATTCAACATCATCCGGCTGCCGCATAAGGCAAGCCTTTTATTTTTGAGACCTAGATGTGCTGACACTGATCCCTCAATTCTGACTCCAGCTTCGCGACGCTAAATTCAGAGATGCTCATGGAATACAAGCTATCGACTCTTCAAAAACTGAACGAGTTCAACGATACATCTATACCGGAGAACAGCACACTTGCTTCATTGAAAAATAGGCGCATGGCAGTAGCGAAGCGAATGCTCGGCCGAATGGGCAAGAATGCGAGTATCGAGCAGTCATTTTTTGTGACCTGGGGATGCAATACATTCATCGGTGACGATGTCTATATCAACCGCGAGTGAGTCTATCCCTCGTACCCATCATCTATATATACCACACCTACTAACGAACCGGCTTTCTCATAGGTAAGTATAGCCCAATGATTTTTTGCCAGCTCGTATCCTAATTGGACACAACCAAACTCCCCAGCGTGTCAATATATGACAACTCTCTCGTCGAAATAGGCGATCGGGTTTTGATTGGACCAGGCGTTTGCATCTGCACGGGCACACATGCAATCGATGCCAAGTCTCGACGGGAGAACCAGGGTACATCGTTCGCGCATCCAATTATAATTGAGTCGGATTGTTGGATAGGCGCCAGAGCTACGATTCTACCTGGTGTGCGCATTGGACGAGGAACTACAGTTGCTGCTGGGACTGTGGTAACGAAGGATATTGAGTCCGGGTGTTTGGCGGGAGGAGTGCCTGCTAAAGTTATTCGCAAACTTGAATAAGTAGCCCAGACATTAGAAGTTGGTAAAATCGCATTAATTCTACACACATACGAGAAAGACCGTCACGATGTCACCCTGGGTCATATGAAAACCAACGTAGGCCAAAAAGACCACTATAAAGTCCGCCGACCCTTAATGGGGCATGATCACATGACGTGGGATGGGTCACTCACTGCCTTTCACTGCTGATCGACATTATTGGACATTCAGTCATTCTCTCTCTCTCTTAATGTCCTGGCTATTATGTTCTGTACCCTGAATGACACATACTTCTGTAGTGTCTCAGGTCAGCTGCTATCGCCTCTCCCTAGGGCCGGCTTCATCCTTGCCCGGACCAAGTCAACACCACAGCCAACATCAAGCAGCTTCACCATGAGCGAAGATGCTTCACTCCCTAAGGGGACCTTGAAGTTCCCTCGCTTCCCGGACCTACCCGCTGAATTGCGTGTGATGATCTGGAGCTACTGCCTTCCACATCGCGTCGTAGAGCTGGACGTGTCCCCACAAACTATCCTGGCTCCGGTATCATGCGGATTCCTCTAGACCACAACTTTGAATGGACTCCCACCACTTATCTCGCGTGTCTGCCGCGAGTCTCGTGCTGTGGCTTCACAAAGTCGTCCTAAGGTTTTGGATACAGTGGACCCAGAAGCACCCTTGTGGAAACCCGGGACGCGAATATGGCAACCAGTTGACCCATTACGCGACATCTTACACCTAAATTGGGAACCTCGGTGGTCGGATTTCAACTGCCTAGGAAGCTCATTTTTTTACCTTGCCTGGTACGCAGCCAGTGTAGCCCGCGGGGGCTCATTTATGCTTGGGAACCTTCGCTGCATCGAAGAGCACGAAAAAGAGGCTCTTCAGAAGATGCCGAGTTGGATTATCGTGGTTAAGACGATTGTTATCGACGCTAATTACAGATACGCCGCCAGCACAGGTCTATTTGGACTATTAGGCGACGCGCCAATACAACTATTCTATGTCTCTGAAGAAGAAAAAGTTAGCGCCTTTCTCGCCCTCGCTGAAGAGTCGCAGCGCAAAGGTCATGCATTTCACCCCCAGAATCTCCGCAGGGAATTCACCAAGAATGAAAAGGAAAGGATACGATGGGCGATCGGCGATCTTGGAGATAATATGCCACGGATACGAACAGCGATCATGTTTCGACTATGTACAGAGATGTGTAACCATTCGGAAACGGCAGAAGAGGGCTTTCGCCCGCCGCCGGACACAAATCCACCGGCGCCACCACCGAATATGAAAAAGAAACGTGGGCCGAGTGGACAGTATCTTCGCGATAGAGGTCGATTTTTCAGATGGGATGACGATGACGACGATTTCGACGACTGATTATGTTACAAAATCTTACGCTCGAACGATGACTTCCTTCATTCTGGACAAATTTTAGAATCTTTAAAACTCAACGGCCTTGAAATGCGAACCGACAAGACCCAACGAACTTGAGGGAGAATTTCAAATAAGGATTGAACTACCTGACTCGATATTGTGACAAGAGTGTACAAGGCAGGTGCCATGAAAAGGCCGCTTACAAGAGTTTAGCAGCAATCCTCCCTCCTAGGCGCCACCCCACCAGCTCTTTGGAAGCTTTCAGGGTTAGTCGTATGTGCTTCGTTGCGTATCTTATTCTCGCCAAGACCCCGTTGCTATTCGCGTTCATTTTGTGAAGTCTGACTGTTATCTTGCTTCTGCACTGACTCCCTCTTCTTCCGCTTTCCCTCTTGCTATCTTTTCTTCATATTAACCGTATAGTTTTGATTTCACTCGATGAAATTCTCGGTAGTGTGAAGTACGGTGCGCTAACCCCACGGATGGTCTTCAGGGAACCTCAAGTGATAGTCCTGGAGAACGAGGATCAGTCAGAGTTTAGTAGGATTTGGCATATGACGATGTCTCGGCTTTTTTCGCGATAAGAACAGAGATGGACAATGGGAAACCATCCGGGGTCAAACTACGGCACGATAATTTGACTATGGTTAAGTATTCGTGGGCAGTTGGATCGTGCCGACACATTGATCCATGTCTCGTCCGGCCCGACCAGATATAAAAATGACGAACATCAATGGGAAGTTCTATCTGCTCAACGTCATCTCCCCCTGCTCCGCTATTGGTTCAGTTGAATTGTATATACCTACCAGGGCTAGTTGGTTGAATACAACAGCTTTCGCTAAATGTCAAGTCTCAACCTACATCACCGGCTCCAGCAGCGGGTTCACACGAAGATAACTGCAGCCAGTACTGGACCTGTTTTGTGCCACACGATTAGTCCTGACCAGTATATCCATAGAGTCAAATCTATGAGGACTATGTCGCATTTTATCAATGAAATATCCCGCCAATGAAAACTTACAATATTTCCTACTTTATACACTTGTGTGATTGACAATCACGTGCCAAAGGCAAAATTACGGTACGGGATATTTACAATCTAGGCGGTGTACAGGGACCCGATCCACCGCCGACTCGGGGGCGGCAGAAGTGCAAATTACAGGGACAGGGTCTCGACTTCGACCACGTTCGCCGTTCCCGATACTTCATCTCGGCTTCTTTCTCACCACACCTCGAGACTTAGCTCCCTTTCCTCCCCTCTCAGAGTCTCTTCACTCGCCCACCATGAGTGCCTCCAAGGCGCAGTCTCAAAAAATATTTGAGAAGTTGAAGCTCAAACCCGCAAACAAGGTGCGCACCAACACCCCGCCTCCGTCTGGCCGTATTGCGGTTCATATGACCATTATCCACTAACGGTCTTTTCGCGAGTAGCTATGCTTTGACTGTGGCTCCAAGAACCCGACCTGGTCGTCCGTTCCCTTCGGTATCTACCTCTGCCTCGATTGCTCGGCCCATCACCGCAACCTTGGTGTCCACATCTCCTTTGTTCGATCCACAAATCTCGACCGTATGTACTGTCCGTCGTGGCTTTCTTATTCGCAGATATCGCCAGGCGAATCTGGGCTAATTGATTTTACGCAGAGTGGCAATGGGAGCAGCTGCGAGTGATGAAAGTTGGTGGAAACGAGTCGGCGACCAAATATTTCCAATCTCATGGAGGATCCGCCGCGTTGGCGAGCAAGGACCCCAAGACCAAGTACACCTCTACCGCTGCTGTCAAGTACAAGGATGAACTGAAGCGACGCGCTGCGGCAGATCAGCAACAGTCAGTACATCCAACCTCCTGGTTCGGTGCTTTGTTATGAGGCGGCGGGATGTTGACAGCGCATCATTTAGGTACCCCGGTGAGGTCGTCATCACGGATATTCCAGCAGGCACTCCCTCAGACGGCTCCGGTACTCCTGCCGGTGACCAAGATGACGACTTTTTCTCGTCGTGGGACAAGCCCTCCATCAAGCGTCCGAGTAACCCCCCTTCCCGCACTGGAACCCCACCTGTCGTGAGCCGCACCGGCTCACCCTTCCTGAACGCCGGCGCCGGCGCCAATGGCTCTCGTTCGAAATCCCCTCTGTCTGTATCCGAAGAGAAGGCTGCTTCTCCCGCCCCGACCGCCATCCGCGCAAACTCGGCTGCCCGTAAGACCGCCACAACCGGTGCCGCGAAGAAGGGCAGTATTTTGGGAGCTAAGAAGGCGCCCAAGCTGGGTGCCAAGAAAATTGTCTCTAGTGACATCGATTTTGATGAGATGGAGCGCAAGGCCAAGGAGGAGGCAGAGCGCATTGAGAAACTGGGGTACGATCCCGAGGCTGAGCAGGCCGAAGCCAAGGCTGCCGCTTCCACCCCGGCGATCACCTCTCCCACCCCGATCAGTCCCAGCCGAGCTGGATTTGGCGCCACTGGCAAGACTCATGAGCGTAACTCGAGCGATGTCGAGCGGTTGGGTATGGGAATGAGCAAGCTTGGCTTCGGTCAAGTGTCGAAGCCGGCGGCCCCTAAGAAGCTTGGCTTTGGAGCCGTGGGCCCTGCCAAGTCCAATTTGGATGGTATGTATCCTTGCATGGAATCAGTACAACGAATATGAACTAACACGTTTAATCAGAGGAGGAACTTGCCCAAGCGAAGACTCGCTTCGGTACCCAGAAGGGTATCTCTTCGGATGAATTCTTTGGCCGTGAGCGCTTCGACCCCAACGCTCAAGCGGAAGCCAAGCAAAGACTTACCGAATTCGACGGCGCCACTTCGATCTCCAGCAATGCCTACTTCGGCCGGCCCGAGGATGACCTTCCTGCGATGGATGACGGTTACGGGGACCTGGAGAACGCGGCCAAGGACTTTGTCCGACGCTTCGGCATCACCGCCGGTGATGACATCGAGAACCTGTCCCATCTCGTTGGCGAGGGAGCTACGAAGCTTCAAGGTGCCATCCGCAACTACTTGAACAGCTAAATGTGAGACGAGACCGTCCCCCAGATTACCCTATGTTCCGTCTCATCGCATACTTAGCAAGCTCATTGATCCCCCTCTACAAAGACCCCTATTCTCCGTGATGCCTGACGTATATCCCTCTGTCTGTCTCACTCTTGTCATCACTCTCCATTGTTTCTTCCTTCTTTCCCATCATGTGAAAAGACCCTTGGGTCAAATCGAAATTACGGCCCTGCGTGATCAATGATTGACCTGACAATTATCTCTCCTTGTGCTCGCTTCGACCCAATTGCGCATTTTTGCAGCAATGAGATTCTTCCCTGTTTGCGTTTTATGTTCTCCCCCTTCTGCGTTCCCATTTACCGCGCGTGTTCTGGTAGGACTTTGAGTTAATTGAGAAAATACATGGCTTTTTATTTCGAAGCCTTTTCCTTTTGATGTTATACGGCTATAGACAAAAGTGCGTGGCAAATACATGAAGATCAATGCCAAGATACGACGACTCGTATATTCTGATAGGCCAACATCTTAACCGACTATATACCTCGGCCATCTCACATTTCTCCGATATTATAATCTCGTATTTATAATCTCGTACTACTTACCCACAACTCCATGTGCATACCAACACTTCCGGATTTTGAAGACCTCCACCGAAAACTCCATGATGAATGAAGAAAACACCTCGCCTGATAATGCAATGTTGAAAACAAACGACCTGAAAAAAAACCATGACAAGGATGCCCCGTGTTCAGTTAGACACGATAGATCGCATCAGCGACCTTGACCACCTGCCACATCTCATGTACATCATGCACACGCACAATGTCCGCACCACCAGCAACACTAGCAGACACCGTCGCAGCCGTACCCCAAACCCGTTCCTTGGGCGTCTTCACGCCAGTAATATGACCAATGAATCTCTTCCGACTCGGCCCCATCAACCAAGGGAAACACTCCAGCCCCTCAACGCGCCTCAATTGATCCAAGTCCCGTAATATCTCCAAATCATGCGGCTGATTCTTCGCAAAGCCCAAGCCGGGATCGAGAATGATCCGCCAACGCCGAATCCCCGCGTCCTCGGCGGCGGCAATGCGTCCGCGTAGTTCGGCGGCTACTTCGGTGATGACACCGTCCGGGTACTCGGTCAATTTCGTCATGGTCTGCGGCGTGCCGCGCATGTGCATCAGGATAATGGATTTACCGATGCGTGCGGCCGTAGGAAGCATTTCCGGGTCGAGCAGGCCGGCGGAGACGTCGTTGATGATATCTGCGCCGGCGGCGCAAGCTGCTTCCGCGACGCGCGCGCGGTAGGTGTCGATGCTGATGGCGATGTTGGCTGCTTCCGGGATGGACGTGCGGATGTGGGTGATTGCTGGGACGACGCGGGCGATTTCTCCGTCTGTGCCGACGGGGACAGAGCCTGGGCGGGTGCTTTCGCCGCCGATGTCGATTATTGTTGCCCCCGAGGCGATGAATTTGCGCACTGTTTCGGTGAGTTGGGTAAAGTCGGTGGGGGAGTGGGTGCCTCCGTCAGAGAAGGAGTCTGGGGTTAAATTGAGGATAGCCATGACGTGGGTGTGCCGGGTGGGATCCGTGGCGTGTAGTGATGGGAAGGCTGTGGAGATTGGTGTTGTTGACTGAGGCGTGGGCTCTGGTGGTGGTAGAGCTTTGAGATGGTCGCTGTATGTTTGTGCGTTTTTGCCTTGCTGAGGAGGGCGTTCATGAGGGATTAATCTGGGTCAGTTAGGATGGAGTGCTTCCTTGTTGCGAGGGAAAGTAGACTTGGGGGCGTACTGGCAGAGTGGCCTGAGAACAAAGTCTCGCTCCAACATGAGCTTGTGGGGAACATCGAGACGTTCATGCGAGAATATTTCTTGGTCGTATAGTAGAATGTCCAGATCGATTGAGCGCGGGCCCTTGTCAATCAACTTCTTTCGGCCCAGGGCATTCTCGATAGACTGAAGAGTATTCAAAAGCTCCATCGGCTCAAGAGTAGTTTCAACCTGTCAACGGTCAGTAAATAGTCGATGAAATCCAAGGCAATCGGGAATAGATTTCTTACTTCGCAGACACCATTGATGAAAGTATCTTGTTCCAACACATACATCGGTTTCGTCTCGAAAAGCGAGCTGGTCCTCTTAACTTTGATATTGGCCTTGTCCATCTCAAGACAAGCCTTCTCAATCATTTCCACCCGATCTCCCACATTACTCCCTAACGCGATAAACGCGCGGTGAACTTGAGATCCAACTTGAACCGAGTTCATCTTGGGCTCCATGCGCGGCTCTGTTCCGCTCGAAAAATTCCTGGCAAATGCTTTGAAGTGCGACAGCAGGTTCATACGCTTCGAATTGACATTTTCAGCGCGTGGAGATACATGCACTGGATTCCCCATGGAAATCGGCCCTGCTTGAGTCTTAGTATACGTGGGTTTGCAGGTGATCGACGCGGTACAAGGAGGTCAAAGGAGAATGCGGGGACATCCTAGACTTTTTTTCCCCTTGCGCGATACAGATAAATGAGATAAGGGCCGGTATTGCTGTGGGGGAGCACCTACGTGAGCCCACGATGGAAATTGTACTATACCTATAGGTAACATGTTAAAAATTGACCTCATATTATTGATTTCGAGTGGAAACACAAATAGAGACTCACCTGCTCGTGCAAGACCCGTCCAATGGCCGAGCGTAGTACGTCGACGCGTGAGGAGACCCCGGCAGTAACGGGAAGCTGCTAACCGATCGCAATGCTCGCCATGAATGCGAAATGCCTCGAGACCCAGCGTATGAGGAGGTTCCTTGGAGGCGCAGAGCCACGGAGCTCATGCTGATGAGAATGGGAAGAGTCGAGACAACAACCTACAACCACTGGGCGCTTAAACTCTGGGAGTCGTCCACTGGTACTCGGTACTCTCGTGCCATGCAAGTCATCCGTCACTTGTTGTGGCCTGAATGCCTGAATGCCTGACTGCCTTAGGCGCCCAAACACCAGGCGTCAAGGTGGTCTGACACCTCGCCTTACATAAGCCCCAGCCCCACTGCCGCTGCAAGCCGGATTCCCCGCCCGGTTAAGCCCAGCTCCTTGGTGCCAGCTGAAAGGGACCGAGGCATTTGGAGAGTGTCTGTGACAGACCGAGGAATCGCCTCCCTTTATTTAGGACCGTTTCTTTTCCCCAGATTTTCCACTTTCCCCCCCCCATCTCTCCAATCTTGCATCACATCGCATACCATCATGGCTTCCCCTCGTGAGTGTCCAGCTGCTTTTACTTTCAGAGCTCGTCGTTTAGCCTCATTAGACTATAACTAACTATGTTTCTGCCCCAGAGGTCATCCGTACTCCCATCACCGATCTGCTTAAGATCAACCACCCCGTTCTGCTGGCTGGTATGAACGTGGCCGCTGGCCCTAAGCTGGCTGCTGCGGTCACCAATGCCGGTGGTCTGGGTGTCATCGGTGGTGTTGGTTATACTCCGGATATGCTCCGCGAACAGGTCGCTGAGTTGAAGAGCTACCTGAAGGATAAGAACGCCCCCTTCGGTGTCGACCTCCTCCTCCCCCAAGTCGGTGGCAGTGCCCGTAAGACCAAGTAAGCATACCATATATCTACGGAGAAACAAAGGACAATCAGACTGACAAGGCAACCTTTCGCACCTACAGCTACGACTACACCAAGGGCAAGCTCAACGAGCTCGTCGATATCATCATCGAGAGCGGTGCTAAGCTCTTCGTTTCCGCCGTCGGTGTTCCCCCGAAGGCTGTCGTCGAGAAGCTCCACGGTGCCGGCATCCTCTGCATGAACATGATCGGCCACCCCAAGCACGTCCAGAAAGCCCTCGACGTCGGCGTGGATATTATCTGCGCTCAGGGTGGTGAGGGTGGCGGTCACACCGGTGACGTCCCCACCACCATCCTCATCCCTACCGTTGCCAAGCTGGTCCAGGGCCGTAAGAGCCCTCTGACCGGCCAGCCCGTGCAGGTCATCGCCGCTGGTGGTCTGTACAACGGTAACTCCGTCGCCGCAGCCCTCATGCTCGGTGCCTCCGCCGTCTGGATCGGTACCCGCTTCATCCTGTCCGAGGAGGCCGGTGCCCCCGTTGCCCACCAGGAGGCTGTCCGCACTGCTGGCTTCGAAGATAACATTCGTACTATTATCTTCACTGGTCGCCCCCTGCGCGTCCGCAAGAACCCCTACATTCTGAACTGGGAGGAGAACCGCGCCGAGGAGATTAAGCAGCTTACCGCCAAGGGTATCATCCCCGTCGAGCACGACTTCGAGAACCTGCCCGATGATGTTGATGATGACACCCTGGACAATGCCCGTCCCTTCCTGATGGGTAAGGTCGCTGCTGTTGTGAACGAGAAGAAGTCCGCCAAGGCTATTGTTGATGAGCTCGTTACGGATGCTGCTGCTCTTCTGAAGAAGGGTAACCAGATGGTTGCCAAGTTGTAAATAATGATCCCCCATTTTCGTTCTTGTTTCTACTTGCCTTAAATTGGCTTAAAGAGGTATACAATTATGATCTAGCCTCCTCAATAAACTGATCTACTTCTTCTATTACACTCTTTCTGAAACTTATATGGAAAACCTCGACGTGGACTTGTCTCGCAAATTTGTTAAAATCATTAAAAAAGTCAAAAGGTTGAGGGACTGTTTTTGGATTTGCTTTGTGCAGCCCAAGCTTTTAGGAATACTGAGGCAATGGATGATACATGAAACAAGATAAACTTTTCGGCTCCTCATAAAGTTCAACCTAATCAATTCTTTCATGTTTCCCCTTTGATCCAAGGAGAAGATGTCAAGGACAGCCCGGTGGCTGACTCGTGCCAAAGTGGACCCGAAGCGGGATATCGGTTGGTGTGGGGCCGATGTATGAGGCTCGAAGTGAAGGATGTGGTTTTTGGAGGCTTTTTGCATTGTATGGATGGTCCAAGGAGTGTCGGGGTGTATGTTTTTGGGTGGGACTCGACGCAATGAGAAAGAGTCAAATGATCAGTCATCTAGATATATGGGTCAGTCTGGGCAAAGGAGTCTAAAATAACGGCAAACCCCACATTTGTAATAGAGAGCTGTGGTTGATAAACAGTGGGAGGCTGAGCATCTGACTTGATAATGAGATGGATGCGGGGACAGCCGAGAGAATGAGTATGAATTGGCGAGGCCGCGAGTGATGGAACCGTGCTAATGGAAGTGATTGAAGGGCAATGTAGATATGACAGAGCTTCTTCTGAATTTGTCCTGACATGCAAACTGGTTGCCCAGTTACATGACGCCTGTTCAGAGAGAAGATGAGCTATACCGCAGGTAGGTTTGTGTCGGCTTTTCGTAGCTGGAAGGGTGGAACAACGGCGGTGTTCGTTCGAAGATCGACCTGCTGGGCTGTGAGTATCTCAACGGCAAGTCTCTTAAAACAAGGACTGCCTGCAGAGTGCAAATGAGGAGGCTGAGATGTGTGGCAGTGGTGGAATGTGATTTGTAGTCGACCACGCCCTACACAGGCTCGACACCAAGTTCATGGTCAGTCGAGGCTCACTCACGAACGTTAGTGTAGGCTCCTGATGAGAAAATCAGCTGGAGGTCGAGGACGACAAGAGTGTACATGAGTCATTACCTGTTGGTTTGGTTCTGCAGACCCACGTTGGATCTCTTTGGGAGAGGAAAAGCGCCAATGCAAACGCGTCATGGAAGAGGTGTGAGGTCAACAAGTCAAGAGGCGGAAGGCTTTGTCGCTGTGAAACGAAGTCGACGTGGCGCATGGATGAAGGCGTGTTGAGTGAAGAACGCAAGTCATGATAGAAGAGACAAGTCATGATGGAGACGTGTCAAGGTAGAGGAAGCAAGCCTTGACGGATGAGATATGTTCATGGATGAGACGTGCCATGATGAAAGGGATAAGTCTTGATGGAAGGAATCTGTCATGATGGAAGTCCAAATAAAGCTGGGTGACAGAGGAGTGGGCCGAGAGCTGGCCCAAGAAGACTGTGGAGAGGTGTTGGGGAGTTTACGAAGGAAGAAATCTTGGGAGATGCGGGGGTGAGGAGGTTATATTTATATTCTCTAGGGTTTGGGGGGGGATCGGCCCTAACTTCCTGATTCCCAAACGGGGTGTTTGCTAGTTGTTGATGGAAGGAGCGACTATCGTGCCTTCCTAAACGGGATATGTGTTTGCCCTCACGCCTGTTCAGGGCCAGTCATGTGATAGGCGTGTGACCGGGATGGAGTTTGCCCAGGGATAATGCGCTTGTCTGGACAGCTGTGTATCGCCCAGAATATGATTTCGAGGGCCGACTTGATGGATTTCGGGCCAGGAGAGTCAGCTTTACCAGAATGAAATGTGCAAAGGATATACAAAACCGCTGGAAGAAAGATTGCATCATACAGAAAAAAATAGAAGGTTAGATATGGTCAAACACCTGCAATCCAAGGCACCAGAGGTTTAAGATTTTGATTGAGCATGACATGTTGGCACATTCATTGGGTCTCCTCTGCTGAGAAATATAAATTGGATTTGGCAGCGCAAACTTGGCCGTTACAGGGGTCTTGGGAGATCAAGAGGCCATCGACTGTAGATAAGATCTATGCATGGTCGAAGAACAATTCGAGTACGTAGAAAACAAAACAGTCGCATTTGGGACAATCGTGCATCAGTTCAATAGACCAGGGCCATGTTAACCTTGAACGCTAAAAAACATGTTATTGGCAGATGATACTGCGAATATATCTTAGAGATTGCTCGTCTCATTAGACTGACCAATATTGATTTTGATTAATTCTACGTGCCTAAGCTTGCTCATTTACTGAGCATGTTCGTGTGGAGGGAGGCGGAGTCTCTGAAGTACTCTCGGTTGCTGTGTAAAGGTCCCGGCTCGATGATACAGAGTACAGTTGTCGTGAGGATTAGGCCACAACGCAAGGCAGAGTGACGTGTCAGTGCTTTGGAGCTCTTGAATGCCAATTTCGACTCAGAGCCCAAGGTCAGCCGACAAAGCGGGCATTTCTCCTTGCAAACACATTTCAAGAGTGCCTATTTTACTACGGCTGAGGCTCAAGAAGGGACAAGAGTATGACATATTCGAGAATGATACGTTGAGCAGTCATGTATATTATGCTGGGACAGTATTGTTGGACAATGGAGGGCCATGCCAATAGGGGATATGGGCTTATAGCGTGTTATAGCTTTGGAAGTGGATTCGTTCATAATTGATTACGCTGATCTTCAGATCGCCGCGGAGGAGATCACTACTAAACCCGCAGCATCAGACTAATACCGGCGCATAACACCCACTGCATGTGCCCGAGTCAAGTCACTAGACCAGGTGCCGAGGCCGAGCCCGAGAAGGCAGGGAGATCCAGCACCCGATAACAGGGGCCCGATCATTCGGGGAGCTCCGACATTCTGGACAGTGGAATCAAGTCTCGGGATCATCACTGGCAGCAGCGTCGGCAGATGGCTTGCATACGCAAGAAGCAAAAATAAGCATCTCAAGGTTCTTTCTGGGTGGATCGGAAGTATACCCTTGGCATCTCCGCACTGGCCCGCATGGCGCGTCGAGAGATAGACATGTGCGCATGGATAAGTAGAGATATCTAGATTGAGAAAAGCTTTACGATAGAGCATTTGCTTGAAAATCCGGGGGATGGGAGCGGAATGCACCAATCGCGTTGGGTCGGTGATCTCCGCTCTGGATTGGTATACCTTTAAAGTTGGCAGGAGGGGAAATCTCCTAGTCCTACCAACAAACAAGGAAATCTGGGGCAGACGGATGCGGAGAACGAGCATCATGCATGGCCTGTTTGGAGGGATTTCCTGCATGGGATGTTGTCGCGACTTGCGAGTGGCCGACCGGTTCCACCTGCTCGATCAGGGTTCTAGGGAGGCTACGGATAACGCTTCGGAGGGGGGTTTCCTTGACGAATGAGGATGCCGGATGGCGACATCAATTTCGGATGAATGATTGAATAGGGCGAGGAGCAGGTTGCCATAGGGTCAAATTGAGTTGCGGCATGGGCCTCCCCCGCACGAGGATGACCGAGTAGTACAGTATGGTTTGATACTGGGCATTCTTGTCCGGGCCCAAAAGGGAGGGTGATATGCGAAGTCAAGCTTTCCAAGTCGGCGGTTCCCGATGATGCAGCATGGTTGATAATTGCTTGAGTTCATGTTTCTTGGCTGGCCGGGGGTACAGATGTCCGACAAGGATCGCAGATAGAGAAGTCTCCGTATGGCAATGCTAGTATCGCATCACTAATAGCACCAGTCAGCAGTCGGAACAAGCCAGCCAAGTCGCAGATATCGGGGCGTATCTCAATATCATCTCGAGCGCACGGCTCTTATCGGGGATCCGACCGGCCAATGCGACCGGAAGCGAGGCGCGAAAGGGTAAAACCGCGGCTTGCTGATAAGCTGGACGAGCTCGGCGGACGAGCTCATTGGATCGCGATGGAGGATGGAGGGTCAACGTGGCATTCCGACCGTTTGACTGGACGAACTGCTCCCGAGTCCTTTCTGGATAGACCCACCCCGTCCATCCCTGCAAGGCTTGTCATTTGCTTCTTTCTGGAATTTCTTCTCATTTTCTCCTGGGGCCCACGCGACAGGTGCCGCCTATCTTTTTTTCTCCTCGCCACTTTTCGCGACGGGTGGGCCGTGGGGCGACGCGCACTCTGCACAAGAATTTTGAGCGGGCCGAAACTCAGGAACTATATAACTCGCCTCTCCCTTGCAGTTGAATTAAAAAAAAAAAAAATAATAAAGATTTTAACGGCCTTCCTCCCTTTCCCCTCCAATCCCAAATTCCCCTCCTCCTCTCTTGCTCTGTCAAGATCGCTACGAGCCTGCTGTGCTCTATATATCTCAACCTTTTCCCTCTGTGGAATAACGTCGCGTGAACTTTTTTTTCACGGTTTTTTCTGGTTCCTCGAACGAAGATAAAAACCTTATATACGATTCCATCATGCTCTCCAAGTTCGGTTTGGGCTCGCGTGCCGACGTCGAGAAGGGCCCCGAGGTCGACAATACCCTTGCCTACGACAGCAACAGCAACGAGAACTATGACAATGTCAGCGATAGCGCGGTTCCCGGCGAGAGCTTCGAGTATGGAAACTCGCTCTACGCTAGGATACAGCGCATTGCCGGCAAGTTCAACATTGAACAGCGTGGAATTGAGCGCGTGCCTGAGAACGAGCGTACCGATACTTCCTACATCAATATCGGCAGCATGGTGTGTTGACCTTCAGCGAGTTTCCACGGGATATACTTGTCCATACCCCGGGAGGTTCAAGTCTTGGGAACTATGCGACTGACTAGAATCCTCTCCAGTGGCTGGCGGCCAACATGGTCGTGAGTTCCTTTGCCATTGGCGTGTTGGGCAAATCGCTCTTCTACCTGGGCTTCGTCGACGCTATTCTCGTCTGCCTGTTCTTCAACCTCCTCGGTGTCTTGACCGTCTGCTTCTTCTCCTGCTTCGGTCCCGCATTCGGTCTGCGCCAGATGGTGTTGTCTCGCTTCTGGTTCGGCTGGTTCCCCGTGAAGTTCAGTAAGTGGTTCTTTCCCACAGAGCTAGCTTGTCAACTAGAATTGGTAAGACTAACATAGCTTCCTTCTTAATAGTCGCCGTCCTCAACGTCCTAGCCTGCGTCGGCTGGTCCGCTGCCAATGCCATCGTGGGTGCGCAGCTGCTGAACGCTGTCAACGGTACCGTCCCTGGTTTCGCCGGTATCCTGATCATCACCTTCTGCACCCTCTTCATCACTTTCGCCGGTTACAAAGTTGTCCACAAATATGAGAAGTATAGCTGGATCCCCACCTTCATCGTCTTCCTCATCGTGCTGGGCACCTTCGCCCACTCTGGCGACTTTGTCAACATTCCCATGGGCGCCGGTACCTCCGAGCTGGGCGATTGTCTCTCCTTTGGCTCGACCGTGTACGGCTTTGCCACCGGCTGGACCAGTTACGCGGCCGACTACACAGTCTACCAGCCCGCCGACCGCAGCCGCCGCAAGGTCTTTTTCTCGACCTGGGTCGGTCTCATCGTCCCCCTGCTCTTCACTGAGTTCTTGGGCATCGCCGTAATGACCGCAACCGCCCTCAACGATGGAAACAACAAGTACGCCCTTGGTTATTCCGAATCCGGTAACGGCGGTCTGATCGGTGCCGTCCTTGAGCCTCTGGGTGGTTTCGGCAAGTTTTGCCTGGTCATTCTGGCTCTCTCCATTATCGCCAACAACTGCCCCAACATCTACTCCGTCTCCCTGACCCTGCAAGTCCTGAGCCGCTACACGCAGCGGGTGCCCCGTTTCATCTGGACTTTCCTCGCCTCCTGCGTCTCCCTCGCCATCGCCATCCCCGGCTACTCCCACTTCGAGACCGTCCTCGAGAACTTCATGAACTTCATTGCCTACTGGCTGTCCATTTACTCTGGTATCGCTGCGGCCGATCACTTCGTTTTCAAGCGCGGCTTCCGCGGCTACCGTCCGGAGATCTACGACAAGCCCGATAAGTTGCCCATCGGTATTGCCGCGTCCATTGCGTTCTGCTTCGGTGTCGCCGGTATGATCACCGGTATGAGCCAGACCTGGTTTGTCGGACCGATTGCCAAGCATGCGGGTGAGTTGCCGTTTGGTGGTGACGTTGGTTTCGAGCTGGGCTTCGCTTTCTCGTTCGTTATATATTGCGCTGTGCGGCCGCTGGAGCTTCATTTCTTCGGTCGGTAATTTGGGACGAGAACTTCATGTATATATTGAGATCTGGATAGGTTAGGAGGGTACAACCTTCTGTCAGAAAATCTTTGGGATTGTATTGGATATAATAATTAGTTGCGTCGTGTTTATCATGCATTTATTTAGTGAAACAGCTCCTATAATCGAGCCTGCATTTGCATTATTTGCAATCATGTTCATCACTTTTTCTTTGTACATTTCCACTTAGTGGCTACCTTCAACGCCTTCACTTCCCCGAAGGCATTCTTTCATCGACAGCAGGTCAAGTCCAAGCACAGACTCCCACAACCAGTTTGACACTGATTGATCGCCCTCTCAAGACTCTGCCGCCTCTTGGAACTGCTCTCTCCTTCCCCGATTCCAATCTCCACCCCCGAGCTATGCGTTGATTGGCCGGTAGTCGATACTTGTCGACTGGTATGAATCTCCGGCTGAAGCGTCACGGAATGAATACCGTACGCATGGAAACATTCCCGAATCGTCTTGGCGAGACTGTCAAAGTCGAGAATGATATCACCGTCGATGACCACATGCGCAGAAGCAAGGGACTTGGTCTGATTCAGTCGCCAGATATGTAGTTCGTGCACGGCCAGGACTCCGGGGACTCGTTCGAGATCGTGTTTGACGTCGTCATGGTCGACCCCTTGCGGTGCGCTTTGGAGGAGGATGAGTCCGGATTGTTTGACTAGTTTTCGGTCAGCTGTCTGCAGGGTACGCGGGAAAGGTCTTCTCGGAGAGAACATACTAAGTGGGATGGAAGAGAGGAAGATCATAATGGCGATACCCATGCTCACGGCTGGATCGGCGTAGAATCGACCTCCATAGTTGGCGAACCAGATCACTGCCGCGCCGATGACGACACCGAGGTTATTTGCGCAGTCGCCGATGACGTGGATGAGCACGCCCATCATGGCGAGGTCTCGGTGCGGCTTGTGAGAGGCGTTCTTCTTGATGACATGGTGCTTATGGTGGATATGCTGGTCGGATTAGTTTCCGAAGTTATTGGCTCCTTGAGAGGTGGTATTTACCTTTCCGTCCACCAGACCGACTGCGTCTGGGTCTGTGTCTGTAGAGGCTTCAGGCGCAGAGCCTTCGCCACTGTCTGTGCCATGACTATGGCTATGGTTATGCTCGTTGCTGTGACCGTGGCTATGGCCATCGCCATGATCGTGGCCATGGTCTGTAATCTCGTCAGCATGGGTCACATGCTAAGTATGGCTTGATGGGACACCGTGTCGTTCATACCATGCAAGAAGAGAACGCTGATAAGATTGAGGCCGAAGCCTACGCATCCCATGATCAGGACGAGCTTCGGATTCTCGACCTCTAAATACACAGTCAGCATCATACGTCAATAACGCAACCGCGGAGAGACCCACTTTGCAGGGAAATGAACCGCTCGATTGATTGCAAGAAGACACTGATTCCTAGACCAAACAGTAGGACTCCGTTGAAAAAGGCACCTAGCAGCTGGATCCGTTGCCAGCCAAATGTCAGTGCCTTGGGAGCCTTTGTTCTTTCGGCAACCTAGTTGGAATTAGTATAAAGCAGCTAAGGCTTTTCAAAGATACTCACGATGGCGGCCACAAGGGCGATAATGAAGCCGACCAGATCATTCAGCTTGATAGTGTCAGTACGGTTTCTTCCAACGGCTTGCCCTGCAGGTATCCAGCTCAAACATACATAGTGAAAAGCATCTGCTACCAAGGCCAGAGAATGCGTGTAGAACCCGACTATGCAGGATGTGATCAGCTTCAGAGTTTATCGCGTCAGGTTCTCTTTCCAAGGTCCAGCCCAGTCTGGAATGCAAATCGAGTGATGAAAGAAACAGAATACGTACTCGAAATCTCCGCAAGGAAGAAACAGAATGAAATGCCGATAACGACGCTCAGCCGCTGGATACGAGAGAATTTAAACGTCATGGCTGGAGGTTGTTGGTGATTGCAGAGTTGTGGAGTGGAGAAGGCGTGGGAATATCAAGAGGGTGAAATTAAGGTTTCCTTCAGGAAGCTGGTTTTCCTGTGACTCAACCTGTTTAGCTTGAAAGGGGCGATAGGGCAGGTCCGCATCAACGACAAATGCAGCCCGATGTTTATTGGTCACCGCTTCTTTCATATGCAACAGAGCAGAGAGTTTGGGAACGTAGAAACTACTTCAAGCGGACTGTCCAAGGCTGCCAAGACCTCGGTCAACACTTTGTTAGCCTTGCGGTGGGTACCCGCGACGATCAAAAAAGCAAATCCAATAAAGGACTCGTCAGGTCATATTATGCTCATGGGTTGAAGCCTTGGAAGAAGATACGAGAAACAAACAAAGCTTTACAGGCTTCGTCGAGGCGAGGCATTTGTGCAAGCACTCGTCCCTAGTCATTTGATCGGACTTTACCAAGATGCCGATGGATACAAACTCGCCAAGACGCCCGTCACCCTGAGCGATTTACGCGTTTTTCTAGTTTCTATGTATCGATGCCGATCACGCCCAGCTATCACATTTGCTTGCATATATTGCACCTCGTTCATCAGGGATATTGGTCATGAATCGAATCGCCCGAACAACCTGTGTTGGGCAAATCACATTTGCCACTCTCCGTGGTCCTCTTGGACATCGATCCTTTGCCAGCTCCTTTACAGCCCGAGCCTGCCAATTAAAGCAATCGAGCAAATCTAAGTGCCAGAACACAAAATCGTCTCCTCCGGAAAGCTCTCGTTCAACATTTTCCCGAGCGTTCTGGGCATGTCGTTCAACCTGGGGGAGGGCAGGCATCAACACTCTACGCTGTCTGATTGGCTGCACAGTCGGTGATTTCTCCGCACTATGGACACTCCAGTCTTATTATCCTGAACTCGGCATGAACACTATTATGCTAGTATCAAGTGCGTCATCTCCTGTCACCCGATAAGGTCATATAGAAACCCATGCTGATCCTCAACTCTAGTGGCTTCTGGTATCACAACATCCATCATTCTCGAGACGGTCCTACTCCGCCGTGGTGCCGATCAGCTTTCATGGACTATGGCCGTCCGAACTGCGATGGGCATGAGCATGGTCTCCATGGTAGCTATGGAAATTGCCGAGAATGCAGTCGACTACCATTTGACCGGTGGAGTCGTTGCATTCGAGGACCCGAAGTTCTGGGCAGCAGCAATGTTGTCGATAGGGGCTGGGTATTTAGCTCCGTTGCCATACAATTACCTGCGTTTACGAAAGTATGGAAAGGCTTGTCATTGAAATGCGGAAAGAATTGGTGGAAGGTTCATAAGTATGTATATTACTAGAAGGGGATGAAAAGAATCGTGTGGTAACTAGACCGAAGCTTTGGTCGGAAGCTTACGCTTCTCGTGTGAAGACAGCAAGAATGCATTACAGGATGATAAGTTGGTAAATTTACTCTCAGATTCGAGTTGTTAACTTTCTGCAAACTATGAAATAAGAAATTATCCTTGAGTTGTTCATGCTGACCCTGATGCCTGCGTAATGCGAATAGGAGTTTGAAACCGAACCAGCGGATAACTTCTGCCTTGATTCGGACTTGCCATGTTCAAGACTTGAAGACAAGAAACAGTCTGAGCTTCTCCACCAGTGCCAATAATCAGCCAGAAATGCTCACCACAATAAACCCCTTGCAAATTGCAATATCAGGCTGATTTTGCCCTCTTACTCGGTAGAGGGTTGGGAAAAGTGTGAAAAGACACTCCCCAATCACGCGATCATCGTCAAGACCACGAAACTTGTCCTTCATGATTTGACTGTGACTTTTGGAGTCAATAAGATTTAGTCTCTGGAAGACGTCCTTCTGGACAGCACCTGAATGATGTTCCCAAGCCCACCGATATTCCTTTGGGGAGCATCTCAATTTTGTGGCAAATTCAGCCACGGGCTTTGTGATTTGAGCGTAGAACCTTTGGCATTTGGCTCTCAGGGTCTTGTCACCGCAATAACCCGCCCCTGTGAGAACTTTTTCAAGGTCATATGTGGAATCGATGCATCTTCTCTCTAGGTGTTGCTTGTATTCCTGGGATTTTGCGCATGCTCGGAAGGTTTCAGACCTCCATTTGCCGAGCCCCGAAATATCTAAGATAAAGAGTTGTCAATTAGTCAAACTCTTTCGGACTGGTATTGAACGAGAAAATACCTTTTTCAGGCTGAAGAAGCTTCATTCTTGAGCACAGTTCCCCAAGCCATGAATTTTGTTCTCCACTCGCTCCAACAAGGAGCGGCCCAAAGATATTTGCCCACAGAATGGAAAAGACAACGTGCTTCACCAACTCCTCTTGCGCATCTGCTGCTTGTTTGTAAGCGATCAGCTCGTTGAAGCTCAACTGATATCCCTCGCAAGCCATGAAATGAAACACCGCTTCCCAGTCACAGCCGCCGTGCGCAGGCTCGGGAAGTCCTTCAACCCAATTGGAAAGCCCCATGTAGATGTTGGTTAGCTCGTCAGAAATCTGTCGGTCACTTATTCCAGTTGAGTCGATGGAGCGAAATGTCTGATATCGATAGCGAATTATTTCTTCTTCTTGCTGGCGAATGCGTTCCTCAAGTTTCTGGATATCCCTGCGGGCTTGCTCGAGTTCGACTTCCTTTTGCGCAATGTTGGGGGTGTCGTTTTGACATTCCAAGACAGTTTCGCAAATCTTGTCCCAGAGTTTGGTGAAACTCCCTTCCATTTTTGCACGGGCAGATGATTTGATTCTTGATATCTCGGCTTCAGCTGCGCTGTTTGGAGGTGTAGATGCTGGATGGCTTGAGCGGCTTGTGACGTGTGAAGCTGCAGTCGAGGAATCAGCTCTGATATCGTCTTTCAGTTTAGATGCTTCCATATCCATCTTTGAGAGTTTCAAGGAACGTTGAGGCTAGGGAAATTCTTCAAGAGCCCTTTTCAGGAGAAGCGCCACGTCGTCCTATGGTACTAAAGGGTGGAAACGTGGTGATTCAGTTCTGGATGGCCGAGTCTGGGTCGCACACAACTGAATCAGAGTGAAATTTCTCAAGGCTTTGAAAGGTGATAAAAAGAAGCAAGAGAGTGAGCCTTCTTGCCGCATAAAACATTGTGATTGCCTGAACGGACGCTGAGATATCCGGTACTTTCCGTTAGAGTAAGTGATATTTAACAAATATTTCCTGAGTGAAATTACTTCCTTTCCCGTCACTCTCTACTTCAAATCTTTTACCTCCTATCTCTTTTCCTTTTGACTTCTTTCATACACATCCTCCAAACCAAGAAGCGCATCTTCCTGCCAGCTCGCTCTCAGCTTCAGCCTGCGCTGGCCATCATGGCATCTAAAATCCAAGCCATTCTTGCCTTGGACTTTGGTACGACCTATTCCGGTGTGGCATGGGCTCAAGTATCCAATGTAAGCTCACACCTACAGATGATCATCAAAGGGGCCTTTTTCTCACTTCTTTTCCACCGAGCCTGAATCTCATTACCTTATCAACGAATGGCCGGTCACTGTGTCCGGTTCCATTGGAGGCATGACCAGTGAGAAAGTGCCCACCGAGATAGCATTCACCTATGAAAGAGGCTCACCAAACCCGATTTGGGGCTTTCAAATCCCCGAGGTCATGCCCCGTCTCCAATGGTTCAAGCTCGGATTGGATCCTGACCAAAAGGCTCACGTCATGCCCGCCCTGGCTATCAACCACAAGGACTGGCGGAAAATGGATTATCCTCATCATGCAACGCCAGAGACTGTGACTACGGATTATCTTCGTGCATTGTCTAATCATGTAAAGACTGTTCTGAAGGCACAGCTGGGGGCGGCATTCGATTCAATGTCCTTTAGCTATATCATTACTGTGCCGGCAATGTGGTCTGAGAAAGCCAAGGCGGAGCTTAGACGATGTGCAGGAAATGCCGGACTTGGGGACTATTCAAGCATTAACGTCGTCTCCGAGCCGGAGGCTGCAGCTATTCATGCCCTCCGAGCAAGTAACCCAACCAACCTCAAAAAGGGTGACACCGTGCTTCTGATTGACGCAGGAGGGGGCACGGTCGACATGATCACTTTCAAAATCCAGCAGCTTTCACCCACTTTGAAACTCCGCGAAGCAGCTGCTGGCACCGGTGCATACTGCGGAAGCACGTATCTCAACAGGCGGTTTGAGGATTTTCTTCGGGAAAGACTGGAGAATTGCCCTTCTTGGGACAAGGACACCCTCGAGCAGGCCATGATGCGATTCGAAGCATGCGCCAAGCGAAGCTTTACTGGTGGCACTGCCGACGATTTTTTCTTTCCAGTTCCCGGAATTCCTGAAGACAAAGATCTTCACGTTCGACAGGGCTTGCTACGTGTCTCAGGGGAAGAAATGCGTGACATCTTCGTCCCGGTACTCGATATGATCGTGCAGCTTGCATTACAACAATTTCAATCATCCAAAAGACCCGTCACGACTGTGCTCATTGTTGGTGGATTTGGGCAGAATCAATTCCTTCGACTTTATCTCCGTGATAATGTCCCCTCTAGTGCGACAGTTCTCGCTCCTCCTGACGGCTGGACCGCTGTGGTCAGAGGGGCCCTGGCAAAGATGCTCTCCAATCTCTCCTCGCTGGCTCCTCAGGTCAGCATAGATACTCGTATTGCACGCAAATATTACGGCTTCGAGATAAGGGTTCCCTTCAACCCTGTTGTGCACGACGAGAGCCGAAAGTAAGTACCCCCACTCAAACTTTATCAGCATGGCTAAACGCCTTATAGGTATATGGATGCGTTCTACGGCAAATACTACATCAATGTGATGCATTGGTTTATTTGCAAGGTAAGCTACTCCTGTGGTGTTTTACATACTCAACTCAAAAAGCTGAACATCGCAGGGGGACGAGATTGATGAGACGAGGCCCATCATAACTAAATGGTCCATGCAACAACTCAAATCAGAGGGTAGACCAAAGGACTACTGTAAAGAGTTCTATGAATACGATGGTCCTGATGATGTTCAGGTGCCTCTCTACTTCAGCGACGGTGAGTGAGCCGAAGGAATCTGGAGACGTGGATATAAGCTAAGCAATTCACTTTTCAGACATGCAGCTGCATGCCAGGCTTGATGCAACCTTTATTCCGGAAATCCGTCGCGAAATTCCCATTCAGCGTGGTCAAGACGGGAATGACTATTATGTGACGAAATTCCAGTACCATGCACACTACTTCTCGGCACATTGTGAGGTCTCTCTGTGGTTCCAGGGACAGCACCATGGCGCCGTTCAAATCACTTATATTTGAAGGTCGTAATCTCGATCATTCGTTTCTTGTATCCCTATCAGCATTGATATCAAGGGGCTTCACCTGATCACAAGTTGCACATTGACGAGTTGTCTTTCAGCATTGGAGGAAGGTTGAATCAGAAAGGATGAATGGCTGATATTGCACGCAATGCACTTGACAGAGGATGGTTTTGCTTAATCTATATCAAATGAAGTTATTTTGCATTTTGCCAGTGAAAATTGCATAAAGAGAGGCTATGTCAAGAAGAATGAAATGGAGCGTAGTATTCCATTCATACCACGTAATCGTTATTGACTCTGAAGGTATCGATACTGTTAATTAGTCAGTCAAGTTTAATTAACTATAGTCCGATAGCTTCCACCTTAATGGTGGGTCTAGTGTTTGTTATCCGGGTCATTCTAGCTGATGATTTGGGGCAGTCGAAGGCGAAGCTCTGCGCCTCGTCAAAAAACCCCGCAGAGGGGCAGGCGCCAATCACGTGATCTGGCACTCACCAGCCACGGGATGCGCCACAGCAAAATCGCCGCGAATGAAATCCACAACGGATTCGCCTTTGAAGAAATCCCAGAAATTGAGCAGTTGCCGCATCACACAACCACACAACATGTCTCGACTCGGGAAGTGAGTATTTCCACCCTGCAAAATTCCCTCGAATCTGTGCCTAACTTTTTCTCTTTCAAATCAACAGCAACGCCGACTGGGCCGACGATGATGAGTACGATGATCCCTCAGCGCTGCCCGCAACCCAAATCACCGAAAACAAAGACGGCACCAAGACGGTCGTCTCCTACCGTTTCAACGATGACAACAAGAAAGTGAAGGTCACTCGCAGGATTAAGGCTACCGTCGTCAGAGAGCACGTCAACCCACAGGTGGCCGAGCGCCGGTCCTGGGCCAAGTTCGGCCTCGAGAAGGGCCACGCGCCCGGCCCCTCCTTCGACACCACCTCCGTTGGTGAGAACATGATCTTCCGTCCCAGCACGAACTGGAAGGCTCAGGCTGCTGAGGCCGAGAAGAACCCCGAGCAGGGCTCCATGAAGGACCAGCTCAAGGACAAGAAGGTCAAGTGTCGTATTTGCAGCGGCGAGCACTTCACAGCCCGCTGTCCCTTCAAGGACACCATGGCTCCCGTCGAGGAGCCCACCGGTGGTGCGGATATGGGTGTGGACGATGCTGGCGCTGCTGGTGGTCTGGGTGCTGGCTCCTCCAGCTACGTTCCTCCTCACATGCGTGGAAAGGCTGGTGCTGCTGGTGGCGAGAAGATGGGTGGCCGCTTCGAGAAGGACGATCTGGCTACTCTCAGAGTTACAAACGTATGTTCTTCCATTCTTGGTGGTGGTCTATGGTTCAGATCTAACGTATTCTCTCTCATCTCTACAGGTCAGCGAGCTGGCAGAGGAACAAGAGTTGCGGGATCTCTTCGAGCGGTTCGGTCGTGTCACCAGAGTTTTCCTTGCCCGGGACCGCGAAACCCAGCGGGCCAAGGGCTTTGCTTTCATCAGCTATGCGGATCGGGGCGATGCTGCTCGCGCTTGCGAGAAAATGGACGGCTGTACGTGTTCACCCCTTTCAAGGCCACGACTGTGGTCGCCTTGGTTATATCGAGACATCAAAACTAACCATCTCTTTTTTTCCCCTTTCTTCGTTGCAGTCGGTTACCGCCACCTTATTCTCCGCGTCGAGTTCGCCAAGCGCACTACTTAGATTCGCTTCTCGTTTTCCCTTTCACGACACATTTTTTTCTGGCTGGATTCTCTTTTCTTTTTATCTTTCAGGCGGCCCTAGCTCTATGCTGAAGCTCTTTCCTTTGAAATGTATGATTGATTGATAATGATGATTACCAAAAAGACACCCACCATGTCAGTTACTTGCATTCGTCAGTCTATACAAAAGCAATGGTTTAGAGATTCTCGCATGGTTTTGTTCGGCGTGGGCCCTTGGTTGGGTTGATATCCTGGATATAGAAATGCTTGATTAAGCTGTTCTTCTCATGCTCTAAATCGTTATGATCACAATGGCTTGTATCCATTCCGGTAGCTGAAGCCTGGCAATTCGCCTTGCGAGTGCCAGTATAGGAAGTGACAACCTCAGGACACACGCCCGTCCACTGTTGTAGTATGGGCACTAGCTAAGAGATGAGCTCAAAAAGGCACTCACAAGGTATCCATTCTCTATGGACTGGTGCTATCTATGTGCATTCGCCTGGGGTATGGCCCTGGCAATCTCACCTGGAAGTGTTTGAGCTGTATCGAAGCTCCAACTACTACTCGAATCTCTTGCATGGCACCTATACATGCCCGGCCCCCTAGCACCCTCGAAACGTAACATGCCAGCTGCCATATACAAGTGACAGGGATCCACGTCGCCGCTCAGGGGCCCCTGTCACCTGGCAAGAACATGACTCGAGGACGAAAAGGGCGGGACCCGGAGCAAGTCCGCAGTAGTAACAGCTGTCGCTACCCTTGTCTCGTGTTCGAGGCATGTGGACGGGGATGTATATGCATAAGCAGCGAAAAGGTAAATGACAAAAGCACGTCCAAAGTAAAAGTCCAAAGTGAACGTTCCAACAGCGCCTAACGGTCGCCAGCATCAAGCCGGACAGCTTACTTCCTTAAAAGGAAGCAAGGCGACGTTACGCCCACCAACTGGATGGTTAGAACGCTCTCGGCACCGGGATCACAGATCCTGTACACTTATCGTAACGGTGTAGATCTATCTAGATCTTGTTCGAAGGCCTACGGAGCCGTAGTCACAACCCGTAAAGGTAGCTTCGATATATTAATTTCCCGATCTCGAATTTGGGTTGCATCACGTCACATCGGGTGGTTCATTTTAGGAAAGAGACTTGGGATCATGAAGACGCTAACCCTGGCGCGAATCCGCCCATCGGCACTCGGCCCCGCCGAGAGACAAGAAACTAGTCTCCATCGACAAGGGATTTGAGCAGATTATTTTCTCTCGCCATCTTTTCTCCTAGGAAATACCATTCCTTCCTTCTTTGGAAATCGCTTGTTGAGCGTTATGCCGGGGTCCTCAAAAGCTTCAATGTATCACCAGGCCGCCGAATTTCCGAAGCTCTGGCCGGCCATATCGGCATGCAGCATGACAGGACGACAAATGTGAACGGCGTTCATGACGTTCCAAGGTCCCAGTGACATTGCAGGATGATACTGGAAGTCCAAGTGCAGAGACCCACTATCGTGAGATGCCTCGAAGCAATCGACAACAAGGGCATTTCTTGCCTTCTTTGGTTGCCTGGCGGCTTCGTGCCGTTGAGAAGGTTTTATTTGTTTTTTTGTTCTTTCGTCGTACGACGAGGCCTTGCGATAGGGTTGGCTGGCGCGTGCCGAGGATTGCTGGTGGATGATAGATAGGTTGCCACACGGCATTCGGGGAGGCTGGCAAGTTGAGACGTTGGCGTGAGTAGGAGGCGATGTTACAGGTACGTCTTCATCTGGTCTGCATGTCGAGTGCCATGCGAAAAGTGTGGTGCCCTCCTGACAGGTGGCATGGGGGAATTCCGGTCACGATGATTCCAATGGTCACCGAGAATGTTGTGAATGTTGAGTATCTGGAATGGCATCCTTGTTCAGTCGGCATTAGCTGATAGTCGTCTCTTGCTTTTTTCGTTAGGATCGGCAACCAGTAGTCTAGCTACTTGCCGGTCCATCCATTGATCCTGCTCTCCAGTCCCTTGGCCCAGGATACATGAATCTCTGCGCGCTGGAAATTGAATTTAATCCGTGGCCCAGGATAACAGTCCAGCAGCTACCCAATGAAAAATGCAAATCATCTCTTTAGGGTCTCTTCCAGAGATCATGATAGACGTTGTAGGAGTCGTTCGACAAGTCGTCAGACTCACGCCAACAATGGTATAGTGTAAAGCACAGAGCAATTCTACCGGCGATCAGGTTGATCGTCACCCCAATTCTTTGATCTCTGCCATACTTTTTACACAGGTAACGCATCACAGAACCTTGTGTGCAGTCGGGGAGATGGTTCAAAGTATGGATCAGGAGAAACTAGCAGCTGCAATTGAGTTTGTGCTTCAAGTGGAGCTAAGGCTACTGTAAAATACCGTTAGTAAACCCCTTTTCGCAGTCTCAGTGAAGTCAAAACTAAATGCCAAGGATATACGCAGGAATAGCACGAGACATGCCTTGGATGCGGTTTGCGACCAGGGTGGTTGAGTCAAGGCTCGTTAGTGTATCTCGCACGTGGTCCCTTGGCCTCCCTCCTCTGCAAGTCATCGAACCCGGCAAGAGGCAGGGTACCTTTCCTCCCCGTCATGGTGGTTGATCTCTCAAACTTTAATGTGAGGGTCTAGAAGGGAAGGAGCCATGGATCTCGACGGGCGGACGAGAGCGCGAATCAACGATGGCCTTGGTTCCGGCCCTGAGAGAGCGGATCGGCTACCGGTCTCCTGCCTAGTTTGTAGTGTACCCAGTCGTAATGAGTCAAGCACTACCAGGGTTTGATGTCCGATGTGCTGACATGAGGAAATCCAACGCGACCAGGACAAGGTGCCGCCGTTGCGGACGATTGGTGTCTCCTGGTCTTTTCCTCGGAGGCCCGGGATCGACGGGCCCACTACGGGACTTCCCAAGATCCATGAACGACGGGCATATGAGAGAGAGAGAGCTAGGGTCACGGAAGAGAAAGAAATCGGAAAGACAATACAGGAAGATCACCGAATGGCGGCATCATCTCGGTATGTATCCTTGCAAAGCTTTCCATCGTTGGCCAATGGTTTGCCTTGGGTTGCGCCCGGAGTGTAAAACGGCCCCCCTCCTCTTCTTGCCTTCTATGCAATCGCATTCCCAACCTCCCGATGGGATGCCCCAAAAATGGACCATATCCATCTTGACTCTGACGCGCAGATGCAAACTCGGGGAGGGGAGAGGGGGGATCTCCTACTGCGCTTCCTAGTCAAACATGAGCATTCCGGCCGGGTGCAGCCCGGGATTGGGACGCGGAAGAGACCACGGTTTGCCATTGACCATTGACAAGGGCATCGTCGTACAAAGGACGGAAATAGTTGGACATTGTTGTCCTGTCACGGCGAAATAGCAAATCTATCCACAGAATTTGTCTTTGTGTTTTTTGCCGTTTTGCGAAGGAGTGGTCCGATCCTGGGCACGTGCCCTGTCCAGCCCTGGCTAGTCTTCTGGGGTCATTGTGCCCAGCCTCCCCGACGCATCGACGAGGAATCAAATCAAATCAAGGACCGGACATGGGAGATTGTCTCATAAGAATATGCAACCCTGAATGGTCTCAGAGCTATCGGAGCTAAATTCATCGATTGATTGACCTGGCCCGAACCTTGGTTCTTGGTTGGATTGATGGGTTCCTGCAATGGCGTCTTGATGTTTCTGATCCACAAACTAAAATCTTGCTCTTGAACGGAAGTGGAAAAGGAAGATGACAAAGTAGAGTAGAAATTATGGTATTTCTAATTTAAGATTGATTAGCTCCCGGGTCTTGGACTCTTCGGAGAAAGATGGGGGAAAAGGTACTCCGTACCTGCAGTGGAATAGAGACTAGTGGTGGCAAATCAATCTCGTAGGAGAGGGGAAATATTTTGGATTAGCTAGGTCGCGAATCGGATTTCGGACAATTACTCTAGACTATAGTCAGGAGCTTGGCCTCCTCATACTATGCTATATGGTGTCCTGTACAGCTGTACCCGAGCACATTCTCGTCCGTCAGTTGTGATAGATCGGAAATGGTGGAGCCCCGCGCGTTTGGGCGAGTGGAGTCCGGGACGGGTACGGGTCGGAAGTGGAGCGAAGGATCAGATCTGATATTTAGAAATGAGGACGAATGGACTTGCGAGAGGAAAAAGAAAAGGACAAAGTGTACCGTAGCTTCACTAGTTTCTGGAGAAAGATAAGATAGGGATAACTAAGCGAGATTGTAAAGAACCCCGCTCAAACATGGTGCAGAAATTATTGATACTATTGGTACTTTTGCGCTAGACCAAGGAAATAACTAGTTATGGAGTACAGTACTCTACATACAGTACTGTACAGTACTTACTTAGGAGTAACATTCCCGATGTAAGATTGAGTACTGTACATCCACTGTAGCGATCGTTTTCGTACCGTTCCCCACAGTTCAGCAGCACTTGCACGACGCCTTCATCCTCAAATTCCCAGTCCTCTGGACACCACCCAAAGAGTCATGAAGAAGTCCGTTAAAACTCGAGACTTGCATCACCTCTCGTTCACCGCCTCGCCACACGTGTTGTGGCAGTCTCTGCCCAATGCGCACATCAACATTCCATCATTGTCCAAGCGCAGGCAGCCACGAGCATGGCTTGCTGGCTGAAGATCGGCCTTGCTGCCCCGGAATATGTTGAGCTCGTCGGGTCATCCTTGGAATGGGAAGAGGTAATGACCTCGCCTCCCTGCACGTACTGCCGAGTTTGGCACGTCCGTCCGGCCTCCACACCCAGAAGGTGGTCCGTGAGGACGACCACCAGCTGCACAACATACCATCAATAACCATCCCCTCGGTGATGCTCCAACGAGTGACTGGTTTCCCAACTGTTTCCCAAGTCGATCGATTGCGGCAACGATCCACCAATCACGGTTCGATCGGCTGCCTTTCCACCACCGTGCAATTCGCCTTCTCAGCCAACTAGCTTCCTGCAGCATGGGCCGATCGCCCACCCACTAATGCAGTTTTGCTCACATTGACTGGATTGGTGAGGAAAGGGAGCCCCCACTATTGAGCTAGGATCTGTGGGATCTATGAGTTCCCACAGTCTAGAGTCCACTTGCACCCCCCTCAAAGGCATCCACCGAGCGGCGTTCTAGCTTCCTCCAACGAGTCCGTGAAGAGACATGAATCATTGCTGCGGTAGCTGTGGAGCTCCATTCTGGAAAATGCAGCCTGGTACGGACCGCAAGTCTACCCGGGGTTTCTCGTTGCAGAATGCGTCAGACACGCCTTCTTTGTTTCTCCCTCTCGATACTCCGTACTCGGTGGGGGTGGGAAACCTAGGTTTTGTCGCCGGTCTCACTCTCGCCCTCCGGCCCCCAGGTCGGCCTTGATCACGTTGCCCGCCGGAATTTGAGGCGTCCGGCTTGCCCTCCAGGTGGCTCTCATATGTAGTAAAAAAGTGGACTTGGCCCCATTGGCACCGTGGTGTGCTGCCTTAATCGGGCTCATTCCGTTCACCATCCAAAGTCTGTCGGTGAGGGCATTGCCAGCATGCACGACGCAGCTCGTCGAATGACAATTGCCGATCGTTTAGCATGCCCTTTCGTCATGCACGCCGTGATGCTCGTGCCTTGACTATCTTTGCTCCCTGAAGATGTGAAGAAAGTAGCAAAGATAATCAAAATCTGACGAGAGAGAAAAATTGAGGTCCCGGGAACGACTCCGAGAGGTCTCTCAACCCCAACCTCATGAATCTTGGCCAGGCAAATGGGTGATTTCCGAGAAACCAGACGAATAATGATTTTCTTTTCTTTTCTTTTTGCTATTCGGATAAGAGGGTTTTCGTTGGCTAACACCGTCAATTTCGGCCTGCAGATCCCCAAGGTCTGATACATCTAGTCGTCAGGCGACTCCGGGCTCGAGAAATTCAGAGGAAAGAGGAAGTCTGCACGGCTATCTCGGGGGAAGTTGATCACCTCCACTATCCTTTTTAGTTCTCATCTTATTTGGATTTGCCTGCAGCATCCCGCCCTCGGGTGTTCGTGCTGGGGACATCTGACTTTGTTTTTTTCCTTTCGGGAGAGCGCCCCGTAGTGGAGAATACACCCAGCACGCTGATCATTCGCCCTAGTTTCGCCCCAAAGTCCTGAAGTACGGTCACTAGAGGTGCTGAAAGGTACCTCTGACGCTTTTATCCACCTTGGAGCAGCCCAGAGCACGTAGCATGGGGGTTCTGACCAATGCCATGCTCCTTGAACAATCAAACTGTTTGAAGCTCGGGCCAATGAGTCGATGCTACAGTTTCTTTTTGGAGAATCGCACCCAGCTAGTCTTACGCTTGTCCGGGGACAGGGATCTTGAGGTCTCCTCCACAGAAAAAAAAACAATGTAAAAATGACGGAAGAGGGAAATTTCTAAAAAGAAAAAGAAAAAAGATCGGATCAACCACCATTACGGAGATCCTGGATAGCGCCGGTTATGGTTGGACCCCTAATGCAAAATTAGCTGCTGGCACCCACCGTAGCGATGCGGAATACAACGTATTTTCCACCGTCCCTGAAAGGCCCAGAATCTTAGCTCTTTCCACATGAGCTCGTGGCGATTATGGTCGCCTCTCGGCTGTCTCGTTGACTGATCTAGGTCTATTTTGGGGTGAGGAGGAGGAAGGAGGGTCAACCTCTCCACACCATACTACCTCCATCGACCAACTCCAGCCATCCAGCCATCCAGCAAAACTGGGGAGGGAAAAGAAGCCAGACAATCCAGAACGGGCTCGAACTTTACCAGGGTTCATCTCCCTGGAGTATTTCTGTACACAATACACCGGGGAGGGGAATATCATCACGGCCGAAACCAAATAACATCAGTTGGATGCGCACCCTTTCGTCACCATCTAATTCTGTCTTCTCGTCCTGGGCTTTTTCTTTAACTTGCTTCCAGCCCAGCCACGAAACAATCTGCCTCTACTCCTTCTCCGTCAAAAAGAATATAATCAGATCACTCAGGACCTAACAAAGGAGGCCTTTGCACTTGCATCGGCAGAGGGGGGGTACTTTCTTATCTGAGAAAGGACCTATAGCCTCTCGTCCCTGATAGCCTCCTTCATTCCCCATTATTCTTCGCGAGCTCAAGGAGGATCAAAGGTACTCGGCAATCGAGGGTGGCTTCGATCTTGAGTTTCCGGGGAGCTCGGTCGTCCATTGGAGATAGGGTTACAATACTGACCACCGTCTACTCTCGTTCTCCTCGGTCTATGCCAGTGACCTTTGTCCATCAAAGGCCCGCCCTGCCGTGAATCAATTTTTGCGGACGCAAGTCACACTGGAGATTACATCACGTAGGTTTTCCCTTTCGACTTTCTCGATTCTTCCATTTACTTCGCTCGTTCTATTACATGATTTTGCATTATCATTATTCCTTCCCTTTTGGTACTCCCAATCCCTGCCTCCTTTCTCAAATCACCTTTCGCTCTTTTTCTTCTTTATTTTGGCTTGTCGACCTTGTTTTGGGGGCCGAATGGCTTTCTGGTCTGTTAGAGTGTGCTTGGATCTTCATGATTTAGCGTTCCGGAGACACCAAGTTCTACACTCTGGACTGATTCATGTGAACTCGGTGGACAATGCCCTTGGAACCATCAATGTGAGGGTCTCCCAAACGGGAAGGGCTTGCTCTACTCGTGACGCATCCTCTTGCACGGGTCTAGCATCCGGCCAGAGCTTCCGCCTAGAGTTACTTACTGCACCGGCCGTTCCGCGTTTCCATCGGGCAGAGCCAACTTCGTCTTCAAGACATACTCTTATTGTGGTCTTTACCCACTGTGTTTTTTCATCTTCTTCTTCTTGTCCAACTCCCACCCCTCCCTCCCGTTCTCCGTGTGTGCTGATTCACTCTTTCCCTGTCATACGCTCCATCTCGCTTACCTTGTTCTTTGTCGTGATCCCTACATTACTATCCCTAGTCCTGATCTTATCAAGCGAATTCTCCTCTCCTCATTTCTTTGAATGAACATTCACCAAGCCCCGCAGATTTTTGTTTCTATCCCATTGTTTCGTGAACTACTACACCCTGCAAAAGCCCACATACTCTTTCACTTTCATCCCCCCCGAGGATATCCAAGAGGAAGGAGCCATTTCTGCACCGTGAGGTGAGCAATGGCCGTTGGGAAATCGGCGGAACAGCTCTGCCATGGAATTTGGTCAACTAATTTGGTCGCTCTAGACAACGGTGCCCCTCGCCACTTTGAGACATCAATCGCAAAGACAAGACGTGGGCGCGTCGCTCGTGCTACCTCATCTGAGTATACTTCAGGGTCCTTGAGTGAATCTGCATCAGCACAATCAAAATGAATCCTTGTAAGTCTTGCTGAAATGCACGTTTCGCCTCGTTTCCATTCTATACCGTCTTCGTGCCTTGGTGCTACAATTCAACACTACCGGCAGCTTTTGTCTCCTATCCTCCAGGTTCTCTTCTACGATGAGGTACACAGCTAAAAGCTTCCATCCAGCTACTCTCCTTTCTGAATCATTTGCCATGGACTGTCCAGTTACCACCGATGGGGACTATATCAGTTCCCAGGTAGCAGTATTCCCGACTGACGAGGACGACAACAGCCAGCGAGTCGGAGGGCTCGCCTCCATGCCTGTGACCAACGGCGTCCGGTACCACGCACCGCAGTCTGCGATGCATGACTTGCAGTACGTTATTATTTTTCTTTACTTCTTTCCATTTCTTTTGCAGCAGTTTCAATCTGGACTATCTTGGCTCTCCACTCGGTCCTCTTTTAACATGACAACGAATTCCGGAACCCCCTGGTCGCTGCGCTTCCTCCGGGTCCGGGCAGCTTGAACTTTAGTCCAGCCTGTTTCAATACCTTCCACACTGATCTGCCGCATGAATGTTTCTCTCCTTTTCTATCTGAGCTCGTGTCCCTGTCCTTTATTGTTATTCTTTCTTTGGTCAGTGTCTTGTCATGAGCAGCTTGCGGGTTGACCTGCGTCTTTACACACCATGGTCTCCGTGCTCTCCCCGGATAGCTATGAGAGTCTGTCTATTTCTACCTGTCTTGTTTCCTTGATGCATTTGTTTCTGATCTGTCCCGTGGGAAGGTGATGCACTAATCCGATTCTCTCTACTTTATAGTTATCCCAACTCGTCTGCACTTGCAATGACTCCTCCTGATTCCTGTTCTGGTATGGGTTGACTTTGGATTGATTGTGTGACTGTTAACTGACTGCCTTGAACCCCACTCAGATTCGTTCTCCCCAACGTCTGGTCCTCTCTTTCCTCATATGGTCCAACACCATCATCCCTTTGATCGAATGCCCGATTTCCGTCGAGTGCCATCTCTGTGAGTAGACATTCCCTCAATAACTCATGAGAAAATATAGACTCATTGGTTTCCTTGCCACAACTAGTCAACCTCCTACCGGCATGTCAGCCACTATGCAAAGTCCGGTACACTCTGTGAGCCCTATCTCGGCACTGATGGGCCGCAGCAATGCGTATTCATCCTCATATGCACTCCAGCGTGGGATGGGCTTGCCATTGAGTGGAATCAATGATGTCTGTCGCAGTCATGGATACTCGGGCACTCCTCGGGGTCTAGATATTCTTGATCGAAACCAGACAGCACTGCTTCAACAGCCTCAAGTGGAATCCCCGCAGCGCCCGCATTCCCAGATAGAGGCACCCCCCTTTGAGGAGACAAGTATCCTCGAATCAATTGTCGCGGACTTTGGAGGCACTCAGCAAACTGTCAAGCCGGAGGTATATGCGAAGATTGGGCGTGGGTTCTTCCCATCCGACAACAAGTGGACATGCTACCGACGGAATTACTTTGCTGTGACCTGCAGCTTCAGTCTGCATCCATGGCCTTCGAACGTCCCCCTCTACATTCGCCATGCCGATCAAACCCTGGAGCCGATCCGCAACTTTGCAATGTCCATTTCTGCCATAGTCAATGGCCAGTATGGAGAAACCAGAGAGCTCGTGCAGCACACTCCCAAGCGCGATAAACAGTCAGAACGCCCACCTCCCCGAGTGCACCTACAGCCTTCGCCTCCCCAATCGCTCGCATCCGCCTCCCCTGGAAACGGAACGCACGGTTTCCCACTTGGCTCGCAATCGTTGGACTACAATCTCTCTTTTGCCGCTGCCCCTCAACCCCCGCAATCACATATGTTTGAGCGGATCCAGTTCCAAAAGGCAACGGCCAACAACGGCAAGAGACGTGCCCAGCAGCAATTTTACAATCTCGTGGTCGAGCTGCAGGCCGAGATCGCGGGCCCAGTTGGTGGAGAATCACAGTGGGTTCTCATTGCCCGTCGACATTCGCACTCAATGGTCGTACGAGGTCGTTCCCCGGGCCACTACAAGGACGGCAGACGCGATAGCACGGCCAGCATGGGACCCGAGGGGAGCAGCGGAGACGGCAGTGGCAGTAACCTCCCTCACGTAATGGGACAAACAGCGCACTCACATCTACTTCTGTACGACTCACCCCATCGAGGAAGCTTGCCCTACGGGCGAACAGATTACCGCCAGATGCCAACGACCGAGCACTCGCCGATTAGCGATAGCCCACTCGTCTCGTCCTCTTCCTCGTCCGGCTTCGACTACTCTATGATCAACGATACCATGGATCCCATGGACACGCTGAAGACCGAGAGCACCTTGGACCCCTACCAAGATCCATTCACGGGGGTACCCCATACTCGCACCACCACCAGCGGGTTCGACCCGGTCTACTCGACCTACAACGGGTACAGCACGATTCATAACTCTCGTAGTCTGTGCACCTAGATCAAGGGACAAATCTGGCTGGGCCATGATAGTCCCGCAATTTCAATCTGTTCGTGTATTGATTTATTTTCGTTTCATATTTCTCAATATCACTTAGGTTTCGAGCGAAAATTGTGGTTTTTAGTTTCTTCTTCATTTGCAATGAGATATTGGGAAATGGGGCATGGGGCATCACGGATTGGTGCAGAACGGCGCGGAAGATCGAATATGAATTCAAGGCCTCTTGGATTTCTTTCATTGTGTGCTTAATCTATTCTTTACTTTGACATTGATTTTGAGCACTCCATCTGTCAGTATTTGATGTATCGCGGTTTTTGGTTTGTTGCATCCATCCTCTGTACCTTGTCTTCTCTTTGATCAGGGTTCTATAAGAAAGGAGTGGGGAGCAGACGTGATCTATATCAGTATCAGAAGAGGAAGCTCCGGGTCTCAACTTGTAGGCATTGCCGCAGGCCGAGATGGCTCGAGATGACTCTCAAGGGAAGAAAAAGAGGCTCTTTAATTCCTAACTTGCAAAAGAATTCTACAGATTGCTAGCAACAAGCTCTTCAAATCTTGCTACCTGCACTCGCCTCCAACACATATTGACTACAACTATTTTCTAGCCTTTTCATGATCCCAGCTGAACCCCATATGCAAAAGTGAAAGACCCCAATTCTCCGATTTGCTCTGGGTGCCAGGGACCGTTATTCATGCGGTCCTAGCCCAACTCTCTATTCAGTCCAGGCCGGTAGAAGGGATTTGTCCAGTCCCATCTGCAATGGACATGGGGAGTCGTCTCTGTTACGGCTTTCGCATACAGTTCTGGCTTCTTCTCCATTGGTTGTATGTCACTCTCCTCGAGCATCCTGGTTTGCAGCCGGTAATAAGTCATGCCGTTTCAATTATTGTATTTTCTTTGCCTGAGGGCTACCAGTTATCGAGTAATCAATTTGATTGGAAGGGGCCGGGTAGTGTGTTTCAGGCGGGAGGAAAGGAATGCAGGAAAAGTGAACTGGAACCAGGGTGGCGTTGGCTGCAGATTGGGCTATTTTTGCGCATTTTTCATTTAGGGCTTTGCAGTCGTCAAACGAGATGATCATGACGACGCGGTGGGAGCCAATCAAATCCTGATGGTGAGGTTCTGTTTAGTTTAGGCAGGACTCTTTCCTGGTATACCACACGGAGTACATTCTCCTGTTTTTTGGGATCTTGATTGCTTTCAGGATTGTATACTTATACTGTAATTTCCTCGGCCGTGTTTGATTTACAGTCTTCTAGAACCTGGTAGTTGCATCTATGCTCCTAGTCTGGCTATATTGTCCTGCTCGTATACATCTAGGCAGCAAGGATGATGGCCAGCCGTGGAGGGGGGCTCTTCGCATGTGGATCTGTATGGGAGGTAGGGATTTTCAGTTCTGGTCGCCTCTCGGGATCGACGGTGCATGCGCAGGTGATTTATTGCGTCTCAGCTCAGCCTGGCTCTGACTTTGCGGCTGTTACGACACATGTAGGGAAAGGCTTTTTGCTTACTGGTGGCGAAATGCAGAACATTTAACTCAGATTCTTTTTCAATTGCATTTGGCGCTTTGACATCATGTTGGAGGCCTTAACTCTGCTCGTATGCCTACTTAGGTCGAGGGTGGAGGCTTGACAGGGATGGATCGCCTGCTTGGGAGCTATCCTAGGCAGATCTTGTCCCCCCCCCCCAACCAAAGGTTATCGGTCTAGCCAATGATCTACCTTGTCACTGCCCTGGTCGCAGTCCGAAGTAGTCACCTGCTGTCCTAGGTAGTCACCTGCCCCTCGTGTTCCGGTAGCTCACGCTGTTGTACCCTATTTTCTCTGGCAGATGGGGCTTCTTTTCCATGATTTTGAGCTACCATCACTTTTATGAGAATACTTGGAGTCAAAATGGTGCTAAGATTTCTCTGTGAGCTCCCTCCGATCAACCTTTCCATTTCTTCTCGACGAACGCTTCCTCCATTATTTATTCCCCTCTGCTACTCTTCGTTATGAGTTCTACGGTTCTCCCACCTTGTCCCCCTAACCATCGCCATATCTGCCCAGTCCATTGAATCCATGGTCCGTCTCGTCTCGGACTCAGTTTTCCGCAGATTAATTCAATATATAGCCCTAGTTCGAAGACGCTATTCGCGAGACTCTACTCGAATACAAGACTTGATCGAGTTGATCAAATTTCTCCATTTAATCAAACTGTTACGTACGGTACTGGTCCAAGAGAAGATTCAGATTATGGTAGTGGGATGGTAAAGGGATAAAAAGTCTGGTTTACGCAGTTGCCTGATCAAGACATGCATTTTTCCGGCCGTTGCGGAGGGTTTTCGGATCTGAGACGGTTGCACAACATATTGCGGGCGCATAGTAGTTCCGAAAGATCAGGAAAATACTTCTGTTAGATTGGTATCATTCTTTTTACTAGGCTTCGACTAAGAGGAAGGGGTTCCAATGCCTAATCTCATCAGACTGGGTGATTGTCCAGTCTCATTCCTTACTCTTACGCAAAAGTCCCTATCAATTGACCACTGAACCTAACGAGGAAGTCCAATGGAGTTTTGTCGGTTTGCAAGCCCAAAATATCTCATCGGACATGCTTAGATAGACAAATCGAGAGATTCTGCCTGGGCTATTCGGAAACGTAATTCAAAATACATCCCGAAAGAAACACGAAGGTTGGAGCATATCTGGCTATGCCTTTTCTTTCCGGCTCTTGTTTCGAAATTTCAAACGACTACGGTATGTAGACACTGAGAGAGTACTGTACAATCTGGACCCCGGGTTGTTCGTGCAACAACAGCCACATCCCAACCAACCATGCCTCACCAGGATGCCTCGCTGATCCTGCAAGCATCTTTTGGACGACTCCTTCCGCTTACAGATATACAAACCTCAGAATAAATACTGCAATCTTCTCTACAAGCCACCAGTTTGCTACTGTTCCATAGCTATAAGCCCACAAAAATACATCCAATATCTTGCCTGCATCTGCAAAGACGTACATTTCCATATGAGGCTGCCCAGAACTATCCCTGTTCGTCGCCAGCAAACAGAACCCGGCCAGTCCTGTTTCTTGCGAGCCGTAGAAACGATGCACGCAAACTCCCATTTGCAGGCTTGGTTTGGCCAAGTTTGATAACGACTGGGCTTGAGCGCTGCAGATTATGATCTGATTCTAATATTTGTCCGGTCTGATGCAGGTCTGGTTCTGATTCATTGCCAAGCTGTAGGCTTGATGTGCGTCGGGGAGATGGGTGCATGTGGCCAAGGGTTGTTGCACGTCAACGGTTTGGGGGCTTGTGGGCGACGGAAGTGGGCTTGTCTTACAATTGGAATTGAGATAGAGCGACTGTTTATTGTGAGTCTGGGTGCTTTGAAATTGCTGCAATTAGTATTCGCACGAATTAATCAGAAGAAATAACAAGGGACCAGTGTATCTTATCTCCTTGTAAGAAGCACAGAAATCAGATAAGATTACCATACGATGCAGAACGGGTTGACAAAAACGGCGCATGATCTTGAGTCAATACATATGTTTCACTGGTATCATGATCAACATTATCATTTCCCAACCCCCAAGCTGAAAAAAGAAAGCCCGTTGAAACTCAATCCCAAGAAGAGACTAAACTCAATCAACGGCAGCCACATGAGCCAGGATAAATCGCAAGTCCTGATGCCAAGCTAGGCTAACCTGCCGCTCACGGAAGCATTCCAATCCGACAGCATCTAGCCCGGAGAATAAACCAGCAACTGATTGGACCCTCGCCACTCCGTCCGGCACGTCTCGGTCTGGGACTGGACCGGCTTGCCACCTGGCTCATCTTCCTTGCTGCAAGGATTGAAAACTTCCGATGTGCAGGCCGCAGACGCAGACGCAGACGCGAACGCAGAATCGTCTAGCATGATCCTTTCCCCGTTTTGGCCCTTGTCGCTCGTTTCTTCTTTCCTCCCCGAGGATCGTACCATCGGAGGTTGTTGATGGGGTCTTGATCATCACACGATCAGATAGCATGACTTCTGCCTCGCACAAGGACATCGCGTCCGATTGAGCACAGTGCACAGTCCAGGGCCAAGTGAGATCGCCAAATAGTATAGCAAAGCTCTGACCTCCTCTCATCTTTCATAGAAGGGTCGAGTCCCGAATTCACAAGCCCTCTTTTGAAACCAATCCGAGGAGATTAAACCGCGACGCACTCGAGTACATCGAAGCAACTCGTTATGCAAGACCCATCCCAATCCATGTACCATTTTTTCTCACAACCCGAATAGTGGCAAGAGCTTTTGAATTTCTCAACTCAGTGCGCCCGATCATCACTCTTTTCCTCCCCACCAACTCTCGAAATCCGCACGGCGAGCTGTCGGTCCAGCGCCTCCTGCTCATCCTTGGATGCCTGCATACCGAGGGCGCTTTCCACCTGCGGCGTCGTCCAAAGTCCAATCGTTGCCCAGGCCATCACGCCGACGCCGAACAAAGCCCGCGTTTTGGGTGTGAGGGATCGGTAGGTGCTAACGTAGAGATGCGGAGTTAGCCACACGCTTTAGCAAGCGATTGGGAAAACCAACTGGGCCCGAGAGAGAAGTAGTTCCCAGGTTACGACGTACCTCCACAAAGACATTGCGATTACTATGTACAATGTAGTATTGTTCAGCTCAAGGGGAGAAATGGAGTGTTGATGTCGAGTCTCCAGATGCCGGATGTCACGTGGTGATAGTCTCCCGCTAAACTGCGTTCGGTTATTGGGACAGCTGGGAGGCTCGACAGTGAAGAGCGGCCGCTAATGTCGCAAGGGTTTGGAGGGGGGATGCTGCGAGCTTCCTCAGTAGGCAGCCGGTCTCTGTCAGGTACCTGAACCACGAGGGTAGTTTTATTAGGTGCATCCGGTGCATGTTAGTGAAACGGTGGCTGAGTACGGAGTGCCTATCTGCTTGGTAAAGAGGTACTATTTTCTATGGGGCTACCGTCGACTGACTTTGCATGAATATCATATTAGTACACATCAAGGAAATGTGGCTAAGTCTGTTGCAAAACTATGTTCGCATTCATCACTACCTCGTCTAATCATGGATGACGAAAGAAAGTAACAAGAAAGTCCAATATCAACAAGTCAAGGCTCGGGGAGATCGTAACATGAGACGCAAAAACACGCGGTAGAGGGTAACAAGGAGAGAAAAAGAAATACAGCATTAGAAGAAAGCAAGTCGAAAAGGGTGGAAACAGATCGCGGGCTTCACCTCAAGTGAATCTCAGCTTTTTTTGTTTATTTCTTGCCGTAGGCCTTGTCAATCTCGGCCTTGTACTTGTTCACGATCTTCTTGCGCTGGAGCTTCTGGGCAGCAGTCATGTAGCCCTATAATAAATCGTTAGTACTGGAACAATACGTTGCTTGGTAAAGAAGCGACACTTACGTTTTGAGGAGTCCACTCCTCGTCGGAGAGAACGACACCGTTGATAATCTCAATACCCCTCAGACCGCCGGCACGTCCAGAGCTCTGCAACTGCTGCAGAACCAGACGCTGGAGCTTCTCGTTGTGGACGAGAGCCTCGACGGTGTCACCCTCAATTCCGTTCTCGCTGGCAAGCTTCTTAAGCGCAATCTCCACGGGGACGATAATAGCAACTGGCTTGTCTTGGTCCTCCGCAGCGTAGACGCAGATGTTACCAACAACGGGCGTGGAGCGGTACACGGACTCAAGCTTCTCCAGAGCAATGTACTCGCCGTTCAAGGTCTTGACCAGGTTCTTCTTGCGGTCAATGATGCGCAGGTGGCCGTTGGAGTCGAACTCGCCAATGTCGCCAGTCATGAACCAGCCATCCTCGGTCAACGAGCTCTTGGTCTCCTCTTCGTTGTCGAAGTAGCCCGACGTCACACTGCCGCCGCGGATGAAGATCTCACCCTGAGGGGGTTTGCTGTTGGTCAGGTATCCAGCATCGGGGAAGTCGACCAGCTTGATCTCGACCGAGGCAGGGATCTCGCCGAGCGCGTCGGGGTTCCATGCCATAGGGTCGTTCAAGGCACCCATAGCCGAGGTCTCGGTCAGACCGTAGCCGCCGATCATGGGAGCGATGGCCATGGAGAGGAATCGCTGAGTGTCCTTGGAGATGGGACCTCCACCGTTCATCATGATACGGAGGTGGCCACCGGTAGCCTCCTTGAGCTTCTTGAAAACCACGGCATCCAGGATCGAAGCACCGAAGCCCGCTCCGGGGAAGCCGTTGGTCAGCAAGAAGTTCTTGGTGGCCATAGCACCCCAGAACATGCCCTTAATGATGAAGCTGTTCTTGTTCAGGTTGTTCAACACACCCTTCTTGACCGACTCCCACACGGCGGGAACACCGACCAGGATAGTTGGCTTGAACTCGCGGATATCACCCTTGCAGTTCCGCATGGAGGCATCGGACAAGGTGCGGGGGTTGCCGTATCCCATGCAGCCACCCCAGAACAGACACAGGTTCTCGAACATGAACTCCAGAATGTGCGCTTGGGGCAGGTAGGTTAGAAGCGAGTCCTTGGGGCCAATGTAGGGGCCAACGATCTCGTTGACACCGGCGGTGGCGGCAATCACGTTGGCCTGGGTCAGAGGAACACCCTTGGGTGGGCCGGTCGAGCCAGAGGTGTACATGATGCAGCACAGATCCTCAGGCTTGGGCGGCACGGGATCCACGGGGTTCTCCTCGCCAGACTTGCGCAAATCCTCAATACTGAGCACGTTGATGTGGGCGAAATCAGTTTTCAGCTTGTCCAAGTCTTCCTGCTTGACCTCGTTGTCGGTGTTATAGATAACGTGCTTGATCGAGGGAACATCCTTCAGGACGTGGGTCAGAGACTTGATCAGGCCAGGGTCGAGGAAGATGGCGGTGGAGGAGGTTTGGACCAGGGAGTGCTTGAGACCCTCCTCGCCCAGGGTATCATAAGCGGTGACAATGGTAATAGATTGCGATGCGGCACCGTGCGACATGGCCAGCCAGTGTGCGCTCGTCGCACCGTAAAGGTGAAGACGGCCGTCCTTCTCCATCCCCAGCTTGCGCAGACCCGCGCCGAGCTGAAGGCAAAGCTGCTCATACTCCAGGAAGGTCTTGTAGGTATACCCGCTCATCTCGAAGTAGGTCCATTGCTTATCCACCTCCTGCTCGACACCATCTACCATCTTCTTAATCTTCTTGTTCTCGACATGCGTCTTGATCAGGCTGCGGCTCGCAACAGCCTTGTTGTTGCCGAACAGACGGGCGGAACGCCGGAAGTTGTCATAGGTGGTCGCAACGTCCTCGGACGGGCGCAGCACGAGTCCATTCTTCGCAGCTGGGTGGCGTCGAGGAATGGTTTCACCATCCTTCTTTTCATAACCGGCGGCTTCGACCGAGAATGGCCCTTTCTTGACCATGCGCGGCTGGATGTGGAGATCGCGCTTCGACATGATTGCGGGATGCTCTCACGGGGAGGAGAGAGATGGCGATCGGGAGAATCAGGGGGGGGGGAGAAGTGATCAGTGAAAAGGTAGAATCAAAGATCGGACCAAACTGGAGCTGTCGAGGGGAGAGTTCCACTAGGGATACGACGAAGTGGCGTTAGCGAACTTTCCGGGGACGCCAGGACCACCGGGGGCCAAAACGGAAGAGTTATGGGGAGCTAGGAGCTAGGAGCGTAACGGTCCGACGAGCTTACCCGACTGCCGAGTTTCCAACCCAAGAATGAGGTAGGAGGAGGGTGAGGGAAGGTGAAGGAGTTGAGAACTCGGAGACTTTGGGGGAAGGGAGAGGGTTATGAACGTTGGAAGGGGGAAAGAGAGCTGCAGGGCCCTGGTGATGTGGCTGGGCTTTCCCAGATGACGCACCTCGTACTGGCGTTTGGCAACCAAGGATATCGTGGTCCGGTCCGATGCGCAATGCAACGATGCACCTATTATTGGGGACTTGGAGATACGGAGGAGGGTGGGTTTAGTGTTCGAGGAGTGTTTTTTTTCTTTCTGTTTAATTAAAATGAAGGAGGAGCTGGGCTCTCTTTAGTGCTGCCGCGGTCCAGTACCCATGTTCCTGTTCGTAGCAGGTTGCCGGGTTCAGTGCGCAAGCGACGGTCACTAACTAACCCAAGCAGTTAGCGCAGTTCCCGTACCTTAGTCTACCTTAGTCTTAGTGGAGTGTCCTATGGAGCAACCCGAAAAAGGTTCTCGGGAGGACTTAGTCTTTACCCGGGCAGATCAGTTGCCCGTTTGCACTTCCGTTGGGGCTCTCGCCCAACAGAGTGGGCACTCTCGAGCTATTCAGTTAACACCCTAGCTTACATTCATGTACACTACGGTCCCGAGTAGCATCCCGTTATATTATACACACACTACTCTAATTAGGTTTTATAGATTCACTGTCAACAAGACTGCACCCCCTTATTCCTCCTCGGACTTAGAAAAGCAAACCTCCTCAAAGCTCTCGGTCCCGTGATCTCATCCAACTCCAAGCCCAGAGAAAGAAAACCTTCCAAGGACGCCACAGCAAACTCCAAATGCCCAAGTCGCCAGTCCCCTCAAACCTTCATGAAAGCTGATTGACCAATATGCATCCTCCAATCGCCGACTTTCTGGCGAGCACTGACAGCGAGGAGGTCACTGACGCCGAGGAGGGTATGTAGCCCCCCCC